AGCATAAACAATATGCAGACCAGCATGGTCGCAAAAACAAAGAACACTTTAGTGTTGGGGACAAAGTGCTATTAAGTACTGCTACCCTACCTAAACATGCAATTGCTGTACTACCTGGTGGTACTACTAAGCTATTGCCCTGATTCTTTGGGTTATTGAGGGTGGTCGAGGAGGTTGGATACCTAAATTATAGGCTCACTCTCCCACCGTATATGAAGACGCACCCGAAACTAACGTGGGTCGTCTGAAACGGTATGCGGTCCACAAGAGATCACATTTTCGCATCAGTCTAACGAGACCAATAGTTACGTCGACTGTGAGTCGAGCGTCGTTGCCGATCAGGCGACGGGGAAGGTGATCGACTTTCCGTATACGAGATCAACGACGGAGAACTTGGTGATCGAGGAGGGCTCCGCGTTGGACGCGGTTATCTCATCACCAGCCGCTTGTGTATGTCCAAACGGGTCTTCAGGCGGTCATACCCCTGACGATCCCTCGCATTTACAGAGCGTAGATCCGAAGTCAGTCGCGAGACTTGACTCGACAAATCAGCCACCTCCTCTTCAGTCAGCGATCTCCTCTTGCGACTGATCGGCAACAGGATAGGCAGCCGTGCATAGTTTGGCGTAATCGCCGCTCCTATCGAGCGCCACCTGTGTTGGTGGATGCGGGTGGAAACACACGCTTCCTTGTTGGAAGGATTTGTTCCACCGCTATGTGAAGCAAAAGCTTCAGATCCTTGTCCAGTGGAAGGGATATCCGAAGAGTACCTACTCTTGGGAACCAGTTGACGCGTTGCGCGTCGACGTTCCTGGGCTGGTGGCTGCATACGAGCAGAAGCACCAGCTACACTTTTTCTGCTAGGTCCTGATGGAATAGCAGGGACAGCGTTGTCAAGAAGGTTTTGGGGGTATTTTATTACCCGATATTTCCCTCGCACGCGTCATAGCGAATCTAATTCGCTGCGATCACTGTTCACTGCATCTACATGCGGTAGAAGACGGCGCAGTAGCTTTGTCTCGTATTTATCGGCTGTTTCGATAGAACGCAGCACGACGTGGATAGAGAAAGCACGACCTCGTGCTTTGCCCTGCCTTTTCCATGATGAACAGACGCTAAAACGTTTATTAGCGTCAATAGTGGCAGCTTTAGGAGCATCGCACTATTTTCACTCGCGTGTAACCACTTGTATGGCGGTGGCATTGGTGGCAAACCATCACTCACGTAGCCGAACTCGCGACGGCGTGCTAGTGAGGTCAACTTTGAAGTAGAAAGAGCTTTTTGCTCACCCTCGCCTGAGTCTGACTCTCCATTATGGATTGTCGAGACGTCAGACGTAGGGTTGATAGAGGCGGTCGATTTTGTATCGCCGACCTGCTGTTGATTCGCGACTGCTTATTTCGAAGCAGCGCGCTCAGTTGTGGTCGCTGCGATCGTTGACGCAAACGACGAGACATGACCCTCGCTGCCAGGAAGCATGGAAGCTTCCTGAAAGCTGGGTGTCTCAAATGATGGAAACAAATGTCCCATCAGAGCACTGTTCTCACCACCACTTTGGTATGATGGCAATGACGTGCTCGCATTGTAGTAAACAATGAGAGACAAGTCTTTACCCGCACCATAGTGGGATGGATCGGTGTTCTCTGCTGACAAGGTGACATTATATGTCGGCGTTGTCACAGAGACACTAAGCGACGGCTGAGAGTTATCGAGGCGCGTGCGCTTTGTGAAGGTCTGCATGGGCGCCTTGCAGGCGACCCATCAGCCTTATCACGTTTCGGCGGCATCGTCACGTTTTCGATAATTTACAAAAGTTTATAAATCGTTTAAGAGGGGTATGATATAACGGGCTGAGAGTTGCACGGTTCGCTAAGTATCGAATACTTAGCGGGCAGGCTTAATAGGGTACGAGGTACCTTAGGCCTGCCACTTGGGTGCGGCACATCAATGCGACCACCCTCGTAAATGTGATATCCATGGATGGATTCACATTCAACGGGGATGACGCCTAGTTGGGACTAGGCGTCATGGTAAAGCTTCAGACAGACGTCTCCTGCGAGCTTAAAAATGTTTTAAGCTCGCACGTAAGGATACGCTTCTAAAGAGACGCGTATCCATTCTTTATATTTGACCAATTAGTAGTTAGATTTATATTTAGTAAATTATATTTAATATAAGTCAGTCTTGAATTTACTACATCACACTCACTGCGCACAGGAAGACTGGAAACAGCTTCCGTGACGCAGGTAGGTGCTTGTTTTAAAGCTCGTTTCGCGGATCGCTTTAAGCGGCCGAACAACACTACGCGGAGGTAAGACGGTCTAACCGTTTCCTCACGCTGCTTGAAGGTGTGTGCCCGCGTAGTACGTGGCAGCTTCTTTTTGAAGCGCCCATCTACAACATGTGCGAAGGTGGGGATGCAGCATGAAGAAATGATGAAATATGTGCCTTACCGGGGTGCATTTGGAGGCATCACGTACTTTATGATAGCGACGCGTCTGGACCTTGCTGCAGCAGCTGGAGATTTAAGCCAGTTTGCGGCTGATCCCTGTCCGACACACTGGCAAGCACTCAAGCGCTTACTGAGGTATCTTCAAGCGACATTAATGCGCGGAACCGATTATCTCGTGGCGACATTGCTACACTCAGTATCCGGATGCTGACTGGGCTGGTGACATCGAGTCAAGGAGAAGTTAAAACGAATGAAGGGTGTATTTGCTATCGGATATGAAACAGCGGACCGTGGCACTATCCTCTACGGAAGCCGAGTACACGGTGCTTTCCGAGGCCACGCAAGAAGCAATTTGGTTAAAAATGTTCCTGCCCGATCTCGGGAGATGTCTAGTGAGCAATCAGGATCTATGAGGATAAGTAAGGATCAATCGCGCTGGCCATGAACCCCGAGTCTCACAATCGTACAAAGCGTATGGACAGTCGATACCACTTTGTACGTTGTAAGGTGGAAGAAGGTCAGGTGATGTCCAACGCAAGATATGCTGGCAGATATCATGACGAAGCCAATTTCAGCGGCGCAAATCGGTGTACTTCGAAGTAAGCTTGGTATTCAAGCACCAAGACCTGTCGATTCGAGTGCGAGTGTTGACCAGGGTGTCGTTGAAGAAGCGCCTCGAGTAGCAGAATTCAGTAAGTGATCATTATACTTGTCTGACGGCGGTGGTGACGCCATTTTCTGATGTCGTCAATGTCGAAGTTTTTAGAAGACTCTAGAACAATAGGCTTAAAGGTAGCACAAGTGACTAAGGACCTAAAAATATTCACGTTGCAATTTGCTAAACTAGTGCTTCATTAACCTCTTCAACAGGCTTGACTAAAGTGACAAGTTGGACGTATTGCCTAAGTCTTTAGCCACGATGATTTTGTAATCACTTGAGTTAATCTGCGAATCCGTCCATCTTTCGCGAAACATGGTTCAACGTCATGACATCGTCTGCGTAGGTGTATCGCTTAAGTGACAATCCAATTGGCAAATATACTTGCGATGCCATCTTATGGAAGACGCGGATTCTTGCGTTAGTGGTTTTGCAAAAAATGGATGGACCTTGTATACATCAACGAACGTTTGAGGTAGCTGATAACATCACATATTGCGTGAAATTGGTGAGAAGTTCTCACTGAGAACAAACAAAGTGAGGCAGAATGCGGAACGTACTTATTGTATAAAATACTAGCGGCCGTGGTCGAGAAGTTCAAGCTGACTTGGTGCTATTGACGTCAAGCTCGTTACACCCAGTGTATAATGCTGCAGTTAAGGCAAAATTACTATTTATCTCGCTTTATTGTGGTCTTAATCTCGCATGGTTGTGGTCGTTCGTTGCGAAGACGCAAAAGTTGCCGTTACTCGTGATATTCTGGAACGGAAGGTGGCACAACGTTGAAGCTACGCCTTCGTCGCTGTCATTGAGAGAAAGAGCATTAACTAGCAGGAGTCGTGACTGCCGCTGGTTGTCTCAACAAAATTACATAAGCAGTAACGGCGAAGATGAAAAAAACTTGAAGCGGTGGGATTCTTGTGTCGCGTTGTGGCCTAAAATGCACACACTTGCTATGTCGATGCTCATTCACTGCATCGTTGTTTGGCTGGCGGTCAGTTCACATTGGTACAGTGTTGTGGCCTTCCAAGCTAAACGACTATCAGGGAAAGGTGGCTGCATGATATTCTTCGGACGATTATACCCACCTGCTATCTGTAGGCTTAACGAGTGTAAATGAAGTGATTACAAAACTACTCGAAGAAATGACGTGAGTAGGAATTGAGACTTTGGAAAACATTGCAAATAAACTGCCCCAACAAGCAAGAAAGATTAAGAAACATCATGTAAGCGATATTAACGTAGGAGACTGGTTTCAGTTTACCAATGAGTCATCTGTACAGAAGTTATCAGCACAAGCATTGACTGTTCCCCCATTCCTGTCATTCTCCTCCAGACCTAAGTAATGTGCACGAACATCGACTTGTTGGACATGTATGAGAGCAATGTGGCATTTGTCTTGCAATATCGAAATTCCACAAAAGCTGAGAACTGCCGGATCAGCAGTCAAAAATCAAAAACTGCATGGCGTCAAGGGTGTTCTCAGAATACTGATGGGGTAGTCGCACGAATATTTGTTGCCAAGGTAGCAACCATCTCCATAAAGGTTCCTTCGATGAGTACCACCCGCGTATATCGATCACCACTCTGAAATTGTGGTTAAAGTTCAACGCCTAGCACGCCTGACAAGAGGTCTCAATCAACTAAGTTTTCTTGGTTTTCCTGAGTTCCGGTCTTCATCTACGTGAAATCGCGTGTGTTGGATAAAGCACCATCCCTTATGTGTGACTACGCTAGCTTAATCTGATCGGTCTGCGTTTCAGCCTCCGAAGGATGTCACGGGATGACAAGCACGCAGCCAATACTTGCCGGTTCTTCTTCCTACTCATTTTTCAATTAGCAGGCTTTAGCTCGTACCCCTTCAATTTAGAGACCTACCAAGTTCCTTTGATGACCCCCTCGACACCCGTTCTCGCGCTTGTGGCTGCAGCTTCGGCACTGTGTGCTTTCCAAGTATCAGCCCAGCAAACAGGAATCAACACTAAGGAAGTGCATCCTTCTCTCACCTCCAAGCAATGCTCGAAGACAGGTGGCTGTGTAACTGAGCCCACGTCGATTGTGCTAGATGCCAATTGGCGCTGGCTACACCAAGTCGGCGACTACAAGAACTGCTACTCTGGCAATCAGTGGGATGCCACGATATGCTCCAGTCCGGAAGCTTGTGCCCAGAATTGCGCTCTCGAAGGTGCCGACTACCAAGGCACCTACGGCATCACCACGTCCGCCGATGAGTTGCAGCTCAAGCTGGTCACGCAGACCCAGTTCGGCACGAATGTGGGCTCTCGGGTATATCTTGTAGATGCTGAGGGGCTCAAGTATAAGCAGTTCAAGTTGCTAAATCAAGAGTTCACACTTGATGTCGACGTCTCCAAGCTCCCATGCGGACTCAACGGCGCGCTCTACTTTGTGCAGATGGACGCGGATGGAGGGGTCGGTCGCTTCCCAGCCAACAAGGCAGGTGCCAACTACGGCACGGGTTACTGTGATGCGCAGTGTCCACATGACATCAAGTTCATCAATGGCGAGGCTAACACGCTCGACTGGGGTGCCACGAGTCAGAACTCGGGTGGTGGCAAGTATGGTGCCTGCTGCGCTGAGCTCGACATCTGGGAGGCTAATAGCATGAGCAGCGCATTTACTTCGCACCCGTGCACGTCGGAGGAGCAGATACGCTGCTCAAGTCCAGAGGAGTGTGGCAGTGGTAATGATAGTCGCTACAAAGGCGTATGTGACAAGGATGGCTGCGACTTTAATCCGTTTCGAATGGGCAACCAAACGTTCTACGGTCCTGGATCGCAATTCACCATCGATACCACCCGTAAGTTCACGATCGTCACCCAATTCGTGACGAGCGACAACACCGCTACTGGGGATCTTGTGGAAATCCGACGCTTATTCAAGCAGGACAATCGTGTTGTGGATACCCCGAACATCATGTGGCCTGGTTTGAACGATGTCAACTCCATTACCGATTCCATGTGTATTGCGTCCAAGAAACTTTTCGGGGATCAAAACGACCACGCCACGAAGGGCGGACTTGTACGTATGGGCGAGCACATGGCGAATGGTATGACGCTTGCCATGAGCTTGTGGTCAGATCACGACGCTTACTGTCTCTGGCTTGACAGCAGCTACCCCGCGGAAGCGGATTCTGCGAAACCCGGCGTCAAGCGCGGCTCGTGCCCGACGTCAAGTGGTCGTCCTACTGAGGTTGAGGCGCAGCACCCGGATGCCACCGTTAAGTTCATGAACATTCGCGTGGGTGACATTGGATCCACGTACTAGTGGTCGGCAGCCCGTTCACCAAATCAAATCGTCTCTTGTAGTTTGGCAGTATGGCACCCAACGAGAGTTCTTCATGATGGAGACTTTCCATCATTTTAAGCCTCCATAGAGCACCAAGTCGTAATCATCATCGAAAACATTTGCGCACCTAGTTATTAGTAGCATTCGTTCTTTTTCAACTATTGTGTAGGCGCTTGCTAAGGCGAACAAGTAGCTACATTATGACGATGAGCCAATTCTCCAGCAAAGTTTATCGTTCATTATAGCATCAGTCATCGAGGAAACTAAATTGTATCGCCTTGACTTTTTTCTGCTTTAAACCTGATCAACTTTGAAGCACCTCGACTTTAAAACAGCAAGCGGCGTCTCGATTGTGTACGCAGTCCTCTTGATCTTGTCTGCAAGTACTGCGACGTCCTTCGGCAAGTCCACTCGAGTGTTCGTGCACATTTCGGACATGCACGTTTCATTGTAATGCACTCATGGACTTTGACTTCGTCAACGCGACGTTCATTGTTCTGTAGCTGCTCACAAGCTTGTCGCTCTTTGTCCATCTCTCGCTTAGTCTTCCGGAACACGAGAAGCTTGGCGAGTGGCTTGACATCTGGTGTAGCTTGCGGAACTTCCTGAATTGCAATTGCTCGTCGTTTTGGACTGCGAGCACGCGACATCTTGCTGACCAGCAGATCGGTCTCATCTTGTTGAGTTGTTGTCACGAGCGTGCTATGTAGCGCCCGACTACAAATCAACACCTTTGTCATGGAATACCACGACTTTCGCGGTGCCACCTTTGAGCGCTCGTGTCTTGTCATTTCGTCCGATCACTTGGCAATTGTAAAGCAAAACGTTGTTAATGGACAGCGAAATGCACTTGTCACGTGAAAACGAAAGGTTTATTTCCAGTTTTCAAGTATATCAACAAACGTTGCAGATTTCGAATGCAAAGTCAATTGAGGTGATGGATGGAAGGCAGGCAGGCTAATGGGTGAAAGCTTATACACTTATAGTACAATGCGTTGATGATACACGATATCGATCAAACTTTTTTAAACGATAAATTTAAATGTTTGAATTCAAATTGACATGTAATATCGCGAATTTCAGACGAGAACAACATTAAATATATGAGCTTAAAACAATCGTACTTTGCAGCTTACCCTGTCATTTTCATACCAAATTCAGAATGGAAGCGCTTCAGGAAAAAAAGGTGGAGTTTTTCTCCATGGAAAACATGAAGAACAACGAAAAAGCAGTCGAGTATGTACACACATCCATGTGTGTCATTGCTGGTTGTATTGCGGGTATCACGGGTATGACGGGGCTACAGGGGTTTGCATTCCTTGCAGCCGTCTACGTGTTTACAGCTGTGGCCCTTTGGGTTTTTAAACTCGGGATGAATGTCCATGTTTACTTCAATACAAGCGTCTTCTCCTTTATCTTTGCGGGTGTCATGTCTCAAGCGCTGTCTTTTATCCTCTTCTGGACACTGTCGTATGGACTCGTGCATATCTATTGATTGACTCAAGCAAGTACCAGTGAGCAATCAGAACAAGCACGAGTCAGTTGATACTACCCACAGAGACGCTGGCTAAAAGCTACTAGGAGAGAGAGAGTAGTAGTAATACAGCTGTAGTCATGCAGTAAAAATGACTTTGGGGTAACGTTCTCTCTTACAACATTGTTAGCACTTTTGGTTTATATTGATTGTTTACTGCAGCTAAAACTCAATCTTCCGACACTTATTTCTCTTGAATCTGCTGAACCTCTTGCATTTTTTGCTGCATTATCATAAGAACAGCTTCAAGCATGTTGCGTTTGCCATCAATGACCGTCTTGAGCTGCTCCGTATTGCTCTGCAAGAATTCGACTTTCCGATCCATAAAGTGTTCGGCCTTCTTTACCGATTGCTCGACAAAATATCCTGTACCCACATCCACCAGTACCTCCTCCTTACTAACGAGAGTACCAGGTACAAACATGGATGCTGTAAGAGGTACCAGCACCTCCTTATTCAGGTCAGCAGCCGCCAAGCTCTGAAGCGCCTCCTTGGATTCGAAAAACCGCGACTGAGCCTCGCGCAGTCCGCCAAATGACACCGTCAATTGTTGCAACTCTTTTTCCAGTTGACCTTTCAGTGAGCTCAGCTGTTCTAGCGACAGATTTACAAGATTTACCTCGTTCTGCCCGGTACTCGTATCCGCCATATCGTCTTAATGATACACGTCTTGAAATGCTTCGCCCACCAACGAAAGCTATTTGATTTCCACCAATCAATAACGTAGATACCCTATTCCTACGAATCATAACACGTTATCTCAACTGCTGCATTTTGTTTTAACCAATTGAAGGACAGCAAAATACTAGTCACTATCTTCTTCGCCCAGCACCTTCCAGAGCTTCATGGCCACTTCAGCAGCACGATCACGTCGCTCTTCATCTGTAAGATGTTGGCCTTGATTACGAACGTTTCGTACCTCGGAAATGAGCGCATTGAATTGATTCATATCAATGTCATTCTCTTTATTATCACCTTTGCTTTCTCCAGCACAAATTCCAGGACCTCCTGGAATTTCCAGATCTTGTAGTAACGTATGAAGTTGTGACTCGTCCATTGAGGTTCTCTGGTCTTCAGTATTAGCATTGTTCTCCTCTTTTAGGATCTCCTTCTTCTCCACATTGTCCACCTCCTTCTCGGCATCCTCGGTTACCATTTGCAGCGGCGTAGCAGTGACTGATTGAGACGGATTCATCTCCATAGACCTCCACATATTGCAGTGTAGTGCTTCTAAGACACGTTCGATCCCCTTTTTCTCGTGAATGACATTGTCGTCATTGAATAAGTGCTCCAAGCAATCCAAGGCCACAAACTCAAAGCCATTGTCCTGACACCAAGTCTCCACCTGCTGTACACTCTCCATTGTCATTGACAACGTGCTAGACGTACTAACCAGTAGACAAACGTCATAGGAGAGTGTATCGACAATGCACTTGACAAAACGTTGCATATGCAGGAATGTATCTTTCTCTTTGGCATCAAAGACACAAATTAGTGCCTCGTAGTCACGCAGCTCGTGATGTAGTGGAGGCTCTGGTTCATTGTCAAGTACCTGGTGCAAGTGGACTTCAACACGAGCGTGGTAATACTTGGTCTGTAAGTTCAGCACCACTACGTCGAGCTTGTTATCAACAAGAGTTTCATAATTAGAGTCACCACAGAGTTCACGGAGTTTAAATGCCACTGCCAAGTTGCTGTCCTTGTCGGGACCTAGGATGAGCAGTCGAGACACTTCAGGAAGCATTCTTGAGAAATTCATCGAGGCTACCTTCGGGTAACAAACAACTACGGTAGTACCGGTACCAAAAGCTACTTTCTCTACTGTAAATATTCGGTTTCGATTCCAACAAAATAGCGATAGGTGCCAACCAACCGATGTCCTCATCGTTCATAGCTCCTCGTCGCTCACTCTTCATTGTCACTCATCTGAGCTGTTACTGATGTTACCGCTTACAATCTCTCTCCGTCTTGCCAGTCGCTCCACAGCGCTGGCTGCACGTCGTGTTGTACCTTTAGTGTCTCGTTCCTCTTCATTGCGCGTGCTTACGGCTATTCCTGGCCATTCATCTGTCGCTTGGTTCTCTTCCTCTCCTTTGGACGTTGGCGCTGCTGTCGTGGAAGTGGAAGACGGTGATGATGTGGTATTAGAACCACTGCCAATGGACAAAGGATTTGTGGACCAGAAACCCATTGAGAACTTTAAGTTGTCGCAGGAGACACAGCAAAATCTGCATAAAGCTGGTGTCACGCACTTGTTTCCAGTCCAGACGCAATCATTTGACGTCATGATGAAAGGCGCAGACATTATGGGACGCTCTAAGACTGGATCGGGCAAGACCCTGGCTTTTGCACTACCTATTATTGAGACTATCATGGCCAATCGGAAGAATACACGCAACCCACAAGCTCTCGTACTCCTGCCCACGCGTGAATTGGCACAGCAAGTCCATGATGCAGTGCAACGTGTAGCTCCACAGCTGCGTACAGTGAACGTTGTAGGTGGGGTGTCGTACACGGTACAGGAGAATCATTTGCGTCGTGGTGTGGACATTCTAGTGGGTACACCTGGCCGGATCATGGATCTAGTGGACAAGGGATCGCTGTCGCTCGAAGATGTGGACGTGGCAGTCCTGGATGAAGCAGACATGATGCTCAAGTTTGGCTTCCAGGAAGCTGTAGAGACCATCTTGGGCTGGGTACCTAATGGCGGTCAGACGGTCATGTGGTCGGCTACTTTTCCAAAGTGGGTGAGCTCAATGGCCAGCAAGTTCCTGACGGAACCCGTGTCGATTGACCTTGTGGGTGACAATGATAACCACGTGCCGACCACTGTGACACACAAGGCAATTAACGCGCCGATGCGCGACCGTATCCAGGTGCTGGAAAATGTGTTGCGTCTGCATGCCCACGATGGACAGACCTTGGTGTTCACGGAGACCAAGCAGGAAGCTGATGAAATTGCAAACTCTTTGCCTGGCCAGGACGCTCGTGCATTGCACGGTGATCTCTCGCAAGGTATGCGTACGTCCACAATGAACGGATTCCGCAATGGTCACGTTAAGACACTCGTGTGCACGGACATTGCTGCACGTGGTCTGGACATCGCCAACGTTGACCTTGTGGTGCAGTACCGACTTCCGAGCGATAAGGAGAGTTTTGTGCACCGTGCTGGACGCACAGGTCGGGCGGGACGATCGGGCACGAACATTGTGTTTTTCGACCGCAGAGACGCTAGTGACGTGCTGGACTTTGAGCGTCGCTACAAGTTCAAGTTTACGCATGCCGGTTCGCCTCGTCCGGAGCAGATGATAGAAGGCGCACTGGAGGATGTAAAGAAGCAGTTGGTGTCACTTCCCAAGGCGACCGCCCTATTGTTTGACGATGCGGCCCAGGCGATGGTTGATGAGCAGGGACCGAGTGTGCTGAGCGCTGCGCTTGCCCTGCTGTGCGGCTTTGACTCGAAAAAGCTAACGTCGCTTTCGATGTTGACGGGTCGTTTCCGCATGCAAACTGTGCAGGTGGAAGGTGTGCAGAACTCACGTGATCTCAACCAACGACTGTCGTCTTTCATGACCGAACGTGTTGATATCTACCCGGTAGATGGTGGTATCCTTGTGTTTGACATCCCTCAAGGTCAATTGGAGAAGTTGCAAGAGCACCTGACTGCTGCATCACCTGGCGAAGAAGTGAAGGTGACAGCGGCCACGGAGTTTCCGCGTATGATTATTGACCGGACAAGCCGCAATACCAGCGATAGTCGTGGTTATTCTCATAACCGCTTTGGTGGCAACAAGCGCGAAGGAGGTAACAATCGCTTTGGTGGTGGCAATCGACGTGATGGAGGTTTTAACCGTTTTGGAGGCAATAAGCGTGAAGGTGGCAACAATTGGAAACGCAATGACCGTGATGGAAACTTTCGTCGTGACAACAAGAGTCGCAATTATGACTCATCTTTTTCAAAAGGTCGTTCCTCGAATCGTACCAACTTTGGTCGTTTTACCGAAGAGTAGAAAAAGTCTCAACTTTATTTTGATGAATGAAGAGAGGCATTTTTTTAGAGAATGACCGTATTTTAGATCGTGCGAACCACCTTCGGGTCACAATTTATATTTGCCCACTTATTTTGATCATCAGTTGGTGTATCCTACACTGCACATCATTTCCCACACGTCGCATATAATCACTGGATGCCATTGCTCCGGACCTCGAGCCCATTGGCGCTAGCACGCATCTGCTGCTCTCGTGCGCCTCCTCGTGTCGTCAATCTTTTGCATTTGTATCGTATACCTTGGGCCTTTTCTTCACTCTCTCGCTCTATCTCTACTACTTTTCTAAACAATGTCGACTCGTCTTCAAACCTTCATAATCATATTAAAGCTCGTTTAAACTACAAGAAGTTGATAGAGAATGTGGACGCAGCTATTGAGAATGGCAAGAAACGATTCAGTGAAGGAAATCCACAGCTTGTAGCTGATTTATACCAACGTCAGGCTAAATTACGTCATCGTGTCAATCTTCTACGAGCAGAACGCAATATTCATGCGAAACAACTTGGCCAAGCGGCTGCAGCAGTGAAGAAACAGGAAAAAGAAGAAGAAAACAACACTTTTGATGCCTTGTGTCTTCATGGACAGAATCTCAAACGACAGATTGCAGACGTTGAGAGTGAGCTGATGCACGTGTCATTGGATTTGGAGATGGAAGCTTTGAAAATTCCCAATGATACACATCCTGATGTACCTGTTGGCACTGAAGTAGACTCGCGTGTGGTCATGACACATGGAAAAAAGCCTGTGTTTCATTTTAAACCTAAAGACCACTATGACTTGGCTACGGAATTGGAGTTATTGGACACTCAGACGGCTTCTCGAGTCGCAGGATCTAAGTTCACGTACTTGTGTAATGAAGGTGCAATGATGGAAATTGCGTTGGTACATTGGACACTGACCAAGCTGCGTGCACGTGGATTTAAAATCATGTTTCCACCTGATGTCGCGCACTATAAACTTGTTGAAGGTTGTGGGTTTCAGCCGCGTGGAGAGGCAACGCAGATGTACTCGATTGCAAACTCGGACTTGTGTCTGACTGCTACGTCGGAAATTGCGCTGGCTGCTTCCAAAAGCAATGAGATCATCTCGACACCTACTTTGCCACTCAAATATGCTGGATTTAGTCATTGTTTCCGTACGGAGATTGGACATGGTGGCCGTCAAACGCGCGGTATCTATCGCATTCACCAATTTAGCAAGGTAGAAATGTTTGCTTTCTGTGCCAACGACACCCAAGCCCAGGAGTTTTTTGACGAAATGGTAGACATTCAGACGAGTATGTACGCCGAGCTGGGTCTTCACTTTGAGCTCATGGACATGGCAACCGGTGATCTTGGTGCACCAGCGTACCGTAAGTTTGATCTGCTGGCCTGGATGCCTGGCCGCGAAGCGTACGGCGAGGTCTCGAGCATGTCCATGTGCACCGACTATCAGGCTCGCCGCCTTAACATTCGCCACAAGAACCCAAAGGACGAGGAGGATGGAACATCGTTTGTGCATACACTCAACGGCACTGCCTGCGCGGTCCCTCGTCTGCTCATCAGTTTGTGGGAGACGTACCAGCAGGAAGATGGCTCCATTGTAATTCCAGAGGTGCTTAGGCCGTATATGGGTGGCCAGGAGGTCATTCGGCCCCCTGAGTGAAGTAGAACACCAGCAGGATAGATTATTATAGACACGACCAATAGTCGTCTCACGAGCCGATCTGCTGCTGCTGTTGTTGTCGCAGGTGTGGTGCATTGATCATCTGTTTATCTATTCCACGCACTGTTGGCGTTCATGTCGTTTCTGACGCAGTTTGTCGGGCTGCTATTGCTTTCTACTGCCCGCACATATAGCAAGCCTTGAATACAGTCGCGAACGTCAAACGACTCGAAGCGGCCGCTAGCAGTGAGTAAGTACACCTGCGTCGCGGTGGCGGCAGTGATGATGCCGGACATCACGCACTCATCCTGACTTTCATGTGCATTACCAGCCGCCACTTCTAATCGCTGGCGTCTAAATACCTCCACCTCCTGTCCCTCCTGTAGCATGCGTGGGTTGTAATGCAGTCGAGGCCGTGTCTTCTTTGTTGCTGTGCTCGTCACTCTGTGTGATGGTGTCGCACATAAGTTCGGTCCTGATGTGTGTGGTATCCTCCTGGGAGTGATAATCATTGGTCTCTGTCGTTTTGCCTTTTGTTTCTTCTGGTAATTCTTCTTCAGCTCATGGTTTTGCTCATGTTGTAGCATAATCTTGTGCTTCTTCTTATCCATCTTAATCTCACGGGCCTTCAAGTGCTTTTCACGACACATCAAAGCACTTTGAATTGTTTTCAAATCCTCAGCAATTTCTTTAGCTGTCACTTGTTCGACCACAGGTTCAAACACTGAAGCACTTCCCAAAAGTTGTTCAAGACGTTTTTTTTTCCTGAAATTGTACTCGTTGTGCTCTCTCTTCCGGCGATGCCGAGGCCAAAAAGACATCTTCTGGTCCCTCTTCATCTCCATCACTAGTGTACATGGTACGTCGTCTCCTCATACTATTTCCAGATGCTTGAACCGGCATCAAACACTTTCCTCGTGTCTCGTGTCGCACTGTTCGACGTCGTCGACTTGTGACACTCACCCCATCCTTAGCTGTCTGTAATCTCCTTAATTCTCGTTCAATATCCACATTTATGTCTCTCTGAACGTCCATACAACGACGAGCATATGTCTCTTGAGCTTTTTCACGTGCATATTCCAAGACTTGAAATGCTGCAATCCGTCGTCTCTCGAGAGCTGCCTGAGCTCTAATCACTTGTTTTTCATGTGTCGCTACTAACAAATCACATTCTTGTATAAACTCCACTGCTGTCTCGTTCTCTAGTTGTTCTTCTAATGCAATTAATCGTAATAATTCCGACTCCAGACTCGCTCGATCTCTCGGTACCATATCGACACCAAAATTGTCATCGTTCTCGTGCTTGAAAACGTTTAAATCCGTGTCACTTGTACTACTACTTGAAGAATTAAGTAGGCTCGATATGGGTCGATTCTTGTGGTCCGAATCGCTTTGAAAGACGCAGGACGTCACTTTTAGCGCCTCATCCATCGCCTAATGGACGGCAAATTCCGAAATGACAGTCATTTGGTCAAAAAGGATGGAAATAAAACGGTTTAATTGGGTCATAAAATCAAGTTTCAACGTTTAAACGGATAAAAATTGTGGCTACTGAGAGCTGAGTCCTTTACTTTATTTGTCTCTCTAAGCGTGACGCTTGTGCATCACACGCTCGAAACATATGCGTAGTTTTTGAAACTCTTTTTCACATGCTTGACGGTTGATTCCACCGTGGAGATCAGCCACGCACTTGCCATAGACTTGAATCTAATAATATATTAAAGTAAATTAAAATTGTTAATACTAAGGTCAGTTTCGACGAAAGTAAGGGAGTTAAAAAAAAGTAATGACATAAAGTCATGGAAGTAATCAAGATGGACTTACTTACATCAAGTGGACAATCGATTAACATGTGAGAAAAGAGTTTACTCATACGCACAGGCGTTTTTTTAGTGGTAGAGCTTCCAGGTATCATTTCGTTAAGCTAAAAATTGACCTTTTAACGTTTAAACGTAAAATGTGTTACTTTAAAAATAGTACCTGTTGTTCGCATTGATACTGTATTAATACTTTTTTGGGGTTGAAAAGTGTTGCAATATGCAAGTGGTTACAGTACTCGTGTCGTGTCGACAAGTCTTGGTTGGTGTCCAGCACTTATCCTTGACATTCTGAAACGCTTTCGCTCTCGTTACTCGATAGATAGTGCACTTGATCAGAATCGGAAGCTGATGGGGCGAAAAAGGGAGCTTCGACTAATGTGGCACTCGAAACTTCCTCTGCAACAGCTGAACTTGGCTTTTCTACTTTGTCAGAAGCTGTAGCAATGACAGGCAATGGTTTTTCCTCATAGTCCCCATGCCGTTCTTCCTTGGTCGGATCAATTGCTGCGTCAATAGCGATGGTCTCGGCATCACTTTCAACAGCTGTAACAGCCTGAACAACGGAAGTATCTTGCAGCGGAGGTGGCGGAGGGCCATCGCTCATGTTGCTATCGCTCTCCATAGTTATCTCAGTCTCTTGAGAAGGAGCGGCGACCTGTAGCTGCTGAATAATAGTCTTCGTGCTTGACTTCAACACCTTTCGAATAGCTGTGAGCACTTGTTTACCATCCACAGCTGTTTCTTCTTCAAACACGTCTTGGAAGCGGAAAAACATCTCGTTTACAGACTCTTTGAAAAGAGCCACCAGCCTCTCACGCTCCTCGGCATCTCCTTCAGTATGCGTGGCAACAGCTAACATATCCTGCGCCTCGCGCTTTATCGCTTCCGTGGTGGCCACAGCACGCGATGCTGCCTGCTCACGCTCCTTCACTGACGCACAGTTCTCGCACTCACCCTCAAAGCCCATCTGAGGAGTAGACCCAGATACTGACATGCGACCAGACTCCAGAGTCTGATGCACTTGCTCATACATCTCATGCTCCAGATCTTTAACCTTTTGCTGCAACAGGTCTATCTGCTCCACAAAAAGACGTTTCTCTTCAGCTGCTAATAAGCTCGCCGCCTCAGTATTATTTGCATCCGGGGTTGCTGCCTTAGACTCAAGGTTCGTCTCCAGTTCATGAACACGCACCGAGTACACATCCAGTTTACCAGTCAATTCCTCGTTCCTTCGCTGCAGTTGAGCAAACTGCTGCACGACTTTTTCCAGCTGCTGTTGTGTGTCTCGCTCTTTCGTCTCACTTTGCGTTACTAAATGCTGCGCCTGCTCCTCCGCATAAGCTTGCAGTCGTAATTTTTCATCATTTACCTTCTGTAGTTGCGCCTGAAGAGAGCTTACATGCTGCTCCAATTGAGCCGTCGCAGTAGCGAGTTCTGAAGTTTTCACTTGCAGAGCCACGTCGTGCTGTTTCTTCATAAGTGCCAACTCCTGTTCCGCCAAAGATCGAGCCTGTGTTTCCTTGGCAAGCTGCTTTTCAGCTCGTGAGCGAGCTTCGCGTTCAAAACTTAATGCCTGCTTGTGCTCCTCAGTCTCATTACTAAGCCCTTGTTGCTGCTGGAGCTGGTAGTAGGCCGTCAATAGTTGCTGGTACTCCCCATGCAAACGGTTTGTCTGCGTAACTGCAGCGTCCCGTGCACTGGCAAGAGAACTTAGCTCCGAAGTTGCATTTAGCTGAGAGCTTGCCGCAGACTGATAACGTTCCTGCAGTGTGCGCTTCTCCTCTTGTAGACGTCTGTTTTGGTCCAATAGCTCCTCACAACGCCTTTCGTACGATGACTGCTGCTGGTGTTGCGAATTGATCTGAGTCAAGAGCCTGTCATTTTCGCTAGCGAGCCTCTCCACACCACGCATAACGGCAGCAACATCACTGGGACCTGCACCGATGCCTGACCCAGAGTTAGTTGATGCGGCTGGTGCCATACGGATGAGGTAATCCACCTTGGCGTTCAATTCCGATAACATCGCGTCTACCGGACGCCCTCCAACTAGCGCGTTATTATTGAACAACGACGATGTGCTCGGAAAATTGCTGTTGTAGCCACTACCTAAACCAAAGCCCATAGGCCCGAAGCTACTACTACCTCTAGCAGCACTCATCCGTTCACGTTCAAGAGCTTGCGCCTGAAGCTCTAGCTGTTGCTCACGTTGTAACATACGAAGCTCCTTAAGCTCCATTTCATTTCTTGCAGCAATACTATTTACGTCTTCATCATATGGTACAAGGTCTCCACTTTTCGCAGTGTCATTTCGATCATGCAGACTGCGCATCGTATTTGATCGGGACGATGTTGTCGTAGCGGTGGAAGAGTTTGGACTCGAACGTCGTCGTGTTGTCTTCCTATCGGAAGCTGCTTTAGCTGCTTCTTCTGAGCTTGCTGCAGATGTATTTGCAGCCGGGACAGATTTTCGTTGGCTTGTCGCATTTCCTGTTTTGGTTTTCAACAACTCAATTTCCAGCAGATACCAATCCTGTCCATTTGTTTTCCCCGGCGGGGCCAACACAATTCGTTTTCCGCCCTTCCTCATCCCCACAATACCTTCTTCCAATGCCTTGATCCGTTCACTGCTTTCTCCAAGTCGAATTTTGCGTAAATCACCCGCAGCAGCTTTTTCAAAAGGTGCGTACTTGGTCACCACATCTCCCGGTGCTGAGCTGGCATTGCCGACAACTCTCCACGCACTAAATGCTACTGCAACTGTATCATTACTAGTCACTTGTTGTGTTTCCGGCTTGACAAAGACCAAATCATCTTGAATTAAAGCACTAGGATTTGTCTTGATCACGGTCTTGTCACTGCCCCAGATTTCAATATGAATCTTGGCCAAGAAAACTTGACGCATGAACTCAACCACTTGATCATCAGCTGAGAACTTGACCGACCAATTGACACTTTGTTCATCGTAGAAATTCACGTAACTTTTGGCTTGGAGCGTCGGTTTAAAGGCTCCAAACTTAATGGGAACAGCACATAAATGCTGCTTCGCTGCGTTATAAAACAGCAAATTATAGGACGTCTCCCTGCCGACAATAACACAGCCTACAGCAGCTTTACTTCCAGCTGTAGCAGCTCCCAATTGCACGTACTTACGAGCCGTAGCGTCGTATTGATACAAAGAGACCATAGTAGAGTATACGACCGAAGACGACGTAGAGGAGGCTACAGGAGCCACTGTTTGCTGTTGTTGTTGCTGCTGTTGTTGTGAAGGTTCTCGAGGTGCCGTGTATCGTAATGCATCGTTTCCACTGCTAATAGAGGCCGAGGTTTCTTGAAAAATGCCATTCAGTCGAGTGCTTGGGTTTAAAGACATTTGTGACGTGTGTAGGAGGAACTAAACGGTGAAACAGAGATGATCTTGATCAGGAGATAAAGGGGGAGGTGATCTATGTGGTGTAGGGGGTGAAGAAGTCGGGGTTACAGCGCACAGAAATGCAGACAAGACCAAGCGTTTTTCAACTGCTGTTTACGTCGGAGTATTGACGGATTTAAATGATGATGCCACTGTAAGTTGACGTGTCACACATAAATCGAGCAACAACATGGGTGCATCTTATATATAATATGAGTCGGCTTTTGACCCATTTATCCGTACGCACTAGTAGTATACATGTGTATACCGAGTTGAGATGACTAGTACTATACACGTGTATAGTACTATAGACATGTATAGTCCTAGTCTCCACAAACCAGTAAATTCGTACTACCCGATGGCGTCAGTACGAGTGCTGTTTCCGTCGATCGCTGCATTAAAATCCTCCAAGCGAAGGCGCCTAGACGAAACTTCAGACGTCGTACTCGATGAGTGTAAAATCTCAAGTGAAAATGCTTTCTCCATCGATATGAAACTCACAAGTCAAGACACGAGCTTCGGTTCCAATTCAATGGACATGAAGACAACACAGAGCCGCATTCAATGTGCCGAGTGTGGCGAACACTTTATGTTTGCAACAAAGCTGGTTGAACACAGTAAAAAAACGCAGCATCGACCCTTTGCTTGTCACTACCAAGACTGTAAAAAGTGCTACACCAAGCGAGAACATCTGACGCGTCACGTTGAGACTGTGCACGTGTGTGGTGGTACAATTCAATCACTAAAACAAGGCAAACGGTTTAATTGCAAACTTTGTGAGGCTCGATTTGCCTACAATCACGGCCTTACACGTCATATGAAACGCTCTCATCGAAACGTGAACCTCCCATTTGAATGTTTTGAGTGTCTTAAGGGGTTTAAGAAAAAGAGTGAGCTCCAAGCACATTCGTACGTGCATACAGGTGTACTGCCTTTTGAGTGTCAAGAGTGTGGAGAACGATTTTTGAAGCGTTTCTGGCTCACACGGCATCAAAGGAAGCATGATGCAACCAAAAAAGCAGATACTCAAGTGTATGTGTGTGAGTGTGGTGAGATATGCTTTGATGAAGACGAGCTGAAGCGTCATAAGCAAGTAAAACACAGCAATGAAGTCAGAGAAGATATTGTGGATGGCAGTGGGAGTCCTAAAACGAAAGTGCCCACGTCTGTGTGTCTTGTGTGTGATCAAACCTTCAGTCGAAAGCAGTATCTGCGTGCCCATTTGCGCACGCATTTTGAGTCGTTGGATGATCGCAAACAATACACATGTCCAATGGACGGATGTGACAAGGCGTACACACGTTCGTCGAATTTGATGACACATTACAACGCAGTCCATGATAAGCTTAAGTCAAAGCGATTTGCGTGTCCACGTAAAGACTGCACGGCACGATTCGGCTATAAGACGGTTCTGAAGCATCACATTGAGAGCATTCACGATAATCCAAAGCCACCTAAACGGCGCGAACGCAAGTCTGCGGGTATTCTTGAACAAGTGCTTGGAGTGAACCAATTCGGCGAGCAAGAACCACAAGTCGCTCTTGCAGTGGAAAAATGATTAACTGAGCCACTGTAGACGCAGGCAAACTGTACAGCTTTTTACGTAATATGAAATGCATGCAGCCGTTTTTCTCATGACTCAGCACGTCTGCTACTCTATCTGAGGCCACCGTCGAACATGCACGTGATAGCCAACTTGTATCAAGTTGTCGTGCTGTGATCGAGTAATACATTTAGACCATGACGTGCAATCTGCTTTCATTCATCACGATACAGACAGCTCAATACAAGTCCTTCCAAGTATCATTTCATACGAAACAGCTCTAGATGATGTTATTGCGCTGCGTTATTGCCGCCAGACCACAGTCTAGCCGCACTCCCATTTACTAACTTACACCTGAGGGCCAAACTTAGAGTAATCCGTGACGTCTGCCGACACGTACTTCTTAAAGTTGTCCTTAAACATACTAGCCAGTTTCTTGGCCGTAACGTCGTAGGCCGCCTTGTCACTCCAAGCCTCACGCGGGTTCAGCACGTTTTCGGGAATATCAGCCAGCTTCTTGGGCACCTGGAAGCCGAAGTTAGGGTCCACCGAAAACTCGGAGGTTTTAATTGAGCCGTCCAGGATGGCGTCAATGCACGCACGTGTGTTCTTGATGCTCATTCGCCTGCCGACGCCGTAGCCGCCGCTCGTCCAGCCAGTGTTAACAAGGTAGACAGAGGTGTTGTGCTTCTTCAGCTTCTGCTGCAACAGATCAGCGTACTTTGTCGGGTGCAGGGGCAGGAAAGCTGCGCCAAAGCATGCACTAAAGGTAGCCGTGGGCTCTGTCACACCACGCTCCGTGCCGGCAACTTTGGCTGTGTATCCCGACAGGAAGTGGTACATTGCCTGACCGTCGCTCAGCTTGGACACGGGCGGCAGCACACCGTAGGCGTCGCACGTCAGGAATACAATGTTGGACGGGTGACCGCCGGTCGAGGACGGCTCGTGGTTCGGGATGTGATAGATGGGGTATGACACACGGCCATTTTCTGTCTTGGACGTGTTGTAGAAGTCTGGTTCCTTGGTCTCCGCGTCCACGAAGACGTTCTCCAGCAAAGCATTGCGCTTAATGGCGTTGTAAATATCCGGCTCGTTCTCGCGGCTCAAATTGATGGTCTTGGCGTAGCATCCGCCTTCAAAATTAAAGATGCCATCGTCATCCCATCCATGCTCGTCATCACCAATGAGGTTACGGTGCGGATCAGCCGACAACGTGGTCTTGCCCGTGCCTGACAGGCCAAAGAAGAGAGCCGTGTCCCCATTTTTGTCCTTGTTGGCTGAGCAGTGCATGGCCATAACGCCATCTAATGGCAACCAGTAGTTCATCATGGAGAAGATACCCTTCTTCATCTCTCCACCGTACCACGTGCCTCCAATGACAGCAACGTCCTTCTCAATGTTAAAAGCAACAAACACCTCGGAGTTAAGACCGTGTTTCTTATAGTCCTCGTTCGTAACTTTGCAAGCATTTACAATAGTAAAGTCTGGCTTAAAGTCAGCAATCTCCTCCTTACTCTGCGGACGAAGGAACATGTTGGTCACAAAGTGATGCTGCCATGCAAGTTCTGTAATAAAGCGCACTTTCTTGCGTGACGCCGGATTGGCGCCAGCATAGCCGTCAAAGACGTAAACCTTCTCGGCTGAGCTGTAATGTTTAGTCACAGTCTTGTACAGCTCATCAAATACTTCGGCACTCACGGGTCGATTAATGTCACCCCACCAAATGTTCTTATTTGATGGCGCCTGGTCGACAATGTACTTGTCTTTGGGCGAACGACCCGTAAACTTGCCCGTGTCAATGGTGTACGTACCATTCTTGACAAATTCACCCTCACCATTCTTCTTCTCATGAGCAGCAATCTCATCGTAGCTGAGGTTACGATGCACCTGAGTCTTGGCATTTGTGACACCAAACTTTTCAATACCGAGCGACGCGGCGCTGGCATTGGCAAAGGTGCGTAGGGTAAAGGAAGGTGCAAAGATAGGCGATGATTGCACGAGCTTTACGGATGCAAGGCGCTGCATACGCAGACTCGTACGTAAAGTAGCCGTAAACATTATAAAGTCTCAGAGGCTTCTTTGAAGACGGAGGTAAATTCAGAAGTGAGTGGAAAGATATAAGGTCGTACTTACTGACGAGCAAAAGTAGCCAATCCAAGAGAAGGCAAACCTACCCCCTCCCCTTTGATACATTTCGCCTTACGGCACACGAACGCTTAACTTCAACCAGCTTGTGCGTACGTAGCCGAGCCGGACCGCGCTGGCCACTGGTATCGTCGTCATCAGCAGTACGAAACATCAGCGCGTCACGCAGCGGCGTTGAGCAATTGCAGTTTCGTCGCAATTCGGCAACAACTGGAATGCGTGTCCTCTGATTGTATTGTCATAGACCAACAGTGCTCTCGTGGCCAAGCAATGCTTTGGTATGAAGTATAAAATTACGAGGCGGACGTCAGACTCGCTTGCTTATCGCACCATTTAGACACTACAACACCGCGGTGCACCCACCACGCGTGACGCGCTTTTATCGCTCAAGAAGTAGACATTTGAAAGCTGCCTCAGCTTTTGACAACCATTTGGCCAGTGATGTGATGAACTCACATATTTGGCTGCGAGATGCACATTCCCATTGCAGGCTGAAGCCTCTGTTGTCTCACCTTTCCGCCTGGAGGAGGAAAACGCTTCAGCATATGAGCTGAAATGGTAGACGTCAGAAGACCAGCATCGTGTCAAAGCGCTTGCGAATGGAAGGACATGTGCGCCATTTTCCATCCAAGCATCCGGACGAGGCAGCAGCAATCGGATGCACATATACGCTCGTGGGATGCGCACAATGCACCAAGAGATTGTTCCTCAGAACGCGTAGTAAGGAGCTGCAGAAGGCGAAGATTATCAAATCTTTCTTGTTTCAGATGTCAGAAGATAGTGCTTTAACTCAGCCGCGGGATCTAGTTTCCAGAGACCTGCGATGAGAACCTGTGTCTGCAGTATTGTCATGGTCAATGAAACAGGTCACAATACTTTGAATGGTGAATCTCGCATACTGCATGGAGCATTAAATGATAGCTTTTATTTTGTGCACTATCTTATGGATGGACCCAATTTTTTTTGATTTGAGGACAAGGCGATGGTGTGCTACACACCACGTCCATAAGAACTACTTGTTCGTACCGGTTCAAGTACCGGAGGCATTTGTCCGACGGCGTACCGGTCTTGCCGACGGCGGTAGACTCAGACTGCGACACATGGTGCGCTTTCCAAATAATCCCTCTACATCATCATTTGCTTAGTATACGCAGCACCGACTGCATCCATTCGCGCACAAAATACGCGCAAGTATGCAGTCTGTATAGCATCGACAAGCAGGATGGAATGTCCACAGGTTTATCGAACAAGGTGCTCGGTCCTTTGGCTGACCCCATGGTGGTATCATAGCAGAGTCGATGACATATCTGAGACGTCAGTCGCCGTGTTCTTGACTACTCTTCATGTTTTAGCCTTAATTTCGGCCAAAGGCTTTTCAATGTGGTTGGACTCATCGCACTTAACTTCCGTTCATGTCTAAAGTGTTGCCCTACCACTCATTGGTACGCTTTGCAGCCGCAGTAAGCGTTGCTGCCCTGTTTGTCATTTAACGATCCTTGCGGTTCTGATTCATGTATACAAGCCGATCAACATCCGTTTCGTCATAGCAGTTACGTGGTTGATCGAAGACCATGAGGTCATTTTGCCCACACGTCATGCAATGCTGCGGAGGGTTGCTTGCTACCATTCAGCAGATTATGCTGTAAATTTTCATCACCCTCACTATCATTTCTGGGCGCAGCACTGCTAGACATTGACTATGGAGCGAACGAGATGTGACAGTACTATGTCCTGGATAACCCGATTAGAGTCGGCATGGTACACATTCCAGACGTACTTACTTGCTAAGGGTGCTATGCTGATAAGCAGTTTATGCTTTTATGCATCTACACGTATCTGGAAATCGATGAACGACGATCCGGCTGACCGGATCGATCCCAATAGATATTGCTAGCTAAAGTCTGGCTGTTTTCAGCAATAACGACGTGCCTTTGGTGGCTTGATCTGCCTCCTGATCATGTTCAGGCAAAAGACCGTTGAGATATTAAAACAGTGCTAGTGAAGGGAATGATTGCTTGGCGCCTCGTACTCGTCGGTCGGAATGATTGCGGCCAAGTCCAGTCGTGTTCCAGTAGATTGATCTGCTATTTGATTGGTTGGAATCCAGAACGAAGCTGTGGCCAACGGGCGCGAAACATCTCTGATTGGGTGGACCGTGGGGAGAGATGACGTGGCCGAAATCTACGCTCAGTGATAGTGACATCTGTTTAGTGCTCAATGTTTGGTTGGTCATGGGGTGATCTAGTTGCCGAATTGTAATTATACGTTGGGATGCTAGCGTTTCTGTCAGTGAATCAGAATGATCTTCAGTTCGTTTCGCGCATGTTTACTTGAACATGCTCGCAGCGAAGGCTTGAAAAGAAGGTTGCGATCATTCATGATCACTTGGTTTCACTATGGGGATAGAGAAACGAAAACGAAGGAGTTGCGCAATGTCGCCCCGCCCTCGGTCACGAGGTTAAAAAGATAGAAAAAACCTTGAAAGGTTTTGTAACCAATCTCATGGTGGAGAGCTCTCTCTGGCCGAATCATTCCTGAGGAAGAATCCGAGCAAAGAGGTGAGCATGGGAATGTGATCAAAGGCAACGGGTTGCTCGCCAGTCTGGACAGACGAGAGTATCTGACGTGTGTAAAGACGATTCTGACGTGCAACGGTTGTATCTTTTTGTTTTGTCGCCTGTACAGAAACAAGAAGAATGGAGACGACTGCTGATCAGCGCAAGTGCCACAACTGCGGCGAGTCCGGCCACATTCGTCGTGACTGTTCTGAGGCTCCCTCGCAAGAGAGCGGCCCTGGTGGCTACAACAGTGGGGGTGCTGCCTGTTTTGGCTGCGGAAAATCTGGTCACCTGAAGCGTGACTGCCCTACGAGCGCCGGTGGCCGTGCCTGCCACAACTGCGGCCAAGTGGGCCACATCCGTCGCGATTGCGCTGAAGATGTGCAGCCACCGAAATGCCATAACTGCGGTGAGTCGGGTCATCTCCGTCGTGACTGTGCACAGGAGCTGCGTGAGTCACGCAAGTGCCACCACTGCGGCCAAAGTGGTCATCTCCGTCGTGACTGCCCTGATGATAACGGTCCTAACGAGGACAAATGCTACCAGTGTGGTGAGGCTGGTCATTGGGCCCGAAACTGTCATGGCGTTACTGCATAAGCACCCGTGAAGGATCTGACTGCGAGAGGAAGAGGGAGTGAAGGAGCGAGCGAAAAAGGAGAGGGCATTAGATGTGTGTGATGACGCGCGGAACTGCCTGCTTTGTACTAGTATTTTCCCATGAGATCTTTGGCTTTTCGTAATGGTGAGACACGTAGTGAGAGGAAGAAGGAGCTCTTCTGGATGCGGCATCACGTCGTGGCTTCAACATGTGAGGTCGCTGTGGACCGCAGCAGTACTTGGATTTCTTATTAACTAAACTAACATGTCAAAACAAACACAATCCACCCATACACCGAGCCGGATTAGAATAACGATTACCATCTTGTTGCAAGTATGAGCCATATACACGTATATAGTCATGTCTACCATCAAAACCCTTGCACGCGCAGTTTATAACCAGATACTTCTGCGCCCTGCTATCATTTTTATATTTTTCTTCTCGATTTTCTCAAGTAGTTTACTTTCCTAGTAGCAGCAATCATCGAGCAAGAGAAGACGATCAACATGAAAGAGCAGTTGACAAACTGCTCGCTCGTTTGTCTCGCTCATTTCACACTGTCATGTGATGGTCACTTTCTTGACAATGACACTCGAAAGCTATTGCTTTGAATTGAATGCCGCCTTCTTCGCCGCTAGTTTTCTGTCCCGTTCGTCCATCATACGGTCCCAGTCCGTCAAAAGCTCCAACTTGCTCTGAATATTCACATTGCATAAATACAAACCCCAATTATTGTTATATGATACACAAAATGCAGCGAGAGATAAGTATTACAGAAAAAAAAGCAAGCGCACCTGCATGTTGTTATGAGCCTGTCGCTTATTGACTGCACCTAAACCCACACCCATAAGCGAGAAGGCGAGAGAGATGACTACGAGACCTGGTAGAACTTGATAGGGCATTTTACAGTGATAAAAGACTTGAGCGAATGTGAGGCGCAGGAACGCCCCCGACCCCTAACTCAGATGTAGCGCAAAAGTCATAGAAAACTCAAGATATTTCTATACTCTTTTTCGATCAACAAAGCGCCCATACAAAGATTTAGTTTCAAGTCATTTTAGTATTTCAAGGCTAAAAAATAGAGCGTTTCCTGTATACTGTAGTAGTATTCATGAGACTATTTGCCATAACAACTATGATCCCGATTATTAAAAGGCGGCAACGTATTGAATCATTAAGCTTTTTGAACAAAGTAAACACACTATACAGCAGGCCCAAATGTACATGTACATGTTTATGCGTCGCAATATACACTGCTGATGTGTGCAATTACTTGCCAGAACCCCATGCTTTCTGCACAGCTGCCAGTTTATCAGCCAGTACCTTCAACGGGTTTGCCCATTCCCCCCAGAATGCAGTGAGACCACCTGAACCCTTTCTCTCCTGTTCATTGAGAGCCTTGGTGATACGCTGAGCTAGCAACTGGGACGGATACTCGATCAAGTGGTACGAAGCCGTCGCTAGCATACAGACAAACCCGAATCGGGAAAATAGCCTGCAGTAATAGTTTGGCTGAGATTTGACACGCTTATTATAGACAACAAAGCCATGCAGCAGGTAGACGGAAAAGCTGATCTTGCCCCAGTAACGCAAGAAACTCCACTCAAGCATCGATGACAGCGGCGACGGTAGGAGCATCTCGCACGCGAGCACAATACTCAAGACCAAACTAACAAAAGGAAATCCCGGAGATTCCTTCACTGGGTTTTTGTGCACCCAAATGAAAAATAGTCCACGGAAGGCAATGCTGAGGAAAACAGCAAGTGCCAAAGACTCAATCGTACGGAGAATGAGTTTGTGAATGAATCGAACCTGAAAATTATTTACCCGGATCCACGTGTCCAATTTGACAAAGAGCACTGCAGTCATCGACCCCACCACGAACGTCGGAAGGTGGGGACGCATCCCCGTGTGGCTCGTGCGAAACTCGTTGCATCCTTCCTTAGCAACCCAGTAGTACGCCGGAATATAAGGCACCCACCAGAACTTTCGTAGTAAAAGTGTCCCCAGCACAAAAACCGGAATGAAAAAGTAGTACGAGATCTCAAGAGGTAGAGTCCAAAAGACAAAGTAGCGGTGGTGAAACTCAAACGTGAGGGTTTGGTAGAGATCATAGATCCCTGACTCCTTTATTGCAAAGTAGTGGTCCTTTACCTGATCATCCATGAACCACAGCGCAATGCACGTGATTGCAAACAATGGATAAACTCGACAGAACCGTCTAGAAAAATAGTCGGCCAGAGCAAAAATCCATGTCCGGATTCCTGCGCCTTGATTGAGCATTCGTATGCTCTTTTTCATGAAATTCCACGTCAGTAGGAATGACGACAAGACAAAGAACGTGTCTACTGCCACCGCACCCATATTTAAGTCCCTCATGTACTCCTTTGAATGCTGCATGAAGACTAGGATAGCGGCCAAACCACGTATACCGTCAAGAAACAACACTTTTGTTGGATGTGTCGATGCCGTTGTCGTCATCGTTTTTACAAGTTTCGTGTGCTTGTCCTTCTTTTCCTCTTGTTCATCCTGCATCAATAGTGGTTCATCCTCAGGTATCGATTGCACATTGATAGTCAAGTCATCATATTTCTTGGCAGGTTCATTAGTACAAAGCATTTCCAATTGGAGATCTAATGTTATACTTTCGTAAGACCTTCGTAAGACCTTCGTAAGACCTTGTTGCTGAATGAATTAGTATACTGTTAGTATACAAGGTCGTCAATGTCCCCGCCATCTCCACATACAATTTGCAGCTTTTTGATTGGATAAATTGTCAAAACGATATCGATATAATTGTATCATACAAAATCGGCGTCAATGAGACCTTTGAGACTTAATAATATCAAGCCATCCACACGACAGAAAACTTGCCCAAAAACTACCTTATATCGAGAGAGATGGTAAGTTTCATGTGGTCCACGCCTCACCTGCGCTATAATAAGTCGGCACCATGAAGAACGATAGCGACGCAGCCTGGTGCGACGTCTTTGGCGAATTGCTGGTGTTTAAGCAGGACTTTGACACTGCCATGCACATACTTATGTTCCAGGATGAAAAGGTGGCGCGACTGTCGCTTGAAGATTCACCGCTGAAGAGAATTAAGCGAGGAAAACGGACCATAACCCGCAGAAATTGCACTTCAATAAGGCAGAGCCCCAGTAAAAAGCGCAGACGATCAGAAATATCACAAATAAAACGTGGAGAGGATCCGCGTTTATCTCTACGTGTCATTACGTCTTTTTCCAGTGAAGATGACGATGACAAAGAGAAAAAGAGGGGGAAAAAAGTGACACAAGACATTGAGACGAAAAACGACGTTGTGGTCGAGGATTTCGCTACTTTGTTAGGAGAATGTATTGATAGAATAGCCATGGTGCCGAGTTTATTCAGTACTGGGTCTGGAAAGATGATGTCAGTGTCCAAGTCGCGGTTGCAGGTGTACGAGGAGAAGCTGAACAGTGAGGAGGAGTCTATGGCCGATAGCACGGCCATGGTGCCGAGTCTATTCAGTACTGGGTCTGGGAAGACGATGTCAGTGTCCAAGTCGCGGTTGCGGGTGTACGAGGAGAAGTTGAACAGTGAGGAGGAGGCAGTGGCCGATAGCACGACCATGGTGCCGAGTTTATTCAGTAGTGGGTCTGGGAAGACGATGTCAGTGTCCAAGTCGCGGTTGCGGGTGTACGAGGAGAAGCTGAGCAGTATGGAGGAGTCTATGGCCGATAGCACGGCCATGGTGCCGAGTTTATTCAGTACTGGGTCTGGGAAGACGATGTCAGTGTCCAAGTCGCGGTTGCGGGTGTACGAGGAGAAGTTGAACAGTGAGGAGGAGTCTATGGCCGATAGCACGGCCATGGTGCCGAGTTTATTCAGTAGTGGGTCTGGGAAGACGATGTCAGTGTCCAAGTCGCGGTTGCGGGTGTACGAGGAGAAGCTGAACAGTGAGGAGGAGTCTATGGCCGATAGCACGGCCATGGTGCCGAGTTTATTCAGTACTGGGTCTGGGAAGACGATGTCAGTGTCCAAGTCGCGGTTGCGGGTGTACGAGGAGAAGCTGAACAGTGAGGAGGAGTCTATGGCCGATAGCACGGCCATGGTGCCGAGTTTATTCAGTACTGGGTCTGGGAAGACGATGTCAGTGTCCAAGTCGCGGTTGCGGGTGTACGAGGAGAAGCTGAACAGTGAGGAGGAGTCTATGGCCGATAGCACGGCCATGGTGCCGAGTTTATTCAGTACTGGGTCTGGGAAGACGATGTCAGTGTCCAAGTCGCGGTTGCGGGTGTACGAGGAGAAGCTGAACAGTGAGGAGGAGTCTATGGCCGATAGCACGGCCATGGTGCCGAGTCTATTCAGTACTGGGTCTGGGAAGACGATGTCAGTGTCCAAGTCGCGGTTGCGGGTGTACGAGGAGAAGCTGAACAGTGAGGAGGAGTCTATGGCCGATAGCACGGCCATGGTGCCGAGTCTATTCAGTACTGGGTCTGGGAAGACGATGTCAGTGTCCAAGTCGCGGTTGCGGGTGTACGAGGAGAAGTTGAACAGTGAGGAGGAGTCTATGGCCGATAGCACGGCCATGGTGCCGAGTCTATTCAGTACTGGGTCTGGGAAGACGATGTCAGTGTCCAAGTCGCGGTTGCGGGTGTACGAGGAGAAGCTGAACAGTGAGGAGGAGTCTATGGCCGATGGCACGGCCATGGTGCCGAGTCTATTCAGTACTGGGTCTGGGAAGACGATGTCAGTGTCCAAGTCGCGGTTGCAGGTGTACGAGGAGAAGGTGAGCAGTATGGAGGAGGCAGTGGCCGATAGCACGACCATGGTGCCGAGTTTATTCAGTAGTGGGTCTGGAAAGACGATGTCAGTGTCCAAGTCGCGGTTGCAGGTGTACGAGGAGAAGTTGAACAATATGGAGGAGGCAATGGCCGATAGCACGACCATGGTGCCGAGTCTATTCAGTACTGGGTCTGGGAAGACGATGTCAGTGTCCAAGTCGCGGTTGCAGGTGTACGAGGAGAAGCTGAGCAGTATGGAGGAGGCAGTGGCCGATAGCACGACCATGGTGCCGAGTTTATTCAGTACTGGGTCTGGGAAGACGATGTCAGTGTCCAAGTCGCGGTTGCAGGTGTACGAGGAGAAGTTGAACAATATGGAGGAGGCAATGGCCGATAGCACGGCCATGGTGCCGAGTCTATTCAGTACTGGGTCTGGGAAGACGATGTCAGTGTCCAAGTCGCGGTTGCGGGTGTACGAGAAGAAGTTGAACAGTATGGAGGAGTCAATGGCCGATAGCACGGCCATGGTGCCGAGTCTATTCAGTACTGGGTCTGGGAAGACGATGTCAGTGTCCAAGTCGCGGTTGCAGGTGTACGAGAAGAAGTTGAACAGTATGGAGGAGTCAATGGCCGATAGCACGGCCATGGTGCCGAGTTTATTCAGTACTGGGTCTGGGAAGACGATGTCAGTGTCCAAGTCGCGGTTGCAGGTGTACGAGGAGAAGGTGAACAGTGAGGAGGAGTCTATGGCCGATAGCACGGCCATGGTGCCGAGTCTATTCAGTACTGGGTCTGGGAAGACGATGTCAGTGTCCAAGTCGCGGTTGCAGGTGTACGAGGAGAAGGTGAGCAGTATGGAGGAGGCAGTGGCCGATAGCACGACCATGGTGCCGAGTTTATTCAGTACTGGGTCTGGGAAGACGATGTCAGTGTCCAAGTCGCGGTTGCGGGTGTACGAGAAGAAGTTGAGCAGTATGGAGGAGTCAATGGCCGATAGCACGGCCATGGTGCCGAGTTTATTCAGTAGTGGGTCTGGGAAGACGATGTCAGTGTCCAAGTCGCGGTTGCAGGTGTACGAGGAGAAGGTGAGCAGTATGGAGGAGGCAGTGGCCGATAGCACGACCATGGTGCCGAGTTTATTCAGTAGTGGGTCTGGAAAGACGATGCCAGTGTCCAAGTCGCGGTTGCAGGTGTACGAGGAGAAGCTGAACAGTGAGGAGGAGGCAATGGCCGATAGCACGACCATGGTGCCGAGTTTATTCAGTAGTGGGTCTGGGAAGACGATGTCAGTGTCCAAGTCGCGGTTGCAGGTGTACGAGAAGAAGTTGAACAGTATGGAGGAGGCAATGGCCGATAGCACGGCCATGGTGCCGAGTCTATTCAGTACTGGGTCTGGGAAGACGATGTCAGTGTCCAAGTCGCGGTTGCGGGTGTACGAGGAGAAGTTGAACAGTGAGGAGGAGTCTATGGCCGATAGCACGGCCATGGTGCCGAGTTTATTCAGTACTGGGTCTGGGAAGACGATGTCAGTGTCCAAGTCGCGGTTGCAGGTGTACGAGGAGAAGGTGAGCAGTATGGAGGAGGCAGTGGCCGATAGCACGGCCATGGTGCCGAGTCTATTCAGTAGTGGGTCTGGGAAGACGATGTCAGTGTCCAAGTCGCGGTTGCGGGTGTACGAGGAGAAGTTGAACAGTGAGGAGGAGGCAATGGCCGATAGCACGGCCATGGTGCCGAGTCTATTCAGTACTGGGTCTGGGAAGACGATGTCAGTGTCCAAGTCGCGGTTGCAGGCGTACGAGGAGAATGTGAGCAGTATGGAGGAGGCAATGGCCGATAGCACGGCCATGGTGCCGAGTTTATTCAGTAGTGGGTCTGGGAAGACGATGCCAGTGTCCAAGTCGCGGTTGCAGGTGTACGAGGAGAAGTTGAACAATATGGAGGAGTCAATGGCCGATAGCACGGCCATGGTGCCGAGTTTATTCAGTACTGGGTCTGGAAAAACGATGTCAGTGTCCAAGTCGCGGTTGCGGGTGTACGAGGAGAAGTTGAACAGTATGGAGGAGGTAATGTTGCTCTCGAGTATGGACCCAGTTAATTTGAGTGCGCGAAACGCCCGCTACAACGCTAGCGGTTTGGGTGGTACGAAAAATGGTGCTGAGGGGACCCGACTGGGAAATGTGGGTATAATTGGTTTGACGATGAGGAATCAGTCGAAGATGCTTGGCGGTTCACGTGAAAGACTGATGCCTTTTTGTGCTGTGGCGGATGATCCTGCACTTGTTGGTTGCAGTCGAGGTTCAGCCTTACCACCTGATCGATCACGTGAGAGTGTGTACCATCAAGTTGAATCGCACAGTCGTGGTCTGGGACTTGACTGTAGTGACAAAGAAAATGTTCATCCTGAGAGTTTACGAGATAGAGAAACCGCTGCAGTAGAAACTTCTAAGATGTGGCGGCCAAGATTCAGCTTGAAAAAGCCGATCTTACGGTCAGTCAGTAAGTATCGTGAACACCAATCTATTCAACATCAAGGAATGGCGAAAAGAGTTTTGAAGCCGTCGATCGAACCTCGAGCGAAATTGATAGGCAAAAGACAATTTCACCCACCGCTTCCTAGCAAACGTTTGTGCGCTAACGACTTCGAAGGCCTTCGAGAGCTAGGCCCCCACCCTACAGGTCTGAGAAGCAATACAAAAAAAGCTATCGCGGTTGAAGCCCAGCCTTTCGTTTACCAGGAAACCATGAAGATTTCATTGGCTTCCTTGATGAGGCTATATGAAGATCGTAGCCGTGTTGAAAAGGGCTTTGAGCTCGATCGGCGTGAAGTGTTAAACTGCATTACTGCAGAAAATGCCGTTAATGTTTGCTTCTCGCGTGATGGAAATTTAATGTGCTCCTCTGAAGCATCCTACGACAAGGCGCTTTTCACGGGGCCACGTGAGCTATACCGTCAACTTAAAGTGAGAAAGCACATTGTGAAGACAATGGGGGCGACGTTCGCTTGGTTTTTGAATCACTATCGATGGATCGTTTGGAAGTTGGCTGCTATGGAACGCTCCTTCCCTCACCTCTTGCTAAAAAAGTATCTTACGAAGGATCAAGTTTTGAAACAGATTACTTACCGGCATCAGCGAGACCTGAACGATGCACAACGCTCAATTTTGAAGAAAGTTCTCAATCGAGATGCAAGTTCGCTAAATTGTATGGTTCTATGCGTTGCTGCAGTGCTGCCGTTTCCTGCAAAAACGAACAGCTCCTTCGACGAGGAACTTCCAGCGTGTTGGAATTTGGCTCTCGTCCTTACAGATGGGTGGTATTCTGTGTACGCTGTCCCTGATGCACCTTTAGCAGCAGTATTATGGAAGCTTAATGCAAAGTCGAGCATTGTTGGGACAAAACTCGCAACGTGGAATGCATCGTTACAGAATTCGGTGGAGGGAGTTGATCCGCTGGAGTGTGCTATCGTTTGTGAATCGCAGTGGAAAAACCCCTTGCTAGCTAAGGAAGATCTGGCGAAATGGCCATACTTACACTTACGTTACAACAGTACGCGTCGAGTGAGATTTGAGACGCGGCTGGGAGTAGAGGAATTGCGCTACGTGATACCTCCAATATTACGGCAGCGAAAAAAACATCAGCCACAACTCACGTTTGCATTGTTGAAGAGCATACCATTAAAAAGTCTGGAGGTTGGAGGCGGGATGGTTCGCTCGGTGCGAATTCGAGTGACCCGCGTTTCTCCTCTTCTTCATATACAGGCGAAGGAATGGACGTTAGGGCCACGAATTCTCTGTGGTGAGCACCTACCGCTGTATTTCGAGCTTCGGTCCGAGTATGGTAGAACCGCTATGCAGGAAAAGCATCAACAAGATGGTTTGGACAGCCCAGTGAACGATTGGTCGGGTGATGTTCTGATTGATGTGCCTCCACCAACTCCTTATATCAAAGTGGACGTGGAATGCACACACAACTCTGCCAACGACTATCTTGGTTTGGGCTGTGGTATTTTGACAATCTGGCGGCCCTCGGAGGAGTTGCTATCTGGTGGAATCAAAGAAGGTTGTGAATACTTCGTCAGCAGCTTGACCGTTAACTGGAAGCTCGACGGCGGGCGCGGCCATGATGCATTCTTACAACTCAGCTCAACAAAACACAGCAGCTTTGAGAAAGTTCATGATAAAAAAATTTCGTCAGATGACGAAAGCAAGAATGCTGCACAGCTAAATCAAGGTCAACGAGTGTGTCTTGATGTCCAGCAAGCAACATTGAACTACCTATCAAATTTTGAAGAGGGGTTAAACGGCCGGAGAAATGAAAGGAGGCCGACAATTGATGTCTGTGTTTGTGTCGTGCTGGTGGCAGCTCGAGAAATGCAAGATGTTTCGACCCCGTCAGATAAGAGGCAGGCAGAAGTATCACTGCTTGACCCCGCTATCAAGCCTAAGGAATTGCGGTATGTCGAACACGTCTTCGTCACAGACCAAAGTTGTCATTTGATGAGTATTCGCGTTTCCGGTATGAATGTCAGCATGCCGAAGAAGACGAGCAACGGTCCATTGAATCGCGCTTCGTCTTCTTCGTTCGACTTTTGCCGAGGGAGCAGAAGTATCTGGAAAGAGGGTACGGTATTGTGCTTGAGTGGTTTGGAAGTGTCGCACTACGACGAGCAACTTCGTATTTTAGACTGCGTCTTGGTCGAAAGTACGCAGATTGTGTCTTTTCCTTCGAAGAATTCCCCATTCTGGAACCACTTCAACCTGCTTCAGCGCGAAGCTGGCATTTTTGCGACGCGTGGTTTTTCCGCGCATGCTTTGCCTTCTGTTAGTGACTTCACGACAGCTTTCATGCAACTCAAAAAGTACGTGGAGCGAGATATCTTGCGTATGGACTATGTTCCATCCCAGGAGTGCAACGAGTCCCATGCTGAGAAGGTAGACCAAAAACAACTAACTCAAGACATACAGGTTCAGAAAGAAGGAGGTGGAGATGCTACAGATACGAAAAGAGACGACAAGGCGTCAAGCACACTGTGTCGACAATTGACGTGGGAAGCGAGTGTTATTAAGATCATGCCGTTGATTGGAGCTAGTAAATTGGCATTTCCTAGCGACGTGATAGCATTCGCATGTGTGAACATAAGGACAGATGATGACGCTTTTCGAATGTTGTATCTTACTCGAGAAGCGATGGTATCGATGCAGACGTTACTCAAACCCGCAGAGCATTGTCGTGGAGCAAACGGAATTGACTCTGACTTAGTGCAAACTGTCACTGAGTTGCTGAGCAAGGTCAAGTTGGGCAATACTGCCATCATCTTCCGTTTTGAGGTGCGTCAAACAACAAACGAGCGTCTGATCAATAGCTGGAAGCCGTGGGAGCGTCTTCATGCTTCATATTGGATAGCGGAGAAAGTCACAGCTACACCAAGCCGAACGTTGCGCTAATGGGACTATTCCCGCTGGTCTGGCCAGCATGTGAATATTCTAATGACGGACGGAACTGACAATTGCGATCGCATCCGTTGTCGACACAAACGGAGACGGAGGAAGATGATGAAAAAAGAGGAATGAGAAAGATATCTCTGCCAGCGATCGAACGGCTTCGATACGTCAGAACTAACGCCATCGTTAAAAACCGACAGCTCCAATATCACCTGAATGATCTAGAGCTCGTTGACTTACAACCATAAGACGAAGCTCATCATCATTGACCAGGAGCTTAAGTTTGCTGAGGAGTCAAAGTGAAGCTGCATCGTCACAGATAAAGTGGTGTCATGAGAGCAGCACGATGTGCATCAAGAGAAGCTGCTTCAACTCAAGAAAAATCAAATGCGTGTATGCGCGATCGTGCATGCCTCTAAAGGTTTTAACATCGTCAGTAAACCGCGTGCGTGCAGATACAACAGGCGACCAACGTAAATTAGCTTCAGCGACTGCTGTACTTTGAGCACTGCACAATAGAATGGATTGTATCATCACTTGGCTTGATTATAATTAGAAGTGGTCAAACGATGACTGTTTCTTGCTCTGTTTGTACACGACGCAGCCATGAGCTTGAGTCTATGAAGATCACGGCGAGAAAAATAGTCGGCAAAAAAATCACGCCAGGGGCTCCTATTGCCACCATCTTACCGTCCGTCGGGTTTGTCCTGCTCCTGCAACAAGGAGCTTCTCGACTCATCAAATGCACATTTGTCATCCTCGTCGGTCGAAATGTTGCCACGGCACACTTCGCCAAAGTTGTGCAAGCAACCGCGATCAAATGGATTGTAAAACTCATCCGTAGGAGTTTTCAAATACGGATACTTATCCTTGTTAAAGACTTCGTTCGTCGTAAGATTGCGGCTTACATTGCGCAGCTGAATAATCAGCAATGTGACCGTCGGCATGCCAAAGATAATCGCACAGAGGAGGAGGATGGCATGGATACTATGAAGTACGAGGGTTGAAGACTTCGTATGTACATTTACGTCTCCAGCCAATGCCCATTCCGGCGGTTGCAACCATCGCCATGGCAACAACGCAGAGCTAATAGAATCGCCCTTAGCGCTGGAAGCGGGCGGGTGCAAAGGAAAATGGCCCATCAAAATGCTCATCGATATTGCGCTGATGGTGAAGCAGAAACTTGACAGCGTCGTGAGAAAAACTAGGAAGCTACGGTGATTGCCGATTCCCACGCAGTTGTTGATCCACGGACAATGGTGATCAAAACGGTGCACACACCGCCTGCAGGCTGAACAGTGCTTTGAACGCAGCGGTTTGCGTGTGACACACGTCGGACACGGCACGACATTATCCTCCAACGCCAACAGTTCATAAGCGGGACGTGTTGAGCGTGGCACATACCCCGGGTCCTTGATGCAAACGTACACGTACATGATACACGTAAAAGTCAAGTATACCAACCCCACTGTCTGGTACCGTACTGTTTGATCAATGGTTTGAGGTGGTAAACATGGTACTGCAAAAATGAGCGACAGAGTCGCTGTCGTCAAGATCATACCCAAAAAGAAAAACACCGAGACCCCTTTGCGTGAAGCCCAGGCAACTAATCGGTCCGATGCACCAGCTTTTAAAGCACTTGCTGCGTCAAAGTGAGCACCTTGTCGTGCAATGTCCATTGCTGTTCTACCATGTTTATCCTTGGCATTAACAGGTGCTCCTTCAATGACAAGTTGTTTCGCAAGAAAAGCATCTCCAAGAGCACTGGCAATCATAAGTGGTGTCTGCTTTTCCGAATCACAAATGTTCTGGTTTGCCTTGTATCCTACAAGTAACATGACAGTGTATTGAAATCCTTCAAAAACAGCCCAATGCAGTGCCGTAGCTCCTCGACTATCTGTTTGATTCACATTTGCTCCACAAGACACAAGTAGACTCACAAGTGCTGCATTGCCCGTACTTGCTGCATAATGCATTGCTGTCATTCCGGAAGAGTTGATTGCATCTAATGAAGCTCCAGCATCAATCAATGTAGTTGCACATGCTACTGATGTACACAACATTAACGCTGTGGCACAATGTTTCGATTCTCCACATCGACTATTTAAAAAATCCTGCAATGTCCCACATTTTCGTTCCTCTTTGTCTAATTCCTGCGTCTCCGTACTCGCTGTACTATTCATCTCGTCTTCCGTCCTTTTTATATCTTTGTTTGTCACGTTCTTGTTGTCCAGCATAATTTCGTATTGATAATTATTATTTTTGAGTTTAGACAATAAATTATTGTCGTCATTTTGGTTTGGCAAATATTTTGTAGCCACCGAGATCAAATACGTCACAATAGTGGGGTATTCGTACAAGACGGCCAGATGTAAGGCATTCATTTCATGTCGTGCTTCATGGACCGTCAAGAGCCGGAACACACTCTCTGCCACACGACGGGTCGTCGTTTTGTCCGTCTTGTTTTTGTCCACGTCGCTCTGGCTCTCGGTGGCAATTTGAAGTGCTTTACACACAGCCATTTCCACGGCACTTTGAGCTTGGTAATAGTCACCTTTGACACAGGCAGAGCCAAGGATTTTAGCTGGTGATGCAAAGTACGCGTACTGGCTTTCACTTGCCACGTGTTCGTCGTCACTTGGTGACTCGTCATTGTCTTCTTGTGCTAATTGTGTCACTAAATTGCTAGATCGAGGGGGACTCGGAGTATGCTCAGGCTCTTCTTCATTCGGTAACACAGCGAATGGAGAGAAGGCAGAAGATGATGGGGATGACGCTGCATAGCTCGGTGATAGCAATGGTGCACTTGTGTTCAAGTGCACGCTACTGATCAGCGGCGTTAACTCGGTGGCTGCATTGGCCTTTTGTGCTCCTCGCATCACGAATTAAGCTTCGTTTTTGGATCGGTTGGCGAGGATTTAAGGTACGAAATAGCAGTACACAACGATTTAAAGAAAAAGACGTGATGGCAGCCACTAATTATAGACGGATTACCGTAAAAAAACGGGAGCATAAAAAAACGGTTTGGAAGATCTAGGGAGTGATCTGATACAGATCCCCTTGCTATAGTGGCTAGTCAGTATTTGTGCCACCCCCACAAAAACTCCTGTATCGAGTCATTAGCCATTATTCGACTGACTCAATGGCTTCTTCTTCTTCTTCCGACGCGGCGGTATGGGACGCAAAAACGCAGACGTTTCATGGCGGACAGGATTGGAAATTTCTTGACAACTTTACTGAAGACTTTAGCGTAACAACCAATGCATTGGGCACGCCCAAGAAGGCACTGGAAGCAGCTACACAAGCCATGAGCACAGTACATCATTATCCTCCGGCCGATTTTCAGCCTGCTATTAGTCACTTGGCTGCTTTTCTGTGGCCTGAGAAGTGGCAGCAAAACTTGCCACTTTTGCTTATGGGTAACGGTGCCAGTGAACTTATTGATCTCGTGATTCGCAGTGTGCCACACGGAGGTTGGCGTCCAGGAGAGACTGTGACACAATACAAAGAGTATGAACGTTCCAGTCAAGCTGATGGTCGTGAGACATTGGCTTGGAACGATCCGAAAGCGGCCTTGACGTGTCTTGTAAACCCGACGAACCCGACGGGAGATTATATGGACGTGGAGGAGATGAAACGATACATTGCAACCAATTGTCCTGACAACCATACGATCATTATTGATGAAAGCATGCAGCCATGGGTAGGATCCAAATGGCGTGAAGATTCACTAATTCATCAACGGAAATGGATCAAGCAGCTGAGTGAGACCCGTCACATTAATGTCTGGGTCATGACAAGCTGGACCAAGATCTGGTCTTGCACGGGGCTGCGTCTCGGCAGCGTCGTGGCTCCCACGCCCGAGCACGCAGCTGAGATCAAGCGCAAGCAAGTACCGTGGTCAGTTAATTCCATGGCGTTAGCCTTTGTGTCCGCTGTGGTAAAGGATGATGCTTACCTGCAGGAGACATGGGATGTCACGCCCAAGTGGCGTGCACACGCCATTGAACAGCTAACGACGCGCTTCCCCAAGTGGAAATTCTTTGGCAAACCTTTCTTGTCCTGGATTTGGTTGGACACCAAGTCAGCAACTACAAGTGAAGAAGCCTGTAAACTGGCCAAGGAGCATGGCGTGCCTGTTCGCAGTGGCAAACCCGGCTACAATCTTCCCACTTTTGTACGCATTGCTGTCCGTAGTCCAGAGCACACGGCTGTGCTACTCAAGGCTTGGGAGAAGCTACAGTAAATTCCTACAGTACGTCAGCAATCTGCTCTCTCTCTAGAGATATAAAAGTACTTTCAATAACATCAGCTGAATGTTTTTCAATGCAATTGTTCTCGTGTGTCCATCTCTCTCTCTCTCTCTCTCTTCTTCACTCTCTGTCAGGCGACATACGATGATCCAGTCTCTTGAATTTACCTTCCCACCCTCGTACCACGTCCGTATACTTCTCAATCAGGTCGTTTTTCTCTGCCAGCTCGGCCTCGAGGTTCAAAATCTCGAGCTCGAGCTCACTCTGTTGCTGTCGTCCTCCTACCGCTTCAGAGCGCTCTGTATCCACCTCTGTATCATCCATAGACTCGTCTACAGTCATAGAAGAAGAAAAGCTCACTGTTTCGTTCAGAAAAAGCTGCTCCAGCTGCTTCGCATGCAGGAAAAATTCTTCCAATCTCGCCTCAATCTCTGCCGTGTCGGCAGCGTCTCGTACAGGGTTAAAGCGGCAGTGTGGAGGGTACTGAATTGGAGGGCATACAAGAGACAAACAACTAGCAAATGCTGCATTCATTTCTGCCAATGCCGTCTTCCCAGGAGACATAGATGCCATCGTAGCATTCATACCATTGTCCTCTTCTCGAGCCTCGACCTTCATGAGGAACGAAATGATTGTGACAATATGGTCTGTTTATGACATCATTAGTTGTGCTACCTCGGTTTTGTGACAGCAAATTGGTTTTAAACGTGGCCAAACTGTGTGCACGGTATACCGACGCATACCGCGCAACAATTCGGTATGTGTATAGTAAAAAGACATACAATGCCTTGGCTATTCCATCTCCATCGAATCGTCATCTGACTCGATTCCACGCGCAAACGAGTCGTCACTTGATGCAATATCACGTGCAAACGAGTCGTCACCTCGTTGCTGCGTCTCACCTCGTACAATTGTCGCTCTTCCTGTTGTTTCCTCGTCGTCTTGATCATCCTCAACCATCATCTCGTCCTCGTCCATATCTTCCTCTTCTTCCTCTTCTTCTTCTGCGGATGAACTCGACTCCATTCCTAGACCCTCTGGTTCTTGAGACGCTTTGCTTTCTCTAAACACTTCGGATCCTATTGCTACTTCCTTTTGCAAGGTACTGGCAGCTCCTTCGCGGTGGAATTTAACACCAATGGGCACTGGTGCTCGGCGATTTACCAGCTCTTGGACTGTGTTTTCGAACGCTATTTCTTCGCGTTCGAGCTCGTCCAGATCTTGCATGTATGACTCTGCTTCTCCTACCCGAAAAGCACCACCACTGGCACCATAGAGCTCGCTGATACGCGGCATTAGCGTCGGTATTCCTGCCCCATAAGACGCCATGATAAAAAAGCGGTACTGGCGGTATTATACCGGTGAATGCCTCGTCGCAGCATGACAATGACGTAGTAAGAATAGGCAAACAAAAGGCATCTTCTTTCCATTATCATATGAAATAAAAAAAATGTGCACCCGAAAAATAAGGCAGCACTAGAGCACACGACAAATCGGGACTAAATCGTAGCTCCTGATGCATAAGCTAGGCTTCCGCCGTTGGGTAATTCATCGAGGTCGATGGAATGAGCTGACTGGTATTGCGCTTTCCAGAGTGCACGCCCACGCTGTAGACCAGCAAATTTCCGCAGTTCGTGCAAGCATTCGGGTTGCTTCCAAACGAGTGAACATGGTTGCACGCATTGCAAGCCATCCCCGTATGCGAGGGTGCCAGCACTGGACAGCCATTTACGTATTCACGCTGCATGTCAAGTGCCTTGTCCAGCGCTCTCCAAAGCGGCACAGCTAGCGGACACGCTACTTCTCCACCCAAAAGCTGCCGCACTGTAATATTCGGACCATAGCACCTGGCGTTCAGTGACTTGCGTGTACAAATGACACCGCCGCTAAGGCCAACGCCTCCGTAGAGTCCCTTGCTGTGGCTGTACGAAAAATTCGGCGCAATACCACCTAGGCCAACGTTTAGTGAAGCGCTAGTAGCTCGACCAATGGGGCCAACTGCAATATCAAGCTCCGATCCCAGCTGCACTTGACCATTTCTGGTAAACACCTTGACAGCACTCCTCGAACTTAGAATGATCATGTAGTTGACAACTTCACCACCAGCGATCATACCAAAGCCAAAACCTCCTGACGTCAAAAAACTTGGTGCCGACCATCCTCCAGTTGTACGCGAAATGACAAAGCCCGTTCCAATCTTGCCCGAAACCAAGAATCCCGCCTTGTACATCGTGATAAACACCAGTCCGTACGCTTCAGCCAATAGTTCGTGTGGAATCGACTGGTCTTTCAAAAGCTTTGGAGAAAAAAAGGTCTCAATCACTTTCACCGCTTTGTTCATCTCTTTCTTTAGCTTGGCTGTAGCTTTCACACTCATCATGTGGCCATTGTCCGGTAAGTGCGATCGCATAGACTCCAATACTGCCAGTGAATTAGACCGTTCTCGAATCGCCGCTGCCTCTTCTTTCAATGACAAATGAGGAGCAACGTATTTCATAGTCCGACATAGAAGCTCTTCATCTGTCGTGGCGGCTCTAGACAGCATCAATTGTTGCTGCTCTTCCTGGTACTTTTGTTGTAGAATTAAAGCCTTGGTAGATGGTTGGCAAATGCGCTGTGGGTAATGCTGCGAAACACTGGAATCTCGTTTCACAGCCAATGATGATGAAGGCAGTTCATGGCTGTAAGTTTCCGGTGTAATCGACGTCGAGTTCATCAAGGCGGAGATCGTGAAATGTCACGTGAATTGGAACGGCCGATGCGATGATGCACTGACATAGAGTTATGGATTTAGACCATGGGCTTCTTTCTACACGACTGTGTGGAGTACACGAAAATTGAGTACTACACACCAACGTAAATATAAAGAGAAGGAATCAATACGAGAACATGCTGTTTTGCGGCGTGTTTTTTTTCTTCTGTTGATTTTAAAGTGCTCAAAAGGTCCCTGCAGCTACACAACTCGAAAAATCTACTCGTATCATCAAGTCCACAAGTTGCATGGCTACACGACGCCGTTTTTGCTGCTTCAATTGCCTGTGTGTTTGTTAAAACCGATTGCCTCCCGACCGAATTCCTGCATTTTTTGGTGTTAAGTCGTATCTTGCATCATAAAACTAGGACCACCAGACTGCTGGACCTCGCTTTTTCTTGATCTTTTCTGGTAAAATAGCTTAGCTCCAGTGCGTGCGGTGCTCCTCGTCATTGGCCTTGATGCCCCACTTGACAATCCCGACCAATGCGACCGCGGTCGGGATGAGCACCAGACCATTCTCCTTGATTTTTCGAATTGTTTTGTAGGGAAGCGTCGTGATGAGGCTACGCACTGGATGCACCTCATAAGGCGACAAATGGCGTGTCGTACGGCCAAACTCGGGGCCGAACTTGGACCAGAACTTCATGAGGTTTACGCTTGGTGGCATCGTTCTCTACAGTATTTACTCGGGACGATTGTATGTATTTCCTGTGTGGCCTTGTGCTTTTGATGAAAACTACCACGGACGAGCGGCTACCAGATAAAACCTCTTGTAAACTGTATGATAGACTAAAAAACCTCAAGCAAGCGATTGTAACCAATCACGTGATGCAGCATTAGCACAAACGTGTCCATGCGACAGGGTGGTTGGTAAGTTTAATACCAGTATGTTTTATTAATGTGCCCCTAGGAGGGCAAGCGCAGCGTGCGAACCGTAAGGGGAGCACCAACCCTGTTACCCCCGGGGGGAGAGGATCGATGACCGCGGTTATCATTCCCTCTTTCCCCAATAGTTCCTGCTATTCTACGTCAGCCTTCAAGCCGCCGATTCGATCGCCGAGCGCGAATCTCGGTCCCACGAAGTGAACTTGCCAAGAACGTGAATTGATCGGCCCCGTCCAGGTGCATCAGCGGTCGATTGGGACTGATCGGTGTGGTGCCCGGCGCTTGTTGCGATCATTGAGCCACTGTTTACACCTCGGGCTGGATACCCGATTCCACGTGCCCTTTTCGGAGTGTCCCCCGTGACGCCCGACGTCTCGAGCCAGCAGATTGAGCCAGCAGATTGAGCCACGAGGCGAAGAATGACGAAGTCCTGGTAGAAGCACTCCAGACATCTTACCAATCCTTAATGTTTGAAATAGACGGTCTGTTCTTCTCTTAATGTGCCCCTAGGAGTTGGTAGCATCACGTCCTTTCTAATAGGATGCCTATTACGTTTTCTTTCATGCCTGAACAAGTGACGGCAATAGTTTAACCCTATTAAATAAATGTGTTGGCTACAGTAAGTAAAACTTCTTACTGACTAGACCAAGTAGAAGTGTGCCATGAACTTGAATGGCGATCACTAGCATAATGTATTAAAGAAAACTATCTTTTTCATCGCTCAGCTTCTGCATGACCATGTCTGTACGTCTTTCTATGTTCTACTACGTTTTAATATAAGACAACGTCGGTTTCAACGGTTCATTTGTGCCCTGAATTTTGCGTTTTGGCACTTCATTTGCCAATTTTTCGAATAGAAAACACACAGTCATTTTTGAAATGGTGTGTCGTCATTTTTGTCTGCTCGTAGCAGCATTAGCAGCGACTGTCATAGCGTCGGGGGAGGAAGCTGTGTCCAATCGATGGCTTGATGGAAAGCACGGGAAGAGTCGGTTCTTGTCTAATAGCTACAATGAAAGCAGTAGCAAGACAGACGTAAAAGTTGTGGAAGAGGAGGTGAGCAGGAGCGACAGCATCAACACTGACGAAGAAGAACAGATAGTTCCTGAGCAGGATACGAAGAAGACTGACAAGGCCGATAAAAAGAGCGACAAGACGGAGAGTGACAAGGACGATGAAAAGGTTGACAAGACGGAGAATGAGAAGGACGATGAAAAGGTTGACAAGACGGAGAGTGACAAAGCCGATGAGAAGGTTGACAAGACGGAGAGTGACAAGGACGATGAAAAGGTTGACAAGACGGAGAGTGACAAGGATGACAAAAACAGTGACAAGACGAAGAGTGAGTCAGCTGCCGATTCTGAAGAGCAGAAAGAGGTGACGGACAAGGAGGTGGTTGCTGTACCGCCCTCTTCTAGTTTGAATGGAAACGAGGAAGATGCTGTTGTAGATGAGACGGTCCTGGGCTTGGAACACGGCTCGAACGACGGCTCGAAAGTTCCTGAGAAGGACACGAAGAAGACTGACAAGGCCGATAAAAAGAGCGACAAGACGGAGAGTGACAAGGGCGATGAAAAGGTTGACAAGACGGAGAGTGACAAGGGCGATGAAAAGGTTGACAAGACGGAGAGTGACAAGGGCGATGAAAAGGTTGACAAGACGGGGAGTGACAAGGGCGATGAAAAGGTTGACAAGAAGGAGAGTGACAAGGGCGATGAAAAGGTTGACAAGACGGAGAGTGACAAGGCCGATGAAAAGGTTGACAAGAAGGAGAGTGACAAGGGCGATGAAAAGGTTGACAAGACGGAGAGTGACAAGGGCGATGAAAAGGTTGACAAGACGGGGAGTGACAAGGGCGATGAAAAGGTTGACAAGAAGGAGAGTGACAAGGGCGATGAAAAGGTTGACAAGACGGAGAGTGACAAGGCCGATGAAAAGGTTGACAAGAAGGAGAGTGACAAGGGCGATGAAAAGGTTGACAAGACGGAGAGTGACAAGGGCGATGAAAAGGTTGACAAGACGGGGAGTGACAAGGGCGATGAAAAGGTTGACAAGAAGGAGAGTGACAAGGGCGATGAAAAGGTTGACAAGACGGAGAGTGACAAGGCCGATGAAAAGGTTGACAAGAAGGAGAGTGACAAGGGCGATGAAAAGGTTGACAAGACGGAGAATGAGAAGGCCGATGAAAAGGTTGACAAGAAGGAGAGTGACAAGGACGATGAAAAGGTTGACAAGACGAAGAGTGACAAGGGCGATGAAAAGGTTGACAAGACGAAGAGTGACAAGGGCGATGAAAAGGTTGACAAGACGGAGAATGAGAAGGGCGATGACAAGGTTGACAAGACGGAGAGTGACAAAGCCGATGAGAAGGTTGACGAGAAGGAGAGTGACAAGGATGACAAAAACAGTGACAAGACGAAGAGTGAGTCAGCTGCCGATTCTGAAGAGCAGAAAGAGGTGACGGACAAGGAGGTGGTTGCTGTACCGCCCTCTTCTAGTTTGAATGGAAACGAGGAAGATGCTGTTGTAGATGAGACGGTCCTGGGCTTGGAACACGGCTCGAACGACGGCTCGAAAGTTCCTGAGAAGGACACGAAGAAGACTGACAAGGCCGATAAAAAGAGCGACAAGACGGAGAGTGACAAGGGCGATGAAAAGGTTGACAAGACGGAGAGTGACAAGGGCGATGAAAAGGTTGACAAGACGGAGAGTGACAAGGCCGATGAAAAGGTTGACAAGACGGAGAGTGACAAGGGCGATGAAAAGGTTGACAAGACGGAGAGTGACAAGGGCGATGAAAAGGTTGACAAGAAGGAGAGTGACAAGGGCGATGAAAAGGTTGACAAGACGGAGAGTGACAAGGCCGATGAAAAGGTTGACAAGACGGAGAGTGACAAGGATGACAAAAACAGTGACAAGACGAAGAGTGAGTCAGCTGCCGATTCTGAAGAGCAGAAAGAGGTGACGGACAAGGAGGTGGTTGCTGTACCGCCCTCTTCTAGTTTGAATGGAAACGAGGAAGATGCTGTTGTAGATGAGACGGTCCTGGGCTTGGAACACGGCTCGAACGACGGCTCGAAAGTTCCTGAGAAGGACACGAAGAAGACTGACAAGGCCGATAAAAAGAGCGACAAGACGGAGAGTGACAAGGACGATGAAAAGGTTGACAAGACGGAGAGTGACAAGGGCGATGAAAAGGTTGACAAGACGGAGAGTGACAAGGATGACAAAAACAGTGACAAGACGAAGAGTGAGTCAGCTGCCGATTCTGAAGAGCAGAAAGAGGTGACGGACAAGGAGGTGGTTGCTGTACCGCCCTCTTCTAGTTTGAATGGAAACGAGGAAGATGCTGTTGTAGATGAGACGGTCCTGGGCTTGGAACACGTCTCGAACGACGGCTCAAAAGTTCCTGAGAAGGACACGAAGAAGACTGACAAGGCCGATAAAAAGAGCGAAAAGACGGAGAGTGACAAGGGCGATGAAAAGGTTGACAAGACGGAGAGTGACAAGGATGACAAAAACAGTGACAAGACGAAGAGTGAGTCAGCTGCCGATTCTGAAGAGCAGAAAGAGGTGACGGACAAGGAGGTGGTTGCTGTACCGCCCTCTTCTAGTTTGAATGGAAACGAGGAAGATGCTGTTGTAGATGAGACGGTCCTGGGCTTGGAACACGTCTCGAACGACGGCTCAAAAGTTCCTGAGAAGGACACGAAGAAGACTGACAAGGCCGATAAAAAGAGCGAAAAGACGGAGAGTGACAAGGGCGATGAAAAGGTTGACAAGACGGAGAGTGACAAGGGCGATGAAAAGGTTGACAAGAAGGAGAGTGACAAGGGCGATGAAAAGGTTGACAAGACGGAGAGTGACAAGGACGATGAAAAGGTTGACAAGACGGAGAGTGACAAGGACGATGAAAAGGTTGACAAGACGGAGAGTGACAAGGGCGATGAAAAGGTTGACAAGACGGAGAGTGACAAGGGCGATGAAAAGGTTGACAAGAAGGAGAGTGACAAGGCCGATGAAAAGGTTGACAAGACGGAGAGTGACAAGGCCGATGAAAAGGTTGACAAGACGGAGAGTGACAAGGATGACAAAAACAGTGACAAGACGAAGAGTGAGTCAGCTGCCGATTCTGAAGAGCAGAAAGAGGTGACGGACAAGGAGGTGGTTGCTGTACCGCCCTCTTCTAGTTTGAATGGAAACGAGGAAGATGCTGTTGTAGATGAGACGGTCCTGGGCTTGGAACACGGCTCGAACGACGGCTCGAAAGTTCCTGAGAAGGACACGAAGAAGACTGACAAGGCCGATAAAAAGAGCGAAAAGACGGAGAGTGACAAGGGCGATGAAAAGGTTGACAAGACGGAGAGTGACAAGGCCGATGAAAAGGTTGACAAGACGGAGAGTGACAAGGATGACAAAAACAGTGACAAGACGAAGAGTGAGTCAGCTGCCGATTCTGAAGAGCAGAAAGAGGTGACGGACAAGGAGGTGGTTGCTGTACCGCCCTCTTCTAGTTTGAATGGAAACGAGGAAGATGCTGTTGTAGATGAGACGGTCCTGGGCTTGGAACACGTCTCGAACGACGGCTCAAAAGTTCCTGAGAAGGACACGAAGAAGACTGACAAGGCCGATAAAAAGAGCGAAAAGACGGAGAGTGACAAGGGCGATGAAAAGGTTGACAAGACGGAGAGTGACAAGGGCGATGAAAAGGTTGACAAGAAGGAGAGTGACAAGGGCGATGAAAAGGTTGACAAGACGGAGAGTGACAAGGGCGATGAAAAGGTTGACAAGACGGAGAGTGACAAGGGCGATGAAAAGGTTGACAAGACGGAGAGTGACAAGGCCGATGAAAAGGTTGACAAGAAGGAGAGTGACAAGGGCGATGAAAAGGTCGACAAAAAGGAGAGTGACATGGATGAAAGCAGCGTGAGCACCTTAGGGGAGGGCAATGAGATTGAGGAAGTGGATCACAAGTTGCATAAAAAGAATTGGATTAGCGAAGCTATCGACAGGATGACTAACGGGACGGACGAGCATGCTAAGAAAGACATAAAGAACGCCCGCACGAATGTCACGCACTCGACACCTGCTAATACTTTGAATGGTAAGTGGGATGAAGGGCCGACCCAGGTGTCTGATGACAATGTCACGAGCGACGACAAAAAGAAGAAGGACTCGAGTCACGATACCGTTGGCATCATTTCTAGTGATGTTGGTGATACGAATGACTATGTTGACGCGCACGAGCACGAAAAGGCTAAAAATGCTACAGAAGACACCCCTGATAGTACCGCAAGCACGACGAAGGATGCAGTTGGAAATGTGAATGACACGGCAAAGATAGAGCAGCAGCAGCTGGACGACAAGAGTGTTGCTTTTGCTAGTGAGACTGCTGAGAATTCCAGTCATATGATTGAGTCCGCTATAGGCTTCGGTGCGTTTGTGGGTATCGTTGCTGTGGCATTAGCGTTCACGGTTCGACTTGTTCGTGCGCGTGGTGGCAGCGGAGCAAACGAAGATGAAGCTGCCGTGGCCATGGCTGCTGAAACCAGCGGTGACGATGATACGTCAGAAGACGAGGACCTGGAAATTGGCACGCTCGTGGAGGATGAGCGTGTGGATACAAGGAATGACGACGAAGAAGAGGAGGAAGGTACGTTTGAGGGATCTGGATAAACCCAATAGATAATCTTCCACTTTCTTTACTGTATATTGTTAAAAGTGTATTTTTCCTGCTGACGTAATCACTGGATATTATCACATAACTCAGAAAATCAATCAATAAATTACCGAGCGGATGTTTTTTTCTATACGATAAAGGAGAACACAACTAAAAAGAGGGTATATATTCTACCAGACTGGTAGAGTGCGTACTTGTACTACCAGTATTTAATAATACAGGTAACTCAAGTGACTTATGCGACAAATCAATTACCTTGTCCAACGGCGAAAAATAATATCAAGTGGTGAAACGTCCACCGATAATATCCAACAAAGACTCTCTTCCGATCTCTCATTCCTTAATTTACTACAACGTACACACACTAAAGTCAAAAGAAAGACCAAGTCATTTGAATGGCTTGTTTTCTTCCCATGTCCATGCTTTTCCTCTTCTTAATGCTGAACCATCTCTCACTTTGGGTTAATGCTGCCGAGACGGCGAGTGATAGTATTGAGTCTCTTTTTGATTCCACCAAGGGCTACAAAATCAGTGGTAGTGTCCTTGCCATTACCGCAATTGCGGTTGGTGTAGTCATGGTAACAATGGGCTATCGTTTCCTTCGTGCCGCTCTTTTTGCGGTGGGTTTTGTAGTCGGTGGTGTTGTTGTCGCCTTGGTTGTTGAACACATATTTGAAGATAAATCCTGGATCAGTACTGCATCTTGGATTGCCTTTGTCGTCGGTGGTTTCCTTACCGGTAGCATTGTCATGTCGCTCTATTCATTAGGCGTCTTTGTTGTCGGTGCTGCGGCTGGTGTCGTACTTTCCATGATGATTAATAATTCGGTCGGCTATGAGATCTACCCGAGCAATCCTCAGGTGGTGCTTATCGTGCTGTGTATCGTGCTAGGAATTCTCGGTGGTGTACTGGCTCTAAAGCTTGAAAGACCAGTTCTTATCATTGCCACGAGTCTCTTTGGTGCTGCTATTCTTGTCTGGGGTGTTGGCTACTTTACCGGTGACTTTCCGGCTTCGAATGACCTCAAGAAATACGGAACAAAGGACATTACCACCAAAGACTGGGTCTACTCGATCCCGGACGCCTGGTGGGGCTACCTCGTTGGTATCATTGTGCTCTTTGGACTCGGGATGTTCATCCAGTTTCGCAAGACTGGTCGTAATAGCGTGAACAAATCTTACGCTGTGGAACGACAAACTGTGTACGTGGAGGCGACAACTCCATACGGACATCATGATAACCCTCTTCAACGCGTTTAATTTATGCTACGGAGACACCAAGTGTTTTAGTTCTAGGCGCTTGTGAGTGATACACAAGTACAAGGCAACCAGATTCGGATGTAATACAAGGCGAGTGGCCTTGATACCTGCAGCTTTCAAACTTTATCAATAAATAATGCTAACAGAAACCCACTTGAATGTGTGTGTCGTTTGCACCTGTCCAAGTTTCGTCCGTGACATCTCTAACCTCTTTCATCTTATTGTTGTCTAGTGGACCCACTGTTTCTTTGGCAGCGTTAGTGCCAGCTGTATGATCGATCCCATTGCATTGCAATCTCCATTGCCATTCAGCCACCTCTTGTATAGAGTTTTAGTTAGGCAAAGTGTTCGACTGGCTCACAAGTTCGTCAAATATGCCTCATGTCATGTGTTTTGATAGTAGCTGAGCTGAAGTCGCATGGCGCCTAGAATCGGTGCAACGAAGCACATGCAACACAACAAGCGTACCGAGTTGGCATTTTCCAAATTTCATAGCTCCGTGCAGTAGTCCCTGCATTTCTTAGGACATGGCACGTATGTCAATGCTTTTCATTATGTTATTGCTGCAAGTGGCGCTTCTTGCGTCCTGCGCAGCAAAGAGGACGTCAGTAGCGGACGAGTCAATCTTCGACTCAACTAACGGGACCAACTTGTGCGGAATTATGCTTGCAGTTGTGGCCGTTTTCGCCGGTAGTGGAATGGTTGTTGTCGGCTATCGCTTCATGTATGAGACTGTTTTCACCATTGGGTTCGCTCTTGGTGCCATTGGCATTGCTGTGACTACGGAGCGCATGCTTGTCGACAAGTCCTTTTGGCGTGCCGGTTCCTGGGTCGCATTCGTTGTAGGTGGTGCAATATGTGGTGGCATGGCCATCTGGGTCCATCCAAAGAGCAATTTCATCGCCGGTGTAGCGGGAGGCATGACGCTTGCTATGATCGTAACCAACTCGGCAGGATATTATGTCTTGCCTGGTCATACGCACGAGCTGTTCACTATTCTATGTGTGGTCCTGGCCGTCGTGTTTGCAACGTTTGAACTCAAGTACGGCAAACCAATGGACATCGTCGGGATCAGCACCTTTGGCGCTGCAATCCTAGTGTGGGGTGTCAGCTTTTTCGTCGGCGACTTTCCATTCTTGAACAACTTGGACAAGTACTCTACTCATACCGCAGACGACGACCTGGTGTACACTATTCGGTGGGGATACCTCGCAGGAATCATGATGATCTCCGCCTTTGGCATAGTCATTCAATTCCACATAACCGGGTGCAGTGCCATTGACGACGAGTTTGCAAGTTTTGGAACTAGCGGCTTTGGATTCTCCATTGATGCCGTATCGTACGTTGGAAACGAAAAGGAGCACCCGAACGTTTCTATCACTGATCAGTCTGCAAACAACACTACACGGGAGTCCGACTTCTTGCCATCGTCGTACTCGAGTATTCTGCATCAATCTTTCTGCCGACTTTACTCGAGAAACACGAAGGCAGAGTCAAGCAATAAGATAAAGTCGACGTTCTTGAAGAAGAGAAGTGAGTCTGTAGAGACTACAAACGCTCTGGATTCGAGAGTAAGCTTGCAGTCACCACGAATGAATTACTTGCAAGGAGCAAGCAAAGAAGTGGAATTTTAAGACAACACACTAGTTATAGTTACAGGACAAATGCGATCGTAAAGCGATGAAAGGTGATAAGGCAGCAGCAAAGAGAGAGATGGACATCAGGTCATTTTCGTTCTTACAAGGTCGAGATGACAATGCAATCTACCATGTCATGTAGGCTTTCTAGTCAGTTGCTGCTGGTGACAAGATGATTCAATGCAGACGGTAGGAAGTGTCGGAAGGTGCTTTATACCTGCCATGAATCTTCAAAGTGCTCTTTGAGTAGCCAAAGTACGTGAATACACTACGAATGACTGTACCAGCACCAGCACTAGCACATGCAGCTATCATTAGCCATATCAACATTCCAAACTCCGACGTTCTACGACTATAAGACGTATATCTGAGCATCTTTTACATGTAAAAGGAGTGCAAATGCCAACAAATGTCGGGCAATTCATACGGTATCTCATCTTGTGGTCATAGCACTTGATGTGACACAATTGGCATGACACCCTGTGGTTTAGCGGTGTCAAGAAAGCGACAACGGTCTCGCCATCGCCTGAATTGAGCAGATGCTGCTTCCCTTATTACAGCCTGATGGATTATACAGTACACCTAACAGACGAAGAGGTTCCTGTGTCTACTTCCCGGTATGGCGATAGCCTCTTTGAAGGCCTTCGTCGCTTGGCCATTGTTGCTCGAAAGCCCACATTTGGAAGCGGACAATCAAGTTCCTGCACATGCAGGGAGCAGGTGGTGCTTCAAAACTGAGGCCGGGTACTGAATCGGCATTCCTTGACATATCTATAGCAACTAGAAGGACATTTCCAAGTTTTTGCGGTCGAGCTCAAGCCAATCCAAGCCTCAGGCCTCGAATCACGGACACCCCTTTTCGACCGGATCCTCTCTTCCACGGGAGCCAAAGCAGGTGGTGTCATGTCTCGGACATGCATTTCGCGCAGCTACCGGTCGTGCGAACAGCAGACCCACCAGCTGGTAGCGTCCCCAAAGCACGCGTCATCGCTCTGGTGATCGAGCCATCAAAGTTCGACAGACCGCGCATGTGGTCATAAAGGGGGCTACATTCCACGATACGTGCCGTCGGTTTGGCGACCGCGCATCATATACAAACGAAAGACGCCTATAAAAGACAATGATGCTTTGTGCCTTTGTCAGCTCCGAGCAATCGCTTGAAGAAAGCATCATCATATTGCGTCAGTCACAAATGATGCCTTGCTTTATGCATGCATCGAGTTGCTACAGCGCGACCCCATAATGCCACTACTTTATACGATGACTAGCCACGACGATATATTGCTGGGCCAAACCGTCGCGGACAAGACTTTCTAGAGATCTTGCACCATGGAAATAGACGATCTGAACCCCTTTCTTTAACAATCATAAGGATCTAAACCCCTTTCTTTAACAATCATAAGGATTTGAACCCCTTTTTTTAACAATCATAAGGATTTGAGAGCCAGTTTATGTCATCATCATATGGTGATCGTCAGCGACGCGACTGTTGATTTCTGTCGAATCGTGGAAGCTCACTGTCACAATCTTTTGCTGCTTGATCTATAGCTACTGATGCGATACTTCAATTGTCTATCGATTCATGATCTCATGGAAAAGAAGATGGCGACCAAGTTGAGACGCTTTTTTTGGGTGCCAGTGGGTATCGTTGCAAATATTGAAGCCACTTGCCCTTTTTCTGCTTTACAGGATAGTGAGCTGCTGGAATATAGAAACTTCAGATCAGACAAAGAAGCATGGTTTCTACACAAGTGCCAGAATGTTGGTGATAGAAAATTTAAATTTGTGACGAATGGCTTCAGCGTAGGTATGAAATTTGTATGCTCGAAATTTGTACCGTTGACACTGAACCAGCCAACGTTCATTGCAATACGACCAATCCATTGAATAAGAATGCAGATCCGGGAGGCATTGTTACATGTGTCACGACTTTAGCGTTGCTATTGGGAGTAAGTGCAACTATCATATAGAGACGGCGCAACTTGTTTTTTGTACTTGTTAAGCAACAAACGAGAATCCAATGACACCAATTGATTGCGCCATTTCTAAATTATAGACGCTATGGACGTGCGTGCTGGGTTGCTTCGTCTGCCGATTGAAAAATTGCCAATCTCGCCTCCCCGAGAGAATTTCAGTGCGACTATTAAATCAAAATAAACACTATTACAACCATAGCGCGTCGACATTGCAGTGTTGTTTGTGCAATAGCGATTGAAGACAGGGGTGAATACCAAGTATGGGAATCTTAGTGCAATTACTCTTTTGGGTACAGACCACGACGAGGAATGTTTCTGCAACTTTCGGTCGTTCTTCTTTTAGCAGACGACACATTACTGTGGATCCGCAATATCCCACTGTTTAATCTTTGTGCCAATAGCATCTTTATAATGATACGCGGTGGTAATGCATACAAATCTCTAGTCAAGAATGCCGCCGTTGATCACTAGCTCTCTTCCTGCTTCTTCCTTCATGCACTTCATTCTTTCATTGGCCTTCAAGACAAAGGACTAAGTAGGATAAATACAGTAATCTCTTCTTGTACCCATGAGACTTCCATCTGCAATAGTGGTACTTGGAACAATGCTGCTTTTTGCAGCGTCTTCGGTCTCTCAGTCGACCACGACCACTACAGACGTGTATTACCCGACCATCCTCAGTGCAGCTGGTAATATCACGGGATTACCCGGTGGTAATGACCTCTGTGGCTCTGAACGTGTACGGAAGCCATGGAGTGCCCTTCGTTCCGATGAACAAGCTCTCTACATTGAAGCTACTAAACTAGCAGTTGCTGACGGTGGGGTCGCAGCTTTTGCTGCAATTGCTGCTGATTCATTGAGTCAAGCTCAAGGTGAATATTCTTGTGCGTTTTTCAGCTGGTATCGCCGTCTCTTGTTAGCCTACGAGTCTTACTTACGTACACTTGACGAACGTTTTGCTTGTCTTACATTGCATTACTATGACGTGCACACTGCATACTTAAAGGCAGTGAATGGAGACTGTACCAATATGTTTGACTGTAGTGATATCTTTCAAGCACTTGGTGGCAATGTCAAGTCAAACAAGATCACAACGTCGACATTCAATGGTATTGAAGCGACTGGGTATGTTGTTACCGGGTTCTCGTCGAAGAACGTCGTGCGTAACGATCTGTCGACAAAGTTCATCCCAAGTGCTGCAAGTTTCAGTACATTTCAAAGTATCGTCGCCACGTCGGTCGACTATGCAACGTTCTTGCAGGGAATCAAATACGGCGTGCATGATGAAGTACTTAATGCAATTGGAGGTACATTTGCCACGGCAGCAGCTGCAAATGACGTGCTCTACTACTCGTGGTACACGTCTCTTGATATGTATTGGCACGTGTATCATTTGTGCCGTATTGGTGTCCCTCTTACTAATGATGAGATTGTTGAGTCGCTCGAGGTGTTTGCCAATAGCACACAAACTTGTGGTGGCGTGGCCGGCGTTGATGCCGAGACACCTCTAGTTATGAGGATCAAAGTGGACGGTGAACTTGTGGACGTGTCAAAGCATCCGAAGCTTGGCAAGTTCTTTGCCTTCACGGGTAATTTAAACTGGAATTACGCTAGTATTCAGCAGCTTGGAGAGTATTCGTACACGTATGAACTGCCCGAGATGTTTCGTCAGCAAATCTTGAGCAACAATGACATGTGTACAGGATTTAATCGTGCATTTGCTGCCACGTACACGACGTTGAATGCTACTGCTGTCAAGAGCACGATGACGACCAAGACATCCACCACCACCCGAACCACCACGACGACTAAGATTGTGAACGGCAAGAAAGTGACGACGACTAAAGTGAGCAAGGTGACCACTACATCAAACCGCTCATCAGCATCGACGGCTTATTCAACGGCTACCACTGGTCAACTTATGAGCCGATATAACTACACATACTTGGGCAATTTCAGCACCGGCAATGTTGTCTTCGGCGAGGGTACCATTGTCTCGAATGGCTACACAGGCTACAAGGCATACTATAGCAACGGAGCGATTACGACCAAACACAATGGTATCATCAGTACGTCTGCCTCAGCTACTTCGGGCTCCATCGACTCTACTTACTCGAAAATGTCGAACATGGTGATGAACGTGATGGTGGGCACGAAATCGGTGGCTCGCAATGTTACGGTGTCTGTCGCTACGTCTGGTAGCTATTGGGCGTGGTTATCTACCGCATACAACGGTTTGTACACTCGTTTCGAGGGTAATGTGGATTTGGTGGCGACGCATATGAAGCTTCTTGAATGCTACACGTTCGAAAGTGTTTATGGGTTGTCCAATCTAACGTCCACTTTCGTGACGGACAAGAACCTGGTGACAGACCGGGTGGACTGTGGACAGCGCATGGACCTTATGCGTAGCGGTCTGTTGCAATTGGCAGTTCGTTCGACTTCCTACTCATCTAAAAGCTTGAAATTTGCTAGCTCAACGGTGATCAAGACCATCCTCACGTCATACAAGCGCGTCTTCACCCGCAACGTTTCGTACATCCGTAGGTCTTACACCCAGAAGGTGCAAAACGACCTCGACTCGACGGAGCAATCACTGGACAACATCACCATCACGTCAAACAGTGGATTAGGCAACAATGAGACATCCTCCATTGTTGTGAACACTGGCTACATCATGTCGAAGACGACGAGCATGACGCAGCAGAACGCCGGTATTTCAAATACTGTCACGACCACTACCACGACGACGGCGGCTAATGCATCGGACACCCTGTCTGAGGCATCTTCCGCTGACGATGTGAGGTCTACATTGGGAGGAAACACGAAGACTATTACGGGTCAGAAGACGAAAATGACAGGCTCGAACGGTAAATCTGTCAGTACAACTACGCATCCAAACGACGAGACCACCGCAACCACGAAGGGCGATTCTGTCCATTCAACGGTGACTGCAGGATCGGGTGATCTAACTACAGCTACGGGATCATCCTCCCCGGCCGCATCAAATACGGCTATGACTCCTAAAACCATATCAGGTGCGACACCCCCTGGCGCGACTCCGGCACAAATGTTGCCCGGCGCGACTTCTGCCCCTGTGATGCCCGGCGCGACTTCTGCCCCTGTGATGCCCGGCGCGACTCCTGCCCCTGTGATGCCCGGCGCGACTCCTCCCCCTGTAATGCCCGGCGCGATTCCTTCTCTTACGACATCTGACGCGACTCCTTCCCCTGTGATGCCCGACGCGACTCCTGCTCAAATGATACCCGGCGCGACTCCTGCTCAAGTGATGCTCGGATCAACTCCTGCCCCTGTGATGCCCGGCACGAATCCAGCCCCTGTGATGCCCGGCGCGACTCCAGCCCCTGAAATGCCCGTCGCAACTTTTGCCCCTATGATGCCCGGCATTACTCCAGCCCCTGTAATGCCCGGCGCGATTCCTTCTCTTACGACACCTGACGCGACTCCTTCCCCTGTGATACCCGGCGCGACTCCTGCTCAGATGATGTCCGGCGCGACTCCTGATCAAATGATGATCGGAGCAACTCCTGTTCCTGTGATGCCCGGCGCAATTCCTGTTCCTTTAATGCCCGGCGCAATTCCTGTTCCTGTGACGCCCGGCGCGACTCCTTCTCTTGTGATGCCCGGCGTGACTCTTGTCCAAATGATGCCTGGCGCGACTCCTTCTCCTGTGATGCCCAGCGGGACCTATGCCCTAGTAATGCCCGGCGCGACTCCAGCCCCTACGACGCTCGTCGTGATTGTTGTCCCTACGACGCCCGGCATGACTCCCGTGCATGTAATGACCGGCGATACTCCTGTGCCTACGATGCCGTGTCCTACTCCTGCGCCGACGTTGCCATGTCCTTGTGCTGCCCCTACAATGCCTGGTGCTGCTCCTGTTCCTACGATGAAGCATTCTGAAACATGCATCAATGTTTCTGTGGAAGGTGATGCAACCTACTGCATTGCTGGACCAATCTGCAGTGGTTCTGGTGACTCACCGAATGGCTCTATGTGTCCTATGGAGGGTGACGTTGCTGTCGGAGACTGCCACGACACGCTGGCCAGCTACCAGAACTCTAGCACTTGCATCGCACCTGAGAATGCCCGGTGTGCCAAGACTCATACTGGTGTCTGGGGTTGTGTTTTTGACATGAGGAAAGCTGCTCCGACGCCAGCTCCGACCACGGCGACTTACATGGCAACTCGTTCCCCCGCCACGTCAGAAACGGACAAGCACACTTCGCTCTATAGTGCCACGCCAGAGATGACGAAGTCTGCGGCAGCTCCATGCACCACTGGACCATCGGAGGAAACCGCGACGGATGTTTCGACGACGACTGGAATCAAGACCGCTACGACTGCGTCTACAGACCAACAGGAGGATTATACCATTGAGAAGCAGCATCAAAGTGCTTTATCGTCGTCTAACCAGAAACTCTCCACGTCCTACGCTGCCACGACATTGGCCTCGGGCAACTCGAACTCAAACTCGAACTCGGGCAATGGAGGTGCTACTCTGGTTCTGAGTATTTGTGCCGCTGTCGCCACTGTTGTTGCTCTCGCCGGTTTCACTGTTTTCAAGATGAAGCAGCGTCCTAGCAATACCGTTGCATCACCCGGCGCGTACTACATCCAGCCTACAACCCCGAACACTGATTCAACGCGGTTGTAAGCGGACCACATCTTTTGTACTTGTGATGAGATGGCGACGTTGTAGTGGCGAGATGTACAGGTGGGTTCTGCTGTCTGGTTCTCTAACACTGTGCACAGCTTGTTTAAACTGTTGTTCAATGAAGCCACTGGCATCTTTTCAAAGTATCACATGCTTCAGATCGTGGTATCATTGATATTCAAGCCAACAAAGTGTACATGATCGGTTTGTTTGCGTTTAAATAGACTAGACTATGGACATCGAATCGCTTCAACGGCTATAACATTGCATTTGATTCGTACCAAGCAAAACCTACTCAAAGCTCTGAATCGATTCAGACAAATGAGGTGGCGCATGACGATATGATCGACATGTCATCTTCTACCAATTCTTGTACCTAAGGATGTGAGATATCATGCAACAAGACAGCCTACCGCTTTTTGGATATACTTTCTGCTCGTATTTCTCTGATCGGGTAGTCATACCGTTCAATTGAAGCATGGATCGCACCTCATACGCCAATTCGATGCCAAAGTTTGAGGTATCGCAGTACTGCCGGCCCCGGCTTCTGCTGGATCTAGGAGTACTACACAGCATTCAGAAAGTCAAAGGACAAGCTACATCAGAACACCGTGTTGTCGTTCTTGCTGAACCGATGCGATCCGTTCATCTCGATCGCCTTGTTACAGCCTCAGTGACCTCGGCGAGCTCTGGTTCCACGTCGTCATTTTCCCTATTCTCACCTTTGGTAAAAGTACTCAACACGGAAGCTTCTCTTCGACAACGTGTCTAGCGACAACAATGCACATAGTTGTCATACTGCAATCCTTCGTGTTACTCCTGGCAGCGGCACTTGTCAGCACCTCACTGCCGACCAACATTTCAAATGAACAAGGTGAGATTCGAGCAGGTGGCAATGCAGCTTGCAACCAGGGTCAACGAGTCCGCAAGTCTTGGTCAAGACTTACATCAAGCGAAAAAGACCTCTACCTTGAAGCTATGGACATTGCTATCCAGAATGGAGTGATCGAGCAATTTGCTGCCATCCATGTCGATCCAAATGGAGAATCGCAAGCTCACCGTTCCTGCGGTTTTTTCTCCTGGCACCGACGTCTTTTGGTCGCTCTGGAGAGTTACCTTCGTGACCAAGATCCAAAGTTTGCTTGTGTGACGCTGCCGTACTACGACGTGCATGCTGCGTTCGTTCGCCAGGCTGCAAAGGAGTGTGACAACTTGTACGAATGCTCAGACATTTTGCAAGAGATCGGAGGCAACAAAAAAGCTCAGAGTGAGAAGGTCTCATTGACGCTGAATGGCAAAACGTCTACCGGGTACCCAATTGATGGCTATCCGTTGAATCACAATTGCGATGACACAAAGGTGTGCGGCTACGCACTTCGGAGTGATTTGGCTACAAAGCCTGTGCCGTCAGGCGCGGGGTTTGCATCGTTCCTGAACACTGTACGTAGTTCCTCGGACTACGCCTCATTTCTCACGAACATTCAGTTTGGAGTGCACAATGAAGTTCATAATGCGGTGGGTGGCATCATGGTCACCTTTGCATCGCCACGTGATATTTTTTTCTACTCGTGGCACGCAGCTATTGACATGTATCTGCATGTTTACCACCTCTGCCACTTTGGGATGCCTCTTACCGAAGAGCAAATACTTTCGGCATCCAAAGCGTCTACGAAACATTCGGACACATGTGGTGGCGCGTCGGGTGTCGGCCCCAACGCAAAGATCGTGCAGAATGTGCTTGTGAATGGTGAGATCATAGACATTAGCGAACACCCGACGCTTGGAAAATATTTCTCGTATGCTGGTAGTGAGATGTGGAACTACGGAGATGTGGCACAACTTGGAGACTACTCGTACTCGTACGAACTTCCAGACATCATCACGCAACAGTTGCTGAGCAATAGTCAAATCTGTGCAGCATTCAGCAGTACAAACGTTCCAGCGACATCATCTCCTATAACTTCTGTCTCAAGCTCAAGTGATGACTCCTATGTTGTAAATGGGAGCACTAACAATGGAGTTAATATCAATTCATCCAAAGATGTTGACTACGGCTACGTCCACGAGACGAATGTGACTCCACACACCGACAACTACGTCGTGGACGACTCTACCAATGCATCGGGTTCTGCACGTCTTTTAAAAGCCAATTCTGGAAACTACTGGCAATGGACACAAACCGCGTACGATGGACTATATGACCGCTTTGATGGCAACATGGATCTAGTGATGCAGCAAATGCAGTACGCAGAGTGCGAAGCGTTCAACAAAGACTACGGTATTGAAGATTTCTCCCATGAGTTTGTCGAGAATTTCCATCTCCTCTCGAATCGCCCCATCTGTGGCAAAACGGTAGATGAGATTGCATCCGGTAACGTGACAGTGGCCTGCATCACGAACGGGTTCAAACCTGATGCTATCGAGTTCAGTGATGAAGAGGTCATCTTCAAGATCAAAACCAACTACGAGTCGAATCCTATCGCTCCAGAAGAATACATGGACGCAAAAGCCATCGCTGATGCTCAATGGAAAGCTAAACAAACTCCTACTGGTATAAAAGCTACTCAAAAGGATCATAGCTTCACAACACCCACCCCAACTTCGACGATCCACTGCGGTGTCAAGTAAAATACCACCCTCCCTTACTGAGTCCATTTCCGTACAGTATTCCATATATCCTAAGTAGCCAAAACTCGTCAAACAGGTATACACTTATTTCGTATACTCCATACCAAATTTTACGGATAGAAAAAAGTAGGACCCAATACCGGTATTTTGTCCGGTCCGACAGGATTATCTAAAGATAGTACTTTTTTTCTCATACAAATTTCAAGTACATTTTCCTCCGCGTCCTCCTGACCACGGGATTTTGTGCACAAATGCTGCGGTCGCTTTTCCTCGGTCGTGTTCTCCGCGTGGCAAGAGTTTCAACGCCTCGTCTCCTCCTGTTTTCTCATTCATGCACGCGTCAGCAGCATTTGAACAAGTCGATTGCAATGATTGAATGGCCACGGGTTGTCAATAATTCCAGTCGTTACTTTTCCCAGTCTTTTTTAAAGAATGAAGAAACAAATCACGAAATTCAGTACTTGGGTGTTGTATACAATGCGAATAATGTGAAGAAATATAGCGCTGAATTGGAAATCGATCATCATATTATTAGTGGCGGTGATTTCTGGACGGCACTTGATGCTGCGAAAGCGTACGATGAATTAGTGACACTTTACTGTGATTTGGATACTCCTCGTAATTTTCCACAAGGTGATACAACAATGGCCTTGTCGATCGAGGAAACAGCTCATGAAATGGAGTGGGAAGCACCAGAAGCAGGACATCGACATGCAGATTTGATTCCACCCATTGCACAGACTTATTTGACCATTGACGAAGTAATGGAAGCTCTGAAACGAGAAAAAGCCATTGACATACAATGGGTCGACCTTGCTGGAAAAAGTAGCTTGGCGGAATTTATGATCTTTGCTACGGGTCGATCTCAGGCACATATGAGACGTATGGCTGACTTGCTGATAAAGTCCATAAAGGTGCGAAACATTGTGGATGACTTTGACTATGGAGTCGAAGGTCGTGATTGTGACGACTGGATGATTGCTGATTGTAACAATATTGTGGTGCACTTGATGCGTGCGGATACCCGTCGCATTTTGGCACTGGAAGACCATTGGGAACACATGGTAGATGATAAACACAGTGTCTATGGTGACATGAGCGAGGACGAGTACATGGATAAATTTGGTACAAGTGAACTCATGGAACATTTACAGGATGAAGACCACCCACATATTGATGATGACGGAGAAGGATCTGGTGTCGAATGGAAGTAAACGTTTGCTAGGAACAAGACAATCAAGCAAGCAGAGGTCGAGTAAAGCACCCACGCATGTTGACACTTTGATCGTTGCGTTCTACCGGTGAGCTAACGAAAGAGGTTGAACCTTTCTGGAAAGAAAAGGCTTTATCTCACTGCTGATTCAAATGAACTGTTGTCTTTACAAAGCCTTATCTACTAAGCGCTTGCATCGACTAAGCTCTTGTTTATCTAAAAGCTGTCGTGCAGTCCATGAAGAAGAGTTAGCTTTATACTAAACAAGAGTTCCGTACGACGTGATAAAGGTTTTTGCAAACATGTTGTAAAACGTTTTCTCCTTTGCCCAGTTAATAAATACCCCTACTGTTTTGTCTTCCCAAGACGTTATCTACACATATTTACGGCGCAAGCGCTTGATTCAGCTCAGTTTGGTCCATCGAAGTTGTCGGCGATCCAAGTCTGCGTCGGCATGCAAAAGTCATGATATGTCACAGTGAGCAGGATTTCGAAGTGAGTTGGTTGGTGGCCATTGGTGATCTGGGCAAAATCAAGTAAATCGCACATCAATCGCTACGAAAGTGGGTGCCAAAGCATAGCAAAACACAGGTAAGACGTAAACGCCGTGGTCGAGGAGGAGCAATGAGTCCTCATCAACCACTACGAAACATACCACGCGCGTAACCTCACCCAAAAACACACCAGGATCTGCAATCTCAACGGGAGTAATGAGTCCCGATCAACTGAGTCTGCTGGCGAGTTTTTAAGTAAAGTCTGCCATACCTTGACAGCACCACATCTCGTGCTTTTGACGAGCGATGGGCAACAGAGAGTAATGGATCTCTGAGTATACCCTTGCCCAACGTAAGCGAGAGAAAGGAGAGTGATGAGCCTCCTCTTTTGTTGTTTCCTGCTTCCGTTATCCTTGTCGACCATCACTTGGTTCCGTTGCTCAAGACTGATTATGCTTGTATCAATCCAGCTTGTCGTTAGTGACTCACCGAAGCGACTTTGCAGCGTGCGCGGGAGAAATGAGTCCCTGTCTTTTAGCTTCACACGCTGACGTTGTCATAAAAACAACACGAGGCAGAAATGAGTGCCTCGTATTGTATTTTGCCTGGCCAAACGTCTATAAATCACCACCAAACACTCCACGAACCCGTCCCATCCATCCATCACCACCGTGCAGCAGTGTCCGCCATACACGAGTCAAGTTTTCGTCGTAAACCATTAAGCTCCCGTTCAAGTCTTCCCGATGGGTTTGACCCTTGACGTTGTGCTCCATTTGTTCTGGAACCGCCGTCCATATTGTCACTATCACTGTTGTTCCTACTACTAATCCGTCGTCCTGTTACATTTCGTAAACTTCGTATACTCCGTAAACTTCCACTGCTGCTGTTAAAGCTATTTCCATCAGACGCCGTTGGCGTTGTCGTTGCTACTGACGGAGCGCGTTGATACGGTGATGAACGTGCCGATCGTGGCGAGATTTCCGGACTAGACGACGTTGGTGACGTCCCTGCTCGTGATGACATGAGCCTTTTACTTTTCAACATCGTCTTCGTTGTTGTTGCAGCTTTCAATTCCTCTGGCAACGTCAGTTCTCGTTTTCTCACACGTCGTATCTCGTCACTTGATTTCCCCATCATGTCCTCTGTCTCAGTCCTACATCGTGAACTCTCCTCTTGTCTCTCTTGCAATCTCACCAACGCTTCCGTCAGATATTTTTTCTGCACGCGCTTGTCATGCAATTTCTTTTTATACCGCGTCACTTGAAGCTCCAGTTCTTGTAAACTTTCCTCCTTTTCTTTGACTACACCCTCAAGACGTTGTTCCAAGCTCGTACTCAAAGCAACAGCTGTATCGACGCGAGTCTGGAGTCTCGTCAACTCGTTTTTCAGCATCTGATTCTGTTCCTGATACTGTTTAAGCTCAGCATTTGCTTGAGCGACTTGGTTCATCCGCTGCTCTCGTTCTTGTCGATTGATTTCGTCATATCTCGTCCAATAGTCCGTTTCATGCTGTACTAAACTCTTGAGCGCTGCAATTTCCATCCGTAATGCTTCTTCTCTCTCGGCACCTTGTCTCTGTATGTCAAGCGCCTCAGCCGCTTGACGTTCGAGTTTTTCGTGAAGGTGTTTCATCGTTTCCGACGCTTGTACGGCCCATTCCTTTTGTTGTTCTTTTGTGTGCGTTAATTCAGCTGTTAATAGGGTATTATGACGTGTTAAAACCGTCACTTGTTTCTCAAAAGCTTCAACAGAACGCGAGAATTCACTCTGAAGCTGTGCCAACATGTGGCGATAGTAGCCCTCGGTGGCCATTGCAAGAAATTTAAAAAATAAATTTCTTACTGGTTTGCGAGAGCTTGGGACGAGGCGGGAAAGTTTTCAAATGAGGGGAAACAAATTTAGGCGCGAAAAAAACCTTGCGCCTTTTTTATGTTTCTAACGTTTGTTTGAATTTGGGTTTTGTTCTTCGATCTTTTTTTTTAGAAAATGGGTAATTTGAAAAAATTTAAGGGGAGAATGGGTAGAATGAACTGGTGGTATGGGGTTTTAGCGACGGTACGAGTAGTAGGGAGTGTCTGTTTCTTGGGTATGGTCCATCCAGATGAATTTTTTCAAAGCCAGGAGATTATGGCTAGACACTTTATACCCGAGAGTGACATACTACGTCGCGAACTATTTGTGCCATGGGAGTTCCAATTGCCAACACCGAACCGCTCGGTAGTTTTCCCGTAGGACGCTTCTACCTTTTTTAACTTTGTCATATTCTAATGTTATTTTTTAATGTCATATTTTGATAGTGCACTGGTTGCTGGATTACCGTACAAGCTCTTGGACGTACTAGGCGTCAAGTTGACTGGATGGCTTATGCTAGTGATACCGAGACTATTGCTCTGTGGTCTTTCTTTTATTATTGATGCAATATTGTATCAGATTGTGGCAAAAATGACGCGACACCAGAAATTTCAAGTTAAGCAGGAGAAACAGGGGAAGGTTTTACTATTGTTTGCCAGCTCGTGGCCAACGTTCGTGTTCCTTTGTCGACCATTTTCCAATACTTTTGAGACTTTGGTTCTTGCAGTTTGCTTTGGAGTCTTGTTCCTGGTCAATTCGGTATGTGATAATGCAATTTTTTGTGAGTTTTACTGACATATTTGAGTTAGAACTGGACTAACTATTGGATTGTTTCGTTCAATAGCATCGACGAGTGTGGTGTGGTGTGATGCATGTGCAGACGTTACTCCTTGGAAGTTTATTAGCGGTGGGATTTTTCACGCGATTTACGTTTATAGTATTTTTCTTCCCGCTTGGAGTGGAGCTCATGCGACAGCAGGATGCATTGCTGGTTCATACTATAAGACGTAAGACAGATGGCAGAAATGTTCCGTCGATGGTACGTCGCTTGACAGCGACATTTGGTGTGATGTTGCAGGGGTTTGTGGCCTTTATCATCTGGACCATGGGTTTTATTGTCGTGGACACATGGTATTACCAGCCGGAAGTGTTTCATGGCAAATGGAATCGATCACTACTGAAACAGATTGCTGAGAATGCTGTGATTGCACCGATCAATAATTTGCTGTACAATATCCAATACGACAATTTGGAGCTACATGGAGTGCATCCGCGGTTCACCCACCTGACTGTGAACATGCCCATGCTTTTTGGGCCAATTTTTCTCGTCTTTCTCATGCGGTTTCTCAGGTATCCCGATCGCTCGTTTTTTGGCAGTGCGTGTGTGCTCTTTCCACTGGTGTGTTTGTCGTTAGCACCGCACCAAGAGCCACGATTTATGTTGCCAGCCATCGTACCGCTGCATCTATTCACTGCATTGAATGGCAGAGTGGGCATTGTCCATTTTTTGACAAAGCAAAAGCTTGGGAAACTACTGTGGATTATATTCAACCTCTCGTTACTGTTCTTCTTTGGCATGTTGCACCAAGGAGGTGTCATTCCGATGCTGCTATCTCTGTCTTCCATGGCGTCAAACTCAGTGGACAACACAGTGACCTCAACAACTTGGTTGACACCGTTGTGTAACTTTGACGGAGCTGACAAATCTATGCTGGGGATGATAGGTGCGGTGCCACTGGTGTTTGCAAAAACATACATGCCACCTCGCTTCCTTCTTACCGGGATGCCGGCAGCTCCTGCGTTTCAATTGATAGATCTAGCTGGAAACACTCTTGATGACCTCCCGGAGGTCTTGGCTTTCGACAAAATGGACCAGCAGTTGTCGGAACATGGTACAACTGCATTTTTGGTACTGCCTGCGAGTGTCGCGTTTTGGGACATCAGATCCGAGAATTCGACATCCGTCTTGAGTTTTTCCAAGTTGGGTGAATGTTTTCCTCATCTATCGACCGAAGACTTTGCGTTTGACAAGTCATTCTCACTGGAATTATACCTGGTAAAACTAGCAGCGAAGAAACCATTGTAAGTCCGGACTATACAGCTCCATTATCCTTGACAAAATACATGGCAAAGTTCCTAGCTCGATCATTTAATAGTAAATGACCGTCGTCATTAAAAAAAGCGTTTAAAAAAATATAAGATTGTTTTAACACCGCTTTATAAAACATACTTTATCTAGTTCCTCCCTCGCTTGTGATTCGTCCTTAACTACACTCCAGCTATTATATGATTGGCTATAAATAATCCACGCAACGCCATGACCGCCATGGAATGACTTAGAGTCCCTCCCTTATCCTCGCTCTCAAGATGTCGTTGTTTCCACCGGAATTCCTAGTCGCCATGCTATTAACGTTCATGCAACTTCGTCTACGTTCGTACTTTAGTCTTGCGACATGGTTTCTCAATGGTTTAACTTTCTTTTTACCTCCTGAGGATGAACTTATTGCGATACTTAATAACCAGTCACGAAAAAGCTTCAAACCAGACAAAGGACCTCTGTATGAGCCACTTAGTGCAGCCGAAAAGATGGACAAGTTTTACGTTCGTGTGGCAAAGACAGAGCCGGGAGTTTTCAGTCAAACGCTCTTTTTTGAGCTGTACGAGATGCTCGTTGTGCTCGTGTCTTCGATCTCAGTGGGCTGCTGGATGGGCAGTATCGTGAGCTTTACGGCTTCGTGGTTTGCAGTAGCACAAGATCATGTGGATGACAAGGTGGACATGGCCATGTACGGTCTCATGTCGGCCATGCTCGTGGCAATTTGGTTTCCATTGCAGCTAAATTTTGTCCAAGGGTGGGGAGGCTACGAAGCTCGTTTGGGTCTTTGTGTTGGCTTTCTTGGACTCATTGCAGCTGGATTTATCATCCTATCACCTAAGGGGATGCTGGATTTCGATTTGGAAATGGCAGCGCAACTTGCTGGAGAACGGCTGGCTCTGATACTGCGAGCAGTGGGATTCACAAACGCAGACTTTGTGAACATTGCACCATGGACAGAAATGTCGCGAGTCGCACTTTTTTTCGTGTGTGCGTTGCTAGCGGGAATTTTTACATGCACAACTTTCCTGCCATCATTCAGGTTTGCACGGATGTACTCGGTAATGATCAAAAGTAAGCAGTATTCGAACGTGAAGAAATTGCTTTTGCATCTCAACATGTTTTTCCCAGTATTGATCTGCATACTGTGGGTGCCGCGATTCTCGAAGAATGTGTTGGTGCCTTTGGAGCTTGTAAAGTGCTCTCCGCGTGCACTGAGTCGGGATTGCCTGCGAACTGAAGTGTTGGGACTGACGAATGCGGCCTCGTCGGACATTTGGAAGTGGTACAGTCTTGCAGAGTCTCAGTTCCATATGCTTCGTATCTACGTGGTACTCGTGGCATGTCTGGTGCGCTTGATTTGTTTCCGTACGTACATGCAGCACTTCCTGCTAGAGCCACGTGAGGCGATGGCGTCGCTTGTGGGTCGCCCTGGCTTCGTGGATGGTGCCCTGTTGCAGAGCAAGGTCCGTCTTCAGTTTAATTACGTGCCGGTTATCGCACTGCAGTACCTTGCGCCAGTGTGTGCGTTGCTGGCGTCAGCGCAGCTTTTGGTAAAGCAGACGGCGACGTCTCTTGGTGTTTTTCATGGTGTTTCGTGGGTGCTGCAAAGTGTGATGCCGAACGTCTCGATTCCTGCTAGTCTCACGCCAGAAGGGTTAAACGCAGCCTCTTTGAATGTGCTGCCGGACCCTACTGTGCTGCCAAACTTTGGCGGGTTTAAGCTTGGTGATGACCTTAGCAAGGAGAATGTGACGCCTTTTCTGCGTGGCATGAGTGCGTTCCCCGTACTCACTGCAGAGTTCTACGAGGCAGCGCTGGGTTTCCTGATCTGGTTCCTCAGCTTCACTATGTTTGCCGTTAGCTTGGCAGGGTTGCTTTATTGGCGTAACGTGGGAGCTCACGGCACTGTCGATGTTGAAACAGCGGTGCGGCAGAATAAGCAGACGCCCAAGACGCTAAAGAACCAGCTAAAGGGATTGAAGCTGCACAAGAAGAACAAGTAGAGAGAATGCACGAGTTGCAACCCAACTGCAAGACAAACTCAAAATACAGAAAACCTTTTTCTCCACGCCCAAGCCCAGCTCAAGCTAATCTAGTAGGTATTTAGCGCTTCTTCATATTCTGGAGGTACTCCTTCCAGCCACCAGTCGCCATGGTCTCAATTTTGTCGTCAACCTCGCGCCTTTGCGTGTCCAAGAAGGCTGCCATAGCTTCGATGAGCGACGAGTCTCCGGCACTGAGAATGCGAACGGCCAGCAGACCGGCGTTCGTAGAGTTGCCAATGGCAACGGTGGCAACAGGCACACCACGCGGCATCTGCACAATGCTCAGCAGCGAGTCTTCACCGCTGAGAGTCGATGTCTTTACAGGAACGCCAACGACGGGCAGAGGAGTCAGCGCCGCTACCATACCCGGCAGATGGGCAGCACCACCAGCACCAGCAATAATGACCTTGAGGCCGCGTGTGGCAGCGCTCTGGGCGTAGTCGTACATACGCGCGGGTGTGCGGTGAGCTGATACAATCGTAAGTTCGTAAGGCACACCGAACTTCTCCAGCATGTCAGCAGCAGCCGCCATCGTTGGGAGGTCAGAGTCCGAGCCCATGACAATGCCCACAAGAGGCTTGCGCTCAAGCTTCAGCAACCCCGAGTTCTTTGCAGACTCAGGTGACAGTGCTGTGGCACGCTTGGTCAGCTCCTCAAGGTTCGGCGCCGTAATCGTCACGTGTCCAAGCTTGCGTCCAGGACGCACACCAACCTTTCCATAGAAATGAGCAGCAGCACCTGGGATATTCAAACTGTTGCGAAGCAGCGAGAAGCTCACATCTTCAGACGACGTGGGGTCTCCCAGCACATTTACCATGAGTGCAGCTGGTACACGCAGCGCACAGCTTCCCAAAGGCAAGCCCGTAATAGCACGCAAATGCTGCTCAAATTGATCCGTCTCACATGCCTCAATTGTATAGTGACCAGAGTTGTGTGGGCGCGGGGCGATCTCGTTCAGCAGCACGTCACCAGTGGCAGTCAGGAACAACTCGACACCGTAGATGCCCCGACCTTCCAGCTCGGCGACAGCCGCCTGTGCCATATCACGAGCACGCTTAGCCACATCCTCTGAGATCTGCGCTGGGGCCAGCACCGTGTCACAAATACTGTCACGCTGTGTGGTTTCCACAACGGGATAAGCACGGACCTCGTCCTCCGCCCCTTTGACGACCATCACGGCGAGCTCTTTGACGAACGGGACCCACTTTTCCGCATACAATTTGTTTTTTTCTTCCACCAACTGCGTCTCATCAACATCAGGACTCTCTGTAACCAGCAAACTGGCACCAAGTTTCTTAAAAGCAGTGATCAAATCCTTTTCACTCTTGACAACAGCATTCCCACGACCGTCGTATGCAAACCGACGTGATTTGAGCATGTAAGGGTAGCCAAATGTCTGACCCAATTGACGAGCTACTTGTAATGATGTAACAACGTCAAACGGGGCCACCTCAACGTCCTGTACTTGATTAAAAAACTGTTTTTGCTGGTATTTGTCCTGAATCAAAGCAATAGTGGCTGGAGACGGATGAACGCCTTTTAAATCAGCCTCTTTATTGTCCTGTAAATGTTGCAGGAATGTTGCATTCACATGTTCAATCTCAACGGTCAAGACATCACATTGTTGAGCCAATGTCGCAATATCTTCTTCCTTAGTAAAACTCCCAGCTACAGCCTCAAGACCCGTTTGACCAGCTGGAGATTCGATACCAAGAGGGTCTAGTATTAGAACCTTTAAATTAAGACGATGAGCTGCATTGGCCATCATACGACCTAATTGACCACCACCAAGAACACCTACAACGGGTGGAGCGGCATTATTAGCGTTAATTGTTAGCACCGGCATTTATGTAATTTTTAGATATGAAATGGGAAAATTGTCTGGTAGAGAATGGCTGGAGGGCGTCACTATTGTGAAAATAAGGGAAATAAATAAAGAATAGATATTCCAAATCAAGTACTTTTTATCACAAACCTTATTATAAAGCGCTTTATACCGTTCGTTAGGACGTGTATTCTACATGGAAATGATCAGGGACACCACAAACAGGACACAAGACGATTACATTTCGCTCCATCATTGGGAAATGTCATGATAATCACCTTTTGCAATTCCCAGTGCATTAATCTCAATATTAATGGTTTTGGAAAACTGTCGCTTGTACATACCTAGCAATACCAGGTGATTAAGCACTTATGATAAGGTAAAAAGGTAGATCGAGCATAAGGTGCAGTCTCTCGTGCCATGGACGCGCCAAACCTGAAAACCTGCAGGTCTTTGAATAAATTACGGCAGAGTAGGAAGAAGCCGTAAAAAAAAGCTTTCCTTTCGCTGTCTGCTGCTAGGTTCTCGCTGACTTTGTTGTCGAGGAAAAATCGATGCTGAGGACAAGGCTGATCGCGACAGTTTTGACATTGACATATGGAGCTGGTCGAAACAAGTTTCGTCAGTCAATTATTTATCCTCCACCTATTCTCGCATAGAATACGATATTGGGGCATTTTGGTCTAATGTACCTAAATTTTAGACCCCATCGTACAGTAGTTGATGTTAGAGTGCAGCACACCATAATCTGATTTAAGTAATGTCCCGAGGATGTTGGGGGTGGTTCCTTCGCAACGTATTGCGCCAAGACGACGAGTGGATTCCAATTAATGTACGTGCTGTATCTATAACTTTTATCTTCTCTTTCACCAAGCTCTTAAATGGATCATTTCCGCCTGTCTGACATTTGGTTCTCTACTATGAATAATAGAGCCGCGTGATCCATGTAACGTCGGAGCATCGATTTAAAGAGCTCATTGACAAGGGCAAAAGAACGAAACGTTTGCTTGTTGTAGACTTTTCAGCTACTTGGTGTGGTCCATGCCGTCATATTAGTCCCGTGTTTCATGAGTTAAGTGCCACATATCCATGCACGATCTTTTTAAAAGTGGACGTGGATGAGCTGAAGGTTGTGGCCAAGAGCTGCAATGTAACGGCCATGCCGACGTTTCAGTTTTTCCGTAATGGCTTTAAGTGTGATGAGATGTGCGGTGCAGATAAGAACGGACTGGAGACGCGTATCCAAAAGCATTATGTGGAGGTGGAACTGACTGAGGATGAAAAGTTGATCGTGAAGGAGACTGATCTCGTTGGAGAGAAGGTGGCGACTGTCGGACTCCGCCAGCGCAAGCCACAGGTGGTGACGGTGACGTCGGAAATGCAGTGGAAGCAGCTCATTCAGCAGAATCAGGAATCAAACAAAGCGGTGCGTGATAATGCCTTGCATCGATAAGAGAGACTCTCCGATACGGGTAGTTGGTCCAGTGGATCCTGGTGAAAGGTTTGCTGACGACGACTCATATCGTTTATGCCTTGCTGACAGTTGGTGGTAGACTTGTGGGCTACGTGGTGCAAGCCGTGCGTCGAGATCGCTCCATTTTTCGAGGAGCTGTGTGGCCGGTTCCCTGCTGCAGTATTCGCGCGCGTGGACGTCGATGAAGTCGAGGTAATGCAACAGTTTACTCTATCATACTCTGTAGTCTGCTGCGTGGGTGTGTTGGATACATGGTGCATTGTCTCTAAGTGATGTGAATGCTGCTATTGATCGGTTTGCAGAGCGGAACGGACGAGTTCAATGTATCATCGTTGCCGTGCTTCAAGGTCTTTATAAACGGCAAGGTGGTGGACGAAGTGAATGGAGCGATCAAGAGCGCGTTGGAAAGGATGATTGCCAGACACTACAGCTGCTGACATCCATACGACAAAGGATCACATGGAGAAGAAAAGTGTCTCATCAATATCCATGCGGCCCCCAAATCCCTCGCTTTTTCATGAGCTTCAACATGCACATCTTTTATCTTGGCGATGTTATGCTGGATAATTTGGCCGATACAGATCGACAAAGTGCGACGGTACTTCATAGATGTAGCTTGTGCCTTTTTTTCCACGAAAAGTGATACATTTGGATATCACCAGGCTGCGTCATTGTCTTGTAGTGGACTAATCGAGGTCTAGAGCAAAGCGTCTGCACCTCTCGTGAGGGGATTTTTCGTTTGTAATGTGCGTCATCAATGCTTACACGTTTGAATCCGTTGGTCCTACGGTTACAAGATTGTTGCAATGAAGAGAAACCCATTCCCGGCTTTAGAGCAGTAGGGACCTGACCTCAACGGGAGCCAGCGACAAAACAAGACCTAGATCTCGCAGATATTTGAATGAAAAACATCGCTCTGTAACGCACCATTGCTATAAAGTTTTACTCTCTTCATGGCAGTTTGCAACGTCTTACACGCGATATATGTCATGCCTTCCTTTGTCAAGACAAACTAGTCGAACATCCGCTGCAAAAAGGCGGATGGTGGCTATTCAACAAAATGTAGCTATGTCTGTGATGTTGCAGACAAAAATCTACTAGAGGACATTCTATCATTACGTACAAGGCAAGCTATAGATACTCAACAAGCTCAGTAGAAGGTACAGCTTCAGTATCTCACGCTATGTGCCTCACAGGCAGCCAGCATTCCCCCAAACTTTGTTGAACTGCAACAAAGTTTCCCTGTCTCCGTCTCTTTCCTGTGCATAGTAATTAAGTCACCACAGCCACTCGTGTAGCTCACACAAACCTTGCTCATTTGATTGCTCAAGGCGAGGCTTTTCTGACGTTGTAGCCCGCCTTATGTTTTTGCAGAGGACCAATAGAAAGTCAACCCATTGGAACAACGATCTTGAGCAAGAGCGATTTAAACTTAGCATTTGTATTGAAAAATACACCATGTCACGGAAAACAAAAATCTTTTTTCTTCCGTAAGGTAATGGCTTACTTGGCTCAGCTGCGCCCCATCACGCGCGCGCTGTTTACGACCCGTTACGGCTGCCAGTATGAATTTTCAGATTCCGTAATCCATCGTCCAGGGCGGTGGAGGAGGTCCTCCCATGACCTCTCATTGGCCAGTAAATGTAATGGTAGCTTGGACCCTACCCGCAATTCACCGTTCCAATAGAGAAACCCCCGTAACCGGATTGATGTCAGTGTATCCGATTTGACAAACTAATCAAATCTATAAGGTTTTTTTATAACCCTTATTGTATTATATATGCTATTTTAAGCATGACAAAGCAGAGTGTTGCCATCGGGTATCTTTGCACGTGATATGGATTTATAGAATCTGTTTCGTTTTTATTGCAGCAGTCCATATGCGACACTACCGTGCCTCTTTCACTCGCTCTCACTTTCTGTTCTTAACACAACATAACAGCAGCATTTAGGGAAGAAAAACCCAGTGACATTACCAAGTCCTGGAATAATTTTTTTTTATTCCCTTCAGAGGTCCATTCCCCGTTCAGTTCACTTCGTGTTAACGTCACAAACCAAGTCTATCATGCAGCGTTTTCGTCAGCTTATGCTCTTGGCCGTCTTAACCGTCTCTACAGCCGAGGACGTCGAGGCCACGACCATCGCCGAGACGGAGCAGCATACGCACCTTCGTGGTCTTTTGGCCAAATTTGCGAGCCACAATCCAACGGCTACACCCGTCCGGGAACTGGTTGCTACTTGGGAGGAAGGGAAGGTGGGTGAAGCTCGACAGCTCCGTCCTTTCTCGGAGACAATCGTGGGCGGAGAGACGGTCGTTGTGTTTAACGATCGTCGTCTGAGCCCTGAAGCCAAGATGGAGTCAGCTCTTGTGACATTTGATGTGCGTTCGAGTCCCAATTGTGTCGTGAGTGTGTGTGGTGAGCTCAGTAAGTGGTACTTGGGCTCAAAGGAGCAGTGCTTTGACCTGCGCATCGCCCGCAAGTCTGTGGATCAGATTGAAAATGGACTGATTCGAGGAATCTCAGCCGCCTATTCGGGTCTACGCCCTGTAGCTTCTAATTTGTACCTAAAGTTTGACGAGACGAATTTTATTGACGGTTCCAAGTGTGAGTACGAGATCCTCTCTGGCAGCAAGACAGTACGCGAGGACGAGGTGATTAGTGGCTCCCCGACCGCCATGGCATAGACCGCCCCCCCCCTCCCCACAGCTTTCTCTTTTTAATGTAAAGAGCTGTACGATAGGATAGACATCACTAATATTAACACACAAAAGTTTTGGCAGCACTTGTATACGTTCTCTATACTGGTGAGTGGGTCAGTTTGACTTGGCTATAACGTCTGAAACCAAGTTCGATCGTTCGAAGAGCTGTACATATACTAAATTCCAACGACCGTCGCGCATCGACGACCACTGTGGTCGCAACTCCACTCATTTCTCACTCTATGCACCCTTTTTTAGCGGTCAGGCAGAAAGATCAGAAGAGCACTAATGTACCTCGCGACAGGCCAGCGACACATAAACTGAAGCAAATAGAGTTTATCTATTTGTTTCACTTGAAACAATTGACATCTCTTCGAACACGAGATTGACAATAGGGATGCCATGACTAGTAGCAATGGACTACCAGAAACGCCGCGCTTTGCTTGAAATTCTGCGTATTTTTTGCGACACCTATAGCCAGTCAATATGTATATTCCTGTCGATCTACAATTGTAAAGGATGTACTGCCGAGTCGTAGAGTGCTACCTCATGCTTCGATTGAGCAGGTACATCAATGGCCAGCGAAAAGACCGCATGACCCTGTAGATTTTTTTTCACTTGACGACAAGTCTACAATTCGAATCAACAACGTCACGGTTGTGCGTCGTCATAGTCGGACAGCTAGAAGCAGCTTTATGGGCCAGCTTCGACGGCGTCAGATGTCGTGGCTGCCCATCCTTTCCACAATAATGGCGCTTCAAAGAACACTTCCACCTGTATTCAAAGCAGTGTGTGCAACTTTCATTCCTTTTCTTATGATAGTAATAACAGTACTGTAGGTTGTCTATCAAGTTGCTGCCTTAACATGTGCTTCATTGGATTGGAATTCGAATTCGGACAACGACGAATCAAATAACTTACTAAGTAATACCTATAAGACGCGGAGCAAGCGCTCTCTCTATTCTATAAATCTCTGCCGCCGTCATGACTTTTTTTGTGAAACGTGCGCCCTCTCACTTAGCTGACAACGTTCGATGTACATGTTTAGCTGAGATATTCCTCGTAAAATCAATGGGTTCTACCGTAGAAACGTTAATACAAAAAGCGACGTAGAACTTCTACGTCGCTTTTTGTATTAACATTAAACTGTATAGGATTGCGACATATAGCGTTTCAGTATAAAGTTCACATGAAAAATGTAGTCTAAATGCCACGATGGCTGAAGAGTATGGTAATCCAAAGAGGTCATATATTCTAAAAAAAAATAAGCGAATAGCTTACTGTGCCTTAGTATTGACCAAAGTTAATTTAATTTATACACGAAGGCCGTTTTTCCTACAGTATGTATCAAATCCCTCAAGTAAAAATTCAACAACAAAAAATTTAAAGTCATGAGAAAAAAACCACGCGTTTTTAACGGATGGTTTATAGCCTCCCCCCCCCCCCCCTCAAGAGGAATACTTTACTCGCTCGTACATTTTACTGTAGTAAAAAAAAAGAATCTTCATTAAAAAAAATGACAAACAACCTGCGCTACGGTCAACAACATGACCGATTTCTGTCTCTTTCTCTACGTTTCTTTCAATGCGCGACGTCTATCGTCGCATTGATCCTCATGACCATCAGTTTTAAAGCACAAAAGATGACGTTTTTAACCGAGAATGGCAATGTACAAGAAATGACGGTCTATTACGGTGGTCCAGCCGTCAATTTTGTCATGATTGTGTCCTTTACTGCGTGTTTTTACGACGTCTTTCTCCTCTTGTTGGTCTTTACGCTACAGTGTGTTCGAATTCCACCATGTTGGAGCTTTGGGATTGATGCTGTCTTTACTATGCTCTTTATGAGTGCTGGCTGTGCCTTGGCAGCCTGTGATTACGTACGCTATTGTGATGCATTGCAAGATATTGTGCATTGTGCATTATTAACATCGGGTGCTGCATTGTGTTTCATGGCATTTGTGGGGTTTTTAATGAGTGTCACGTGGGGTGCATGGATGCGTAATACATGGGGGAGTACGTCTCAAAAGAAAGAGTCTCTTGATCAAATGGGGACTTTACCTCCGTCTGTCTTACCTAGTGACCTTGTCTTAAGTGGCGGAATGGACTTTGATCTGGAACATGGAACGACAACGTATAATACGTACGTTCAGGACGGCTATAGAGAGTCATAAGGAGACAATGTCACGATAGACGACAGACGGACGTGGCTTGCTGACTACTGAAGTAAAGATGATTGGGGAAGTTAGTGAAGGAGAAAGGGATTTAGGTACTGGTCTGGTCTGGTCTGGTCTCGATCGTTTAGATGAGAGGTGCTAGGGAGGGAAGTAAGCAAAAGTGTATCATAATGCCAATACGAAACAGCTTCCTTAGCGTTGTCAATGATGATGAAGGTGCTGTCACTCTCTGTTATCAGTTACAAGCAGAAGCAGTTTCTTGCTTGACGCAAAGAGAAGGACGATGGTAGTCACGAGGTTAACCGTTTCATGCGTACTTGGAAACAATTTATGGCTCGTGTGCCCCCGACTTCAAAGTGTCGTTACAATGGATGAACGGGTACATTTAGCTCCAGCGGCGTCTTTTGAAGGTGTCCGATAAGGACAGAGGTCTGTCTCTTCATGCTTTTCGTTCGTAGGTGAGTCATTTTCGATTTCGCATCAAGGAGAAGACACATTGATTCAAGAACGATGCGAGGTCGCAAGTTTAACTCTCAATTGAGGTCGCGTCAACGAGTGAAAGCGACGGCAGTGGCGTTTGGGGTGGTTATAGTAATCACGTTCGGACTTCTTTGTGTGTTGAGTCGTTTCTCCGAGCTAAAAGGAGAAGACGAAGCTTATCACATGACGCGATATCAACAAGCACTAGACCAAAGTGAAGAAAAAAAGAGAGAATTTCAGAGCACAATGCCAGTTGCAATGCCACCAGCGAATACTCCGTCAACCACTCCAGTGCACCAAGTCACACGACAACTTCTGCTGGGCCGGATAATAGGAGCCCTGTTTTCAGCAACACCACCGATGCAGAAGCGGAATCCGATGATGCAGAGGCAGAGATTGCGCACAAGGCCACGAGCAAATACGTTTATGGCCCCAGCGTCCCTCGAAGCTGAGGATGCAGCAGGTAGTGCTGCAATGTCAGACGACGCAGAAGTCGGCGACATAGACGCCCGAATGCATAATGGTGAGTGGGTCTTTGCTCCCCAAGAGACCGAAGCCAGTGGTAGCGAAGATAGCGACAGCAGTGACAGTAACGACTGCAGCAGCGAAGACAGCGTGGACAGTAGCAGCAAGGACAGCGACGACAGTGGAAGTGACAGCAGTGACAGCAGTGACAGCAGCGACAGTGTGAGCATAAGCTGCAATGAAACCACGAGCATCATGAGCAAATGGTAAGTTGTGAGTCCGATAAGTTCTTGCGACGACGATGTAGCATGATCTATCTAAATGTACAAGACGCTTAATAACAAGCGAGCCAAAATCAAAATATGAAGAAAAATCACCACAAAACGAGAGAAGCACCAGCTTGTTGTCCATCTACATTTCTTGCACTCTACCTACCTTTACCGTTCTTGTGATTCCAATAGCTCGTACGTAGTCATAATGCTCTCGGGTGTAATCATCCGAAACTGTTCATTAAGACGTAGCAACGCTTGCGAAACACGAGCAATCTTCCGACGGTCTTCAACACTCATTGGTGTCGCAGCATGCAACTTTCTCTTGGCCGTCAGTACTTCTACACGAGTCTCCATGCTACTAGTCATGTCTTCACTATCCTCTTCTCCCAGAACAGCCATGCTTCTAGACACCCAAATATATCCATTAGTACCTAGAATCACATCAATCCCAATATCTGGCAAGGTGACCATGTGTTGCTTCATCCTCTTCACCAAAGGAGATGCAACCGCTACAAATTGACCATTTTCGAGCTTCCCATAGCGTAAACTGCGTGTATGAAGACTGAGTGATCCATCATAGCGAACCTCTTGAATCTCGGCTGAAATAAGGTCATTTTCAACAAAAAAAGCTCGCATTTGTAGCTGATCAGCGTACGTTCGACGTCGTTGGTCACCACCTGGTAAGGTCACTGAACTGAGCATAAGACTGGCATCTTGTTGTCCATTGACATCCACTTTCCAGCGTTTACTCGCTACATTCGTCACACGACCGACAATAATGTCACCCACTTCTCCAATGTATCGGGAAACTAATGGACGAACGGTAATAAGTTGATTCACTTTTTCCACGATTCCAGCCACGCTAGCCACCAATTCATTGTGATTACTTAAGTACGTTCCATGACCACGTAAGAAGGCACCAGTATCAGTACTTATTATTTGACCAGGGGTGACAAGAACGACGTGAGATTCATCAAGTAGTTCCATTGGTTCATCCTCTTCTTCTGGTGAGAAGGAGAGGCGACGTATACGAATTTCCATGGACCAGTGATGATAATTGAGTAGTCTTTGTTTGCTATGTGGATAATTTATAAAAAAAAACCCTGGATTTTATCTAATATTGTTGTGAGGGATTTTTTTGTCGTCAGGTTTGATTTCGCTCTTTTGATAAAAAGTCGACTTTTTACTACTTTTCAAGCTACAGATCTCCCTCTAATAAGTTATGGATACGGTGGATGACAATTTTTATAACTAAACAGAGGTTATGGAAAACTTAGTTACACAAGTCGAATGATCTTCAATACCATCTTTACGGTGGTAATGTTGCATTAATTCGTCGCGTGCTTTGCGACAATGCTCTTTAAAGCACTCTTAATGGCTCCACTAAGCTCCTCCACCACCACGCCACCCTTGAACACCTTAAAAGAAGGTAACGATGATACATCGAACTCATTTGTCACGCTCTACAAACACAGAAACAAAAACAAAGTCACTTCCATAAACGCATCTCCCAAGAGACACAACACTGCTGTGGATAAATCAATACTTTTTTGCAACAGCTCCAGGCTGCAGCATGCAAAATGCAAATACTTTTTTACGTCTTACCTCGAGTTCATCGACGTCCACGCGCGCAAATACTGCAGCAGGAAACCGGCCACTCAGTTTCTCAAAAAATGGAGCAATCTCGACGCACGGCTTGCACCACGTAGCCCAGAAGTCTACCACCAACTGTCAGCAAGGCATAAACGACATGAGTCGTCGTCAGCACTTGAACCTTTCACCAGGATCCACTGCACTAACTACCCGTATCGGAGGGTCTCTCTTATCGATGCAAGGCATTATCACGCACCGCTTTGTTTGATTCCTGATTCTGCTGAATGAGCTGCTTCCACTGCATTTCCGACGTCACCGTCACCACCTGTGGCTTGCGCTGGCGGAGTCCGACAGTCGCCACCTTCTCTCCAACGAGATCAGTCTCCTTCACGATCAACTTTTCATCCTCAGTCAGTTCCACCTCCACATAATGCTTTTGGATACGCGTCTCCAGTCCGTTCTTATCTGCACCGCGCATCTCATCACACTTGACACCATTACGGTAAAACTGAAACGTCGGCATGGCCGTTACATTGCAGCTCTTGGCCACAACCTTCAGCTCATCCACGTCCACTTTTAAAAAGATCGTGCATGGATATGTGGCACTTAACTCATGAAACACGGGACTAATATGACGGCATGGACCACACCAAGTAGCTGAAAAGTCTACAACAAGCGAACGGTTCGTTCTTTTGCCCTTGTCAATGAGCTCTTGAAACTGCTGCTCCGACGTTACATGGATCACACGACTCTGAGAATTAATATATCAAGATTAGCAAAACAAACCCAGATGATTATGTGGACTACATTGGTGACAAACATTCTCGGGGATCGTGTCATTATTGTGGCCGAGAACGTTCTTGTGAAACCAATTCCAGAGGCCTTGAAGCATCATGAGTGCGAACGGAACCAGCGCATATATCGGGATACAGAACCCTCCTATGCATATCTGAAGGAAAAGAACATTAGATCCTAGTGTAAGCAGAGTAAAGTGGATTAGGATACGACGCACTTACCGTCGCCGTCATGATGGTGATTACTTTTGATAATCAAAAAGTATGGGCTATATGCAGATTTTTAATTGGATAAAATATTGATTAATGGTATTTACTACCAATCGTTAGAGAAGAGTAGCAAGTTGTTCGTTTAGAGGGAGGTTATGTCATGTGGGCCCCTCAAATGTATCCATTTCCTTTCTAGAATGTCGAGTACAATAATGGAGACGTTGCGCGCCGAGGGCAATGCGTTTTTTAGTGCCAAGGAGTTTGAATCGGCTGTAGCCAAGTATACAGAAGGACTAGAAGCTGCTCCGTCCTCATCTTCTGGTCTTTCTCGTGATGAGTTGAAGGCTGTAGAGATGCAACGCGTCCTTCTTTGGAGCAATCGTGCCGCGTGTCTTTTGCAGCTCGGAGACTTTATTCAGGCCGAAAAGGACTGTACACTGGCGTTAAGTATTGATCCAAATAATACCAAGGCACGATATCGTAGAGCTCAAGCATGTATGGGGCTCGGGAACAATGCACAAGCTTTCAAGGACGTGCATTTAGTGCTGCAGTATGCACCAAGTAATAAAGCAGCAGCTGCATTGGCTCGGAAGATCCAAGAGCAAGTGAGAGAGGATGTTCATGGAGTACAAAAGGCACTGGACTGTATTATGAGTGGAGTATGTGGAGAAACAGGTGATGTAGGGCTCAAGGAAATGTTGCAAGAACAGGAGAAGACCGTGGAAGCTTTGCAATATCTAGAGATGAAGAGTGTTACGGAGCTGGCGAGTTTACCTGAAGAAATTGCTAAAAGAGGGGGATTAGTAGTGCTATGGCGAGCAGTGGCAAAACTTGTCGAGCTCAATGAGAAGGAGGAAGAGAAGAAGGAGGAGGTGTTGAGCATTTTGTCGCACGTGGTGTCGTTGCTGTCGATATTGGCGTCCGCGTCGATGGAACTTGTGGGGAAGATGTTTGAGACGAATCATGGAGCACTTGATAAGTTGCTAGAGCTGTTGCATAGTCAGGTGGCTTTCGAGTATGAGGCGAATGGCTCGGATGCGACGAAGCAGATGCCAATTCGGGGACGCAAGGTGATTATTCGGTTGGCGGCATTTATTTTCAAGTATCTGTTGATCGGAGCCAAGTCAGATGATGATGCATGTGTACGTCGAGTATTGGGTGGATTACTGGACGGTTTGCGTAGTCGCCAGCGCGTGCTGCAGATTGCAGCGCTGGATGGTCTGCTTCATTTCATCACTGTGTTGAGTGGCCAGAGTTCGATCCTGAACAATAAAGACGACAACATAGCCCAGCAATTGAAGATGCGGTTTGCCGTGCTTGCGCAGGAGCTTGGATTGTTTTCGTTGTTGCATACTACCGCATCCAGCGCTCTACCTGGATTTGAGGCTGGTGTGAATACTGCTGAGGCTCCAAGATTGGAACTGACAGCAGTGTTGCTGAGCCGCCTTCCACTCGTGTTTACCCAATGTCTTTCGCATCTCGAGGGTGATGACACGATGCTTAAGAAAATGGTACGGGACTGGTGTGTATCTCCGGTGCTGGCAGCGCGATCCACAAATCGCACTCAGCTGGCTCAAGGCTCGGCTTCCTGTCTGCTCCTATCGGCTCTCTTTCTTTCAAACGCAAAACTTGCGCTGTGGGCTGTGCAGCAAACTGGAAATGACGGCACAGCATTCCTTACGCGATTGCACGAGTATTTGAGTGCGTCGCGAACATTTGATGACGCGAAGGCACACACTCGGCAATTGCAGGAAATTTGGGTTGATTGTGTGGCCAGCATTTGTGGGGTAGAGCATGGTCCTGCCTGTGTTCCGCCTGCATTGAGAATCGAGATTTATCGCATGCTGCAGGCATCTTTGGATGAAGAAGATGACTTGATGCTTCGAGCCAGCGCGCTAAGTATTCAAGTGAAGCTTGGTATTGTTGAGAAGACGCTGGAGATGCCGTCTGATGATGGACGGTTCCTTATGAACAGCGTGTTTGAGGTCCTTGCGAGTGCAGAAGCCGTGGAAAGCAAACACCGGGAGGGTGAAAAGGTAAAACAGGGAAAGGACAAGACAAAGGAGCAGGTTCCAAGATCGCTTTTGTTCTGGAGTGGCGTCTCTCCAAAAGAGCGTGGCATTGAGGCCTTGTCGTACCTAATCACGTACACCCCCGTAAAGGACGCCTTTGTGAGGCATCAAGGGGCTGTGGCCAGCGTATTTCGGGTCCAATTTCCAAGCACAAAGGACGCGAGTATAGGAGCACAAGCAAACGCTGGTTTCAGGTCAAATGTGTACTATGGCATCGGGTACATCTTGCACCACGCTTTGACATCAGAGGCTGCTATCAAGCGGAAGCAAATGGAGGGCATGGAGATGACGGCTGACCAATACGAAGAGCTGCAAAAGGCGTTGAAGCAGAAATCAGTGCTCGAGGATGGTGACACTCCTGAACACGTGGAGGCCCGTGTCACTCGGCTTGCTGCGTCGCGTGATGTGTTGACTACTCTTGTGCAGCTCTTGAAGCTGTCCGCTACCAAATCAGAAAATGTCATGGAGATGGCAACACTTAGTGCATTGCATGCTGCAGAAGTATCGTCGGTGCGAGGCAACCTGGTGCAGTGTGGCGTCTTTCAGGCACTAATCCCGTTGGCGTTGCACCACATTGCAGTAGCAAAGATCAAAGGTGGCAAAGCATCCAAGGATCCTTCGCAACTTCACGGAACGAAGATCTCGAATGCTGCAGGTCAGGCAATGGCCAAGATTTTGATCAGTACGAACCCGAACTTGATCCCGTCGTCGTCGCTTTTCTCATCCATTCGACCGTTGCTAGATCTATGTAAAGGCGACCAGCAATTACTGCAGTTCGAAGCACTCATGGCTCTCACAAACATTGCGAGTGTCTCGGAAGAAACAAAGGCGCGTATTGTCGGCGAACCGCAAGGTCTGTCTACGCTACAGTATCTGCAGTTTTCGGAGCACGAACTTGTGCGTCGTGCGGCCACGGAAGCGATTTGCAATCTCCTCCCGAACGATAAGGTGATTGAACAGGTTTTCATGAACGAAGAGAAGGTTCGTCTTTGGGTCGCGTTTGCGTCTCTCGAAGATGAGGCCGAAGACTTCGAGACGGCTCGAGCTGCTGGAGGTGCATTAGCAATGGTGTCCCAGGTTCCAAAGGTAAGCTGGATCTTAATGCGTCAAGGCGGACTCAAAGCTTTCAGCAAAATTATCGAAGAAGGATCGAATGTGGAAACCCTGCATCGAGCTTTTTTTGGGATGCAGAATATGCTCGAAGCGATCATTGGCGCCGCAAAGGACGAGGAAAAAGTCGACGAGCGAGGCAAATTCAGTGAAGAAATCAAACAGCATAGCGTGACGCTCAAGCAGAAGCTTGTTGCTCACTGTAGTAAGACCCAGATCAAGGACGCAGCCCAAGCGTGTCTCGCAGCGTTAGAGCAAGTGATTCGTTAAGTCGAGTCGACGTTCGCGTCGTTTCGCGTCCTCGCCACACCAAGTATACACCACTACGGCCTACTCTGTCCTAACAAATGCCTCATGTTATTTTATATGATACTTTACAATTAAGATGGTAAGAAAAAGAGCACACGGTAAACAAAAAAATACTTTTCATTTCACATTTATTGGAAACTTATTCAAGAGAGTTCCGTACAATAATGAGTGACGACTCAATTGCGGTGCAGCGTCTACGACAAGAGCGCAAGAACTGGCGACGGGATCACCCGGCGGGTTTCTGGGCTCGTCCTATTGCCAATGACGATGGATCATTGAACCTCATGATGTGGCACGCAGGTATACCGGGAAAGACCGGGACGGACTGGGAAGGTGGTGTATTTAAAATGTCGCTGGGCTTTTCGGAGGATTATCCGAGCAAACCACCCCTCGTTAAGTTTACACCACCTCTCTACCATCCAAATGTGTATCCATCCGGTACAGTTTGTTTAAGTATCCTGAATGAGGACAAGGACTGGAAGCCTAGCGTGACTATCAAACAGATTCTCAAGGGCGTGCAAGACTTGCTGGATCAGCCAAATATGGCCGATCCAGCCCAGCGAGAGCCGTACATGGACCTGAAAAACGATCCGGAATTGTACAAACGCAAAGTGCGTCAATTGGCACTCAAGAATCGAGAAACTTAGAGATGGGGAAAGAGAAGACAGGTCGATAAAAAAGAGTACAGAGTGAAGAGAGGAAGTAATACTACACGTATTACTATGATATAAAGAGCTGGGTCGTCATCAGGTTAATGCTATTCAAAGCAAGAAAACCAATGTGATTACGAGACTGAAAGTTAACATTAATCAACTTGGATTAGCAATCTCGATTGTCCTTGACACCCGTTATTTTTAGTCCTTCTTGAGTCCAAACATCTCCCTGTCAATACCCGAAGCCTTGATCGTCAAGATCTCCACACTGTCACCCGTGTAAATATCTCTCTACAACAATTTGTTCACCACAATAACAAACAAAGAACTCAAATTAGTATAGTACCAGCAACATTCCACTCAACCACTTCTCCTCCTCTTCCTTATCCACGCACTTCTCCAGCCGTAATGAATGCGTCCTTGATAATGTCCTTTGTCTCTTGCAACGTCAACGTTTTCTTTGGATCCAAACGTGTGTCATGCTCGACCAAATTATCCAGCAATGGGATCATCAAATGACCTCCCGATCCTTGGGCTGCACGTGACACACGATCGTACGATCCAATGGCATCGTACGTATACACGGCCCCTTTCCCTTCTTCGTCTATACCACAAAGGATACAGAACGCGTAATAGGGAAAGAAACGTCGAGAATACAGCGTATTCATAAGCAATTGGGCCATGGCACTCGAGCTCATGGACGTTTCATTGTCATGTTGATACATTTGAGCACGAATACTCAGCACCCCACGAAGCTGAATAATGTCATTGTGCGAGCCAGGACAGCCAAGTACCGTCGTCGATGTCAATTCATGCAATTTACTCTCCTTACGGCTTAATACCGAATAACCGGTACTTAAACGCGTATCTCCTGCCACGACGACAAAATCTTCCCCCGCAATAGCAAGTACAGTCCCTCCATTGAAATCATACGGCTCCCAATTCGCATGTCCATGGTCGTGAACACTTTCAGCTTGTACATGGTCCAATGCTAGCTTGGCATCACCATTTGTCGTCCACGCAACAGCTTCCGGCATCATCCGAGACATGGATCTTATCAATGTCTTCTTTATATAAAGTGGGGGAGATACTTTAGTTCTACCGGTACAATCTACCGATACACTGAATGTTTTCTCATATCAGAGTATACCGGTATTTTCGTACCGATCCGATTATTTTGTCTGGCGAGCATTCATTCCTCGCCCTCTGGACATCATGGAGCGTGAACCGTGTCCCTTTCGTATTGTAGAAGACGCAGGTGGAGGTTTTGTACTTGGTGCTGTGTTTGGTTCCGGATGGTACACGTTTAAAGGTGCACGCAATTCGCCATCGGGTCAGCGTTTCCGTGGTGCCATTTATAACGCCAAGATGCGAACACCGGTATTGGCTGGTGGGTTTGCGGTCTGGGGTTTACTTTTCTCGTCCTTTGACTGCTCGTTCGAGGCGTTACGACGGAAAGAAGATCCTTGGAACTCTATTCTAGCTGGTGCAGCTACGGGTGGTGCTCTTGCAGCCCGTGCAGGTCCACGAGCTGCTGCAGGACAGGCACTTATTGGTGGCGTCCTCTTGGCTGCTATTGAAGGAGTAAGCATCATGGTGAACGAGTGGTTTGCACCGCAACCTGATCAAGGCATTACTGGTGACATGATGGGCACATCGGAGCTGGACGAACAAAAACTAGCACCACCATCGTTCTAAGACGGTTGGGCTTGGCGTGTGTTTGGTATATAGGAAATGCTGCTTGGGTGATATACATGTTGCTGCCCCTCCTTAAGTATAGGAAGGACCTGCATCTTCTAGGTGATAATATCTGGGTTTTGGGGATACATAGACAAAAAGAAGAGATGGATGTCTGCAAGCTGACACGGGTTTGAAATGGAGCTGTGGGAAGTTTTGCAGAGGACGAAGTGGATGAGGACAGATGTAGCGGATGTTTCGACAATGAAAGAGAGAGAGACAGAGAGACAGACAAACAGTGATAACTGGACACATGCAATGTAACCTTAGACGCTTCAATGAGCTTTGATTCTTTTTAGCGGGATCATTTGTGTTGCTGGAGCAGTGTGCAAGTGACTGATTAATGCGGGCAATTTGACACTTATTTCTCCAAGTTGCTGCGTTCTTCTTATAGGTATTTATGCAACGTTTGACAAGACAAACAGATGAAGACAGGGAAAAGCTCAAGTACATTGTGCACGGACTAAAACAAACAACAGTATCTAAGGCATCACCTACTCACGAAAATCTTCGAGCGACCTCCAAGCAACATTACTGGTGAGCTCCTAAAACTGTACTACGTCATACCGAAAATGACTAATTTCATACCTCCTTTCATTGAAATTGGTGTAAGCCTCACACTGTATACCAACGACAAGAAAGAATGCCGAGTGCCAAGTGGGAGATTGCACGTATTGGTTTGTACATTTCCAGTGCGTTGCCGTTCTCAGATTTCTACGAGCTGATACAATAGCATTTATGTACTACTAACTCACTTTATTGTATGACTTTCACACTACAGTTCCCGTTATTGCTACATGTATCTACGCTCAACCAGAATGCATCAACTTTATTGTCAATCGGGTAAGGCTGCAAATGATTGACTCAATATGTTTGTCCAGGCCATTGAAACGTACTTAATATGCATTTGTATGATGCTGAAATAGTGGAAATACATCCAGTACCCGCCACAAGCCGTGTCACGTGAAGAATATTATGAAAAGATGCGCGAGGTGGCCAAGGAGGACAAGTGATATTGTAGAATCTGATGTCCATAACGAGACATGGCCTGTGCTACAACCAATATATTGGGAGTTGTGTATTGCTGTCGATGGGGGGGGGGTCATATCTACTCAGAACAACTCGTTAAAATCAACGGCAAAAAATCAAAAGCTTGTCGTATTTTTGATACTGGCCATGAGAGTCAAGTGCACGTCTCAACAAGCCAAACGTCGCCTGCATTTATTGATGAGTGTCAATCGATGCCAGCCTCTGGTAACAGAAGTTGCTTCCTTTAATGCAAGCATTGCTGGATCCTTTTCTTTTCCCACTATTGTTTCCGGAGTAAACAGTAGATCCGTGTATCGTTGTGAATCATGTGCAGGTGGCGTTGTTCACCGCGCAGACACATGAGTAGACCACCAAAGCTGGCGTAAATAGCCACCATGTTGCCACCTTCATGATCGTACTGGAAGACCTTACCATACATGCCATAGTCGTAACGATCTAACAGCGTCGGCTGTATCTCACACACGAATATTTCGCAAACATTGAGCTCATGTCCAACCAATTTACGAAGAGGGTGATGCATAACGCACCTTGCCCGACTGATTAAACGTCCCATCGTCCGGTTTCCCTTCCAAGTCCAACGTACTGACAAGTGCCAATGTGAACTTTTCATTTTGACGCAAACGATAAACCTCCGAGTTGATGTCCAGTGTCAGCTCGAGCTCATACGAAACACCTTTGCACACCACACGGGTCACTGTATCACAAAGACCATTGATTAGTAAGTCATCCGCAATTGCAACACTAGATGTGAGCACCTCTTGATAATAATAACACGCACCTTTATCAAACTTTTTTCCGTCCGGGTTGACCTGTCGCACTTCAAAGATATCCTCAAACAATTCCGTCGCCATTGTCTCTATAAAGTCTCCACCAGCCAAATCCACTACACTAGCATCAGCTACAAAAACCGGTACAGCAGAGGTGTCCACCGGTATTTTTTAACGTCAGTATTTTAACTCAAGAGCCAGAAGACGGATACAAAAAAATACACGACATTAAAACTAGCCATGGCAGAAGACGAGTACGACTATCTGTTTAAGATCGTCTTGATTGGTGACTCGGGCGTTGGGAAATCGAATTTACTGTCTCGCTTTACACATAATGAATTCAATCTGGAATCCAAGAGCACCATTGGTGTTGAGTTTGCCACGAAATCCATCGTAGCTGAGGGCAAAACCATTAAGGCACAGATCTGGGACACGGCTGGTCAAGAGAGATATCGAGCAATCACGAGCGCGTACGTCTATCAGCTGTCATGTATTGGTCTTTAATCCTGTAGCAGTTGTTGTTAGTTTACTTAATTGGTACTGTACTGTGATAGATACTACCGTGGTGCAGTAGGTGCATTATTGGTGTATGATATTACCAAGCACGGAACGTTTGAGAACGTCGAACGTTGGCTCAAGGAGCTACGAGATCATGCCGACATTAATACGGTGATTATGCTAGTGGGTAACAAGAGTGATTTACGTCATTTACGTGCCGTGTCAACGGAAGAAGCAATGGCATTTGCTGAGAAGAACAACTTGGCTTTTATCGAGACATCGGCTTTGGAAGCGACGGGAGTTGATGCAGCCTTTCAGCGTATACTTACCGAGATTTACAAGCTCATGAGTCGCAAGACCATTCAAGCAGAAGAGAACGCAACGGCAAGTCTACCGACAGGCAACAATATTGCAATTACGACTGAGAACACGACTGAGAACCAGAAAAAGAAGAAAAGTGGGTGCTGCTAGACAATTGCTTGCTCGTGACAGAGTAGATGAGATGGAATCTCGAGAGCTAGAGAGCTAGAAAGTCAGAAAAAAGCGTGTGCAGGAAGGACTGTACACTTGTCATGCAAATGGGTTTAAGCTTACAACACGTCCACGTCCACATGTGTGACGCAATGTCGTCACTTTTGGGCATTGGTCTATTTTTTGGGTCTAAAATCTTCCGATCTCGAATATATAGTCCGATTCAGTATCGGCTCATTCCGACCAACCGATGGTCAACAAGAAGAAGCGTAATCGTGTACAAACTACTAATGCTGTACGTTTGTCGATACTATGCTTTGTCTTGTGTGGTGATACGTTTTTGTTGATGCTTTTTACTTTTTGCTGACAGCAGATAGATGAGAAAGAAGTTACAGGACCCTTGCAATCCGAACAAAAGCCCAAGAAGAAGAAGTTTAAGTTTTTGAAAACGCTCACCAATGACGCAACACCCAAGCCAATTCCTGCAAACGATGCACAAGTTCAGGAAAAGTATGCACAGAAGACAGAGACACTAATAGCTGATGAGTCAGCTTTGCATGAGACGAAGAAGAAGAAGAAGAAGAAAAGTCCAGGAGCTTCCATTGCTCCAGCTAATGTCATTGTTGCAATAGATAAGAAGAAGACAGAAGGAAGTGAGATTGATGATCTCTTTGCATCGTTAAAGACAACGAAGCAGAAGAAGAACATTGAAGAGGAGCAGCAGAAACTTGCAGAAGAAGAGGAGGAACGTCGTGAAAAGAAAGAAAACGAGCAGCTACAGCAGCAGATTAAGAAACTGGAGGCTAAAAGTACGTGGTGTAGCTATCAATGAATGGCTTACGAAGTGGATGATCATCCTGTATTGACATGTTTATGCTTCATGGTTTGTATTCTGCACAGACACTAACTCGTCTGCAGCCGGTCTCAACCCAGACCCGCGACCCGGTAAACAAAACTCTCTTATTGCAATTGCATCTTATATCGTGCTGGCTAACTTTGTTTATCTATGTATTCAGTTCGGTATGATGAAGATGGACTGCCCATTTATACGGAAGCTTCACTGCAAATAAACCGAGGTGGTAATACCAAGGACTGTCCATTTGACTGCTGGTGCTGCTTCTAACCATACATTAATCAAATCGTTGTCGACCAATCATTTTACTTTTCCCGCCAAATTTGTACCGCCAAGACATGGAAATCTCCTCGCGTCCAACCAAACGACTCGCCAGCACGTTCAATGAACATGGCGCGTTATCAAAGAAACTACAACCTTGTCGGAACAATACAACTACAAGCATGAATCCATTGGCATTAGCTCCCAGTGTGATAGAAATTCGTGCGTTTGGCCTCGAAGACCGTGCTGAAGCCGTCATCTCCCGAGACGAGGAGAACTGGACGCTTGCAAACCTGACCAAGTGGCGTCACGACATTTTCGAGAAGGTTGTTAATAACTCAGGCAATCAACAGAGTACCCAACTTAGTAGTAAACTCAGTAGCAAAGAGTACTTACGACAACGACAACGAGCATACCGTCACCAATGCTTTGCCTCCTATGGCAAGCACAAATAACCTGAGTTTTTAATCCAAGAAGCACACCAGGTAGCAATACAGCTTGGACTATTTCATATCTTCCAGGAGATCCCACACTGTTGTGGGTTCTATGTATCTGTCAAAGTGTCAGCTAGTCATCGTCTTCCTCCAAGTCACTGTCGTAAAAGATGCTCTGACGAATACTATTCATTTGTTCTTGGTTTAGTTGCTGCTTCAACTCCAGGGGGTTGCTTCCTGTTGCATAAGCACCTCCACAATTATCCAACGGATTCTCAGGCTCAGGACCTTCATACGTCAACATCTTGTGCAGACCCAAGTAATAGGCCAAAAAGGCCGTCGAAAACTTGTCGGTGCCTCCCAATTCGTCTAAACCTTGCACCATCTTCTCCACTTTCTGCTTATTGACAAGTGCAATGCACGGAATCATCCAGATCCTAAGCTTATCGACCAGATACTCCGCTTTCTCCGCATTAATGCGAGCAAACTTGGTCTCAACATGAAGAGGTGCGAGACGAGTCAAATGATCGTCCACAAGCTGGCAAAAGGCGTTAGCAGGTGTAAAAAAGTGTATCACCACCTTTTCACTCTTCTTCATTGTATTGAAAAACTCCTGTGTGTCTGCAATGGTCGTGTACTCGCCATGACCGTGTGCACGGAGATCCTGTACTTTGCGTGCTTTCTGCTGCATGGTCTGAAGCCGTTTCTGGCGCAATCTTTCCAGTTCATCGTCGTCAGCCTCTTCAAGCTTTTTAATGGTTTCGTCTAGCTTCTGATCCTTCTGGTCCAGTGTCGCCAGCACCTTCTCGCCAATTAAACTCGCTACCATTTCAGCTTGCGCAGCTGACGTCGACGCCATGTTGTTTGGATTATTGTATGGGTGAGCTTATTCGGATCAGAACGACTTGATTGGCTCAAAACAAGTTCTTTTTGGCCAATTGTATTCATAATGAGACAGACAACATGGCTACAGACCATGAATGACCAAATGGACATTGCGATTGATTGATTGATTGATTGTCGTCTACATGGACGGCATACTGAGCACGGCCCTCTATAAAGCACGCTCATTCTCGTAGTCAATAAGACGCTGGATGAGCTCCTTTTTCTGCCCCTGCGTCGACAAGTCGCGTTCCTTAAGCTTCTCCTTCAGAACCGCCGGCTTAAGCGCCTTAATGGCACGAGCATCCAAAGGATCATCTAGAGCAATCGCAATAAGCATATAGTCAGTACACAAATCATGAACAGCAGCTTGCTCCACTCTTTATCACATGCATCACTTACCATTGTCCTTGACGTGCACCTTTTTGCCGCCCTTTGCACGTTCCGCAGCAGCTAGAAACACACCAAAAGTCAATATAAACCCGTTCACTACACCCCCAACATCACCGCTTCTTTCTCCCACGTACCAGCTTCTTCCTCTTCCTTGCGTTTTTCAGCCTCTTCACGACGACGCTTGACCTCAGCCAATCTTGCCAAGTCTTTCTTCGCTTCATCCGTCTCTCCAGCCAAATGTTTCTTTAGATAATAAGCTGCAGCCCGTTCCTTCTCAATAGCCTCTCGTTCTCGTCGACTCAGTTCTTGTGGAGCTGCATTCTCATCCATATCTTTTGCCTTCATCACTTTACTGCTATTCTTCTTGGAATTCGGGTTCTTTGTCTTGGCAATTGCAGCAAACCCGACCTTCTTCTCCTGTTGCAACAAAGGACCGTCTGCCTTTTGAGAAAACCCAAACAGCGAGTTACTCTGTACACGCTCAAAGGCCACCAGTTCTTCTCCTTCTTCTTCGGAATTACTCTCATCTTCCGACTCATCGCTTCCTTCGTCTCCATCTTCACGACGAGCCTTACGAGCGTTTTGTTTCTGCTCTTCCTGCTCATCACGCGCTGTTATCTCCTCCAACGACGTCACAAACTTACGAGCTGCACCTTTCTCACGTCTCTTTCGTCCTTTACCACCGGCGGCACCGGGTTTGCCTCCTGTCTTGCCTGTATCTCGCATCGTCGTGTTTGGATTGGCTTCTGTGACGTTATTCGTTTCGTTTATGTGGCACACATCAAGACCACATCTATGACAAAAGAGAGGATATACTGGACTACAGGTTTGAATTGCATGGTGTTCAATGAATTGCATCCTCAAAACTTTTGCGCGCCCTCAAAAGCAAGTGCGACCATGGCGGATGAAGATATCGATCCAGTGCTGCATGACGACATTAAATCTGCAATTAACGTACGTCTATGGAAAGAGGAGATGCGAAGCTATCTAGCAGTGCAACTATACGTTTCATCTCTGTCGTATTGCTCAAGTTATCGTACTTTAAACCTAACATATTATGTTGATTATCTATACGTTCTTCTAGTCCAAGCAAGACACGGACAAACGACTGGAACAACCAGAAGAAGAGTCACGTCGTTCATTACGTCGTCGTAGTAGGACACGTAGTCCCAGTCACTCACGTCGTCGGCATCGAGACCGCTCTCGTTCTCACTCAAAGAATCGACGACGTTCTCGTCGTTCTCGTTCACGTTCTCGCTCTCCTCGTCGCAGTCGTGGAAGCTCCCGACGAGGGAGAGAACGCAGTCACAGTCGTAGTAGAGAACGGACGTCTCGGAAGAAACGCAAGAGCAAGAGTCGGTCCCGTTCAGCTCCTCCTAAAGAAGAGAGAGAGCGCAGTACGTCTGCGGAACGTGCGGAACGTGCAAAGCAGCGTGAATTGATGGAGTTGACGCGCGATCACCGTACAGTTTTTGTCGGACAATTGACTCAAAAGGTTCGAGAGAAAGACCTGCAGCGGTTTTTTACAAAGACTGGTAAGGTGGAGAGTGTGTTGTTGATTCGTGACAAGTTTACGAACCGTTCCAAGGGTTTTGCGTACGTTGAGCTGTCAAATTTGGAAGATGTGCCGAAGGTTCTATTGATGAATGGTGTAGTACCGGATTTTCAGTCATTCCCAATTATGATCAAGGCTTCGGAAGCTGAAAAGAACTTTGCTGCCAAGAAGGATTCAGTCATGAATGCCACTGCAGCAACCTCAACACCTCTAACAGTTGATGCTTCTGGTGCAGGTCTGGCTGGTGTGATTGCTGGTGCTGGAATGTCAGCATCGGCGTTATCTGCGGCGAGTCGAATCTATTGTGGCAACCTCCACACGAACATAACGGAAGATGATTTACGGATCGTGTTCCAGTCGTTTGGTGAAGTACTGTCGGTGACTATCAATCGCGACGAAATGGGTCGCTCCAAGGGATTTAGCTTTATCCAGTTCAGTAGCCCACAGGAAGCTAACTTTGCGTTGTCCAAAGGCAATGGGCTTGAGCTAGCAGGCAACTACTTGCGTCTTGGTCCAGTGAACGAAAATGCGGTGGGTGGCGGAAACAGAAGTGTAGGTGGGGTGGGCGCAAGCGGCGCGGAGAACGATGCTACAGGTGGGCGATGGAAGCTAGAGGACGATGAAGGCACTGGACTAAGTATGAACGCACAATCACGCTCGGCACTGATGGCAAAGCTTGCTGGAAGCGACGTGAACTTGTTTCCTACGTTCATGGGAGGTAGCGTTGGAACTGTTGGGGGATACTCCGCAGCCGCTGAGTTTACCAACAGCATGGCAGCAACTGCCGCGCAGCGAGCGGAACAGGCGGCTGCGCTGATGTCATCGACGGAGATTGAAGGAAGTGAATCGTTTTGCCTTGTGGTGAAGAATATGTTCGATGTGTACCAGGAACAGAAGAGCGGGAACCCAGAGTGGTCTGCAGAGATCCAGCAGGACGTCGAAGAAGAGTGCGGGCAGTACGGACCTGTGCTGCACACGTACGTCGAGAAGGAGAAACAGGGCGGTCTCGTATACGTGCTGTTTGGCAACGTGAGCAGTGCTGTATCGGCCGCCAAGAAGCTGCATGGCCGTTGGTTCAACAAGCGTCAAATTAGTGTTAGGTACCTATCGTCGCAGGAGTACGTCGGCATGTTCCCTGAAGCTCGATCCGCTGTGCAGACCGCGCGCGCCACCAGTTCCCAGTAAGCATCAACACTATATCGTTCAACTTACCTTGTGCACATCCACACAGGCTCTAGACAGACATTCAACGAATGGCGCGAAGGACTTACCACACTAGCTCAGATCATAGCAGATAGCCGAGGAATCCGCTGATCGAGCCCAGGTGATCGGGTATCTCTTATCTTATCGTACACGATTCTTGCTAGAAATTGTTCGTCGAAAGGTGGGTTGGTGCTATTTGAGCAGATGCCATTCTGATGCTTGCATTCTGTTCGTAGTGACGATCGGCTGCAACGAAAGGTGACCATGACAACACGAGCAATTGACCTCTAGGTTTCAAGGCACCAACCCGTGCATTTTGTCTCTATTTTACGTGTGGTGAGCTTCCTATTGCAGCCAGCTACTCTTTACTCCTCTACCTCTCCAGCCATGCCTTCAGTCTGTGCAGTCTCGGCATTCCGTCGCTGTTTTATCAGCTCTACTGCAAGTGTACGCTCGACAATTCGAATGAGCTCGTCCACTTGCGTCTCTGAAAAGCGTCCAGCACAGTCCTCGACGATCAAATGAATATCCACAAGCTCTGTAGGGATGTGATTGATGAATTGCAGCTTTTCAGCCGAGGTCAACGCCGATAGCTTCGCCTGGGCAAGTTCCTTGAGGAAGTCCTGAATGCAGCTCGCACTTAGTGTCGAGCATTGCGAGTGGCTCTGCGTCAGGAATTTAAGCACCTTGTGATCCATCCAGTTGCGTTCTGCATACTCAACCATGGCTGACTTGTGTATACGCTGCTCTTTGCGTTCCTGCATGAGCTTGAGCACCTCCATATCGCTTAATGTACCTTCATTGATCAGAAGGACCTTCATTATTTGAATGGCTACTAACGTTTAACGTTTCGCGAATTCGTGTAAAAACATGCTTTTATAGTAAAAAACAATGAAATTAGTGCGTTCATATAGTAAAACTACAAGTGTCTAGATTGCTATCTCGGCTCCTAATTCCTAGAAATAAGACTAAAGCTAACATTAAAAGTACTTAAATCGAACCCGGCCATGGAGCGTCGCTCGGCCACTCACTCACTTCCAACACGTCCCTCCCTCCTCATTGTCGACGTTGAGCATCACGTTGTTCTCGTTCACGTTGATTCTCAGGTTTCCCGCCATCTACACTCAAGCTCGGATTCAACTGTCGTGACCTCAATACCATCGTCGAGGTAGGAGTGTCCAACGACCTTTGAGCTCGTGAAGATCCTGCTCGTGTCGACCGTCGTGAACCTCGTGCCATTCTTGGCGCCGGTCGTATCCGTGGTCGGATTTCGGGTGTGTCTTGCATAGCAAAGGCAAACTCGTTCTCCAGTGATCGAAACACCCGCGGAGAAGCGGGTGGGGAGTCATCTACAAGTGGAGACAACGCCAAGCGTGGATAAGTCCGTGTGTAGATAATACCACCATAATGACGACGTTTTGGTCGTTTCGGCGGCGGTGGTGGATTCTTTCGATCGAGCATCCGAGCTGAAGGAGGAGGTGTTTCCTGAATAGCACGGAGAGATGTATCATGATCGATCTCCTTCTTCTGTGATGATTTTTGACTGCAATGGACATTAGCAGTCTCAAAATTGACACAAGGAGTTGTTACAAGATCAGTGTCACTGTCTTGTGACCTGACAATGATCTTGTCCACGTTAGTGTCCTCATTTCTCCTGTTTTCTTTAGAAATCTCTTCTTCTTCTTCTTCTTCTTTTAGTTGAAGAGAAGGAATGACAATGGGAGACGGTGGAAACCTCGCCTTTTCTTCTTCCTTTTCTTCCTCCTCTTCCTTCTCCTTTTCTTCAGTACCTTTCTGTGTCTGTAATGTTAATGAATGTCTTTCACTTAAATTAGCTGGTGGTGATGTTGGTAGAATAAGAGGAGGTGAGATCGAAGTCCGGTCGTCTCCTTTTCGACGTCGTTTACTCTCATGTTTGTCATTCTTATTCTCTCTCTCCAGTGTCTTGTCTTCTACTACCGTCACACTTCGTTGTCGTTTCGTCATCGACGTTGAGTTTCGACTCTTTGGTCGTTTTTTATCATTTATTAATGGTTCTAGTCGCCTCTTTTTCCAGCTAATGACAGTCGTATCATCACGTGTAAGTGGACGAGGTGGTGATACAGACACAGACCGTCGTCGTTTACTTCCTGTGGTGCCAAGAGGTTTCATCAAGCAATTCAACGTGTCAACTAAAATGTGCAACCGGTATTCTCCGCGCCCTCTTGTGGGTGACTCAAAACTCCCCTTTGTAATTTTTCGCTATTCTTTCGACTTGATCTCGCGCGCAATTTTCATTTAAATCAATTTCCCCTCTCCCCCCCTTTTTGCATACTGAATCCCAGTCAAAGAAAAAAAAACGGCTCTTTGTCCGTTGCCCAATTTACCAACCGGTCAACAGCCCAATCTACCATTATGTTGTTTGAAGGTCGCTTGAAGTTTAGGACCCTTTCGGACCGCACATTATACAAAAAGAGACAAGAAATGTGGAGCCGATCGATCCGATCCGCAGCTGTGCAGGCCAAACGCCAAGGCATTCGATCGATGGCTACAAAACAATCGTCTTTAAATGGAAAAGGAGCATTTGATGGTCTCTACAAGGTGTTTATGAAGAGCACACCTGTTTATGTGACTACGGTATTGATCGCCGCCCTCGTAGCAGAGGGGGTGTATGGGTCCGCTACGAATTACATTTGGGAAGCCAATAATCGTGGCGTACGTATAATGTTGTATACAATTATAAAGAGGTTTTTTTGTCATGGTGCTAACATATTGATACAATATGATGTTCTAGCGTCTATACCACCACATTGACTGGTCGAAATTTGCTCAAGAGGAGGAAGAGGAAGAGGAGGAAGAGGAGGAGCAAGAAGAAGAAGAGGAAGAAGAGGTGATGGAAGATGCTCACGTGGACGATGAAGAGTATGACGAATAAATTGGGAAGAAGCAGTCTTTTCTGACTTGATACTCTACAGCACTTGGATCTTCTATCAACTATCAGCACATGAGGTAGTGTGTGGAAGACGATATGGAAGTAAGAGGGACTTTGATGGAAGAAGCACTTCTATACGTGAACTGCCCGAAGAAACACGAGAAAAACATTTGGACGAATGGTTCTCGCATCACTCTTTCTTTTGGCTCTATCCATGGGGTTTTCTAGGACTCGAATAGATGAAGTGGCTTGTATTTCTTTTATCTCTAGCTCTCTGGTTGTGTACCGTCGACGCTGCGCTGTTAAGAGTCGTCTTTGGTGTTTAAAATCTCGTTAGCAGCTGCGATGCGGTACGCCTTCGAGTTACCAGGTCGTCTCTTTACCTTTAAGGCGCGCTTGTCGAGCATTTTCTGTCAAAACAATACCAGAAAGCATTAGCCAAACCAAAAGTCACATCAGAAAGAAACGAGGTGCCGTACCTCGACGTCGCTAAGCTTACAGCCTGCGGCCACACAGCGCACCATGGCGAAGTACATGACATCAGCAGCCTCTCCAGCGACATCGGAGATTGATTCAGCTTCTGCAAGTTCCTGGGCTTCCTCTACAAGTTTGTTACGTAGTAGCTCTGCATCTTCAAACAGGCGCTTCGTATACGACCCGGCAGGTGCGTTCTCATGGCGGCTGGAAAGCATATTCTCTAGCGCACGAAGGCCGCCGTCGTGACCCCAGCATGTGCGGGTATTAAGGTGGCAAAAACCAGCACCTGTCTGGTTCACCGTAAAGCGTAGCGCGTCGCTGTCGCAGTCCATGTCGATCTGGATCAGCGACTGTGCGTTGCCACTGCTCTCACCCTTTTTCCAAAGGCCACCACGTGATCGAGAGTAGTAGACGCCACGTCCACTCTCTAGAGCAGCCACAATACTCTCCGCACTCGAGTACACCAGTCCTAAAGCAATGCCAGCTTCATCTGCCACAACTGTCGTAAACAACCCATCAGGTCGATCCGTCCGTAGACATTGCACGAACGACAATGCAGCATCTACGACCACTTGTCCATCTCCCATCACCAAATCCCTCTTCTTCTCTCCTTCTTCGTAACAATATCCCGGAGCCACAATGTGGATGTTTTTATGGTGCAATTCCTTAATCTTAGCAAAAACGCTCTCATAATGATAGCCCTCTCTCGGTCCTGTACTCATCTCGACAGCAAAAAAGTATCCTTCATCCACGCTCTTCCTTAACGTTTCCAGACTCGTAACCAGAGCTTCGAATCCATCATCTTGAGCCAATGTCATGGAATCAATAACAAGCACCACACCACTTGCAATAGTCTTCAATCTCATTAAGCGTTTCTGCCAGTTTCATCACTTGATTCGAGTCAAGAGACGACACAGGAAGGCGTACAATCACTCGATTGGCCGGTAATTCCGACACTGCAATGACCACGCGCTCCAAATCCACGTCTTCACTCGATACAGTATCGATTAACACCTTTTTTATCCCTTGGTCCAGCCACATGGTGATTATTTCGAGCATTTCAATTGAAAATGGACCCAATAATGTGCGTGTATCCAGTAGCGACGTCTTTAGTGTCAAATCCTGCGGTTTTTGGTCGAGTGGCGCCAATTCCTGCAGCTGATGAGTTAATAAACTGACAGATACAAGTCCTACAGTACTTAGACGACGTAGTAATGAACATTGCGCGTCGCGCGTGGTCAACCATTGAAAGGAGAATTCGGGGATCAACATGGTAAAATGAAGTGAATAGAATACGGTACTGAGACCAACCAGCCAATACCGGTATATTGTAATGGAAAGTATCTGGTAAAATAAAAAAACTGCATCACTTTTTTAGGAATACAGCTAAGAGCTGTAAACTATTTCTATAACGCGATGATATCGTCTTGCATCATGTACAATGGAAAGAAATGCATGACAGTTCAAGCACTACGGGGAAGCTAGATCAAGACATGCGTTGTGAAATGATCTATGGTACTCTTGCTTGCCCGGCCTTGTTCAGCTCTCGAAGCCAGACCTGCACGATAGCGTCCATGCTCTCTGTCGCCTGAGCAATGATAGCGTGATCATAATTGCCGCGCTTCAGAGCTTCGATAGCAGACATTGTATCGCGCACAGCTTGCGACGAGTATATGACTCCATCATACGCATCGAGGCGCAAACGCTTTTCATTTGTGGCAGCAAGAACCTGTTGCATGCTTTCTTTCAACGGGGTTCGTGAGTTTTGACTCGTGGTAGACGCCTGCCCTTCCAGAATATCTCGATGCTGGTCAGATACAGGCTCCGGACTTGAAGCCGGTAAAATCTTGCGGTACATCAATCCTTGAAGATCATCTGCACTGGAAACAGGACGTTGTGGAGGTGCTTTGCTCTCCGATGGTATCAAAAAGTTTCCACGTTCCATCAACGGCTCTTCATTCTCCGAGTCGGCATTATTGGAATCATTCTCCCTTTCCCGTGAAACCTCTGGTTTTTGCTCGTTTGGAAGCTCGTAACTGCTCCACATTGGCTTCAATTGGTTGTATCTGTAGCTTGTCGTACAGATACAACACATCCACATCATTGCAGAAATGGGCAAAATCCACATTTTCCGTTCCCAATTGCGTCCAACGAGCAATACTTTTCTCATAACATGTTGTTATATTTTTCCAGATTGAACAAAGCATGGCGGAAGAATGATGAGGTGAAAGTCTTGGATCAATTCCTTCATATCGTCCTGGTGGACCTGCAATTCTATGAAATTCAGGATCTCCATTTTCATAGGCTAGTGCCACATCTTTCCAATATTTCGCTCGACCATCGGTAGCAGTCACTTTAATACCGGTAGATGGTACTATTCCAGATTCGGCCATGCGTGAAATAAATGCACGGCTGAACAAAACATTTACTAATTTAATCCCACAATGTTTCGTTCTACCGCCTACTTCGACATTCGAAAACCGTTTCATCGGTTTTGTCGTGGAGTTCGAATGTCCGGTACTTACCTCCCCACACCGCGAACGTCGGTATCGAATCAGTAACTGAATGTAGCCATCCTTATGGTTTAGGACAGGATCGGCCTGAGGATGCAGACCTAGCTGCGTGCAGGCCGCACGGAGTTTCTTGCACTGATGGTTTTTCTTGAGCTCCTGAGCAAAAACTTCGTCCGAGACGTCCTGTGGGGACACATTGACCAGTCGAATAATGTCAGACTCGGCATCCGCCATACGAGTCCGTCGTGTCCTATGGATGAATCCTAGAATCCTGCACAATCACCGAATAGTACCGGTATATATCTGGGACAGCTCGATACGGTGTCGGAGCAGGTATATCGGTATACCGGTATCAATCAACCGCAGTTAGAAATGGTCGCCATCATTCCACGAATGCGATGGCTTCTTCTTCACTGTCTGTAGAAGCTGTTTCTGCCATAGAAGACGCCTTTTTACGTGGAGAATGGACTCAAGCACTACATGACAGTCGTAGCATGTTGACAGCGCGCATGGTGCCGGTAAAATACCGATGTTTTTACTTTTTATTGTAAAAATCCTAGTAGCTAACATGATTTTTGTACTAGCGTCAAAAGTCAAGGGATTGTCTGGTTGTTTTAACAATGGAAGAGTCGGTTTTTTATGTGTTTGTACTTATTATGAGAATTATTATTTATTTATTTTTACAAAATGTAATTTATTTTTATTCTATTTTGTAGGGAACGAGTACTCTCAGTGTATCTTCAAATAATATTCGAACTAAATTTGGACGATGAAGTCGAGACAGTAGTGGCCATTGCAAACATGTTTACGCCACTACCAAGTGGCATTGCAACTCAATATTGCAAGTTTTTAATCGCAATGAATCGTCGACTACTGGCCAAAGAGGTACTACAAGATTTGCTGGAATCTTTTACTGTGAACGGAGGAATGGACATTAGCACCGAGCAATACATGAAAGTTGCTGAGACGATGGCGTTGCACTTGCTACTGCCTGAGGAAGGAATTCAAGCTGCACAGCTGTTTGTAGCAGAGGACAAGATGCTGGACGATGAAGTCAAATTGGTACGAGAGACAACGAGTTAGAATTGCAGTGTGATGAGATAATTCTTATGGGATTCACGTGTGTATTGTAGCAATTACTTTATCGGATCCAAACGATGCACTTGGCTGCTCAGGAGGCTGAGAACAAGGATAGTATGCAGACTTCGTCAGTGGATCAAACAGTGAAGAATGCGAGCGGTAATCCACATGTGCCTGATGCTACGTATCAGCAGTCTGTATCGACTGCATTTACGAACACGCAACAGGCGGTCACCAAGCAGGATGACAATTCCAGTTGCTACGTGGTTATTGGTACTACTGCTATTGTGCTAGCTGCCGCGACGGCAGGAGTATTAAGATATCGCGAGAAAATTCACGAGTATATCTCAAACGCTATTCCTGCCATTTCGAAGGGCGTTGCAGACGCAAAATTTGCAATCTTTGAAGCGTGAAATGATTGTGGAAGAAGGCTCAAGGAATGCGTAGATTGTACGTTGCTGCTGGATACGAGATGATAACGTATTTAATAACTCTAGGATCATGACGGATAACATCATGTGATCGGTGGAATGACTTTCGATGACGCTTTCCTGCTTTTCTAGCAACGCTGAGCGGTCTTTTGACGATTGTGTTACTGTCCTTGTACCACTGCGAGGTCACAATTGAGACAAAACCATTTCAAATCTGACAACCGCTCACAATTGACACCGATAGAGAGCTCAACGTCCGTACGTTTGTATTACAAACGAGCAAAGAACCGGCTGACAATCAAACATGTTGTTGTTGTAAAGCGAGAGACGCGTTTCTAGTCACGAACGTCCCACTACTAACAATAAACTGTGATGGTTTGACCGGGCAGTGTTCATAGCAACCAGATGACCTGGTAAAGCTCATCCCTAAAGTCAGACATTGCAACACGGCAGCAGTAATCATACCCACGTGTTTTATGTGTCTTGTTGGTCTCGGTACCGGCGACTTTCGTCAACTTTTGTACCGCTTGCAAACCAAACCTTGTGGACAGACTTGCACACGTGAAAAATAAATTACAGTAGCTGTCCATCCGTGATCGACAGACTCTTTGTTTCTTCCGACGTTGAGGTGAAAGAAGTTCTTTCGTGGTTACTCGAGTCTTTTGAATTGACGTGAACGATGACGACCTTGATTCGAGATTCCACTAGGTCGACTAACCGGGTAGTACGTTTCGATATCGAGGAATCGACAAGGATCATGAATGCAACGACCCGATTGACAGAGGAAAACAGACCCATTGTGGTTGCTATGGCAGATTTTCGTGGTACAAACCCCATCATTGATGGAGATTTTCTGGAAAAGGAAGTGGCGTGCATCCCGACACTCGATGAACACGGAGATATCGACGTTACTAGTTCAAGGTACAAGAAAGCGGTGGATACTACTACACGTGATGCTCCAGCTAGAGAAGCTCTGTCTGCAAGATCGACAAGATCAAGAGATTCGTGTAACTTGATCTTGCCAACTCGTAATCAAACGCTTGAGTTTCAAGAAGAGATTGACGAGAGCGAGTGTGAAGACCAACACAAGGAGGATGAGAGAAAATCCCGACACCAAGACGTTCCCCACACTCTTCAGAACCAGAGTCGTGATGGATCTCGAAAGGTGAATGCTTGGATGTGCTGTGGTCATTCATACCCGAATGCTTTCTTACGGTTGTGCACTGGCGTAGTTCTGGTGCCTCTCGTTGTTTGTGGCTTGATTTTCTGGCCGGTTCTTGCAGCATCGGTGCTGACGACGATATTATTGTGTGTCTGCTGCTATGAGCATGAGTGGCTGTCCTTCCGCATCCACTCGCAGTTGCTGGCCACTTATCAGTGGTATGAAGGAAATGAAGGACCAGAAGATGATATCGTGGCCAGCACTTGCAGTGACGCATCTCTAGTGTACGGGTATCAAGGTGGAACACATTTCAATAACGCGTCAGCCTTGACACAGTCTTCGACATCGGTCTCTAGGGGATTAACTGCACTCGGCCATCCAATAGTTGAAGCTGAGGCGGCGATACGTCCTAAAGTACCGTCGGGTATGTACTTGCTGGAGTTAGAAACTCCAAGTGGTGTGCTTGGTATGGCGAACTATCTGTTTCACGGAAATCTGTGGTTGACGCGCATAGTAGTTGCTGCCATGTCTACTGTATGCTGGTCGATTGCAGCTACAAAGGTTTTTCCGTTGATCCCATTCCCCGTTGCCAGTACACCTAGCGATATCTCCTCAGCTCCCTATTACTTCTGGTTGGTCAACTTTGTGGCATCGTTGTGTGCCGTAAGCTGCCCCACTTGGCCTCGCGCGATTTCGTTGGTAGTGCAGAAGACTGCTTTCGAAGTGATGTTGTTGAATGCGTTAAATTGTCCGCTGACAGCTTCCGTGAACTGCAGCGCAGCTCCAATTACATCGCTGCAGTGCTTTGCATTGGGTGCCATGGCATTGATCATGGTTCACTCACTCTCCGCTCGCGGACCTGCCAACCTCGTAGTTGGAGTGATACTTGACTTGTTGGGATACGCTTACATTGCTGGAACACTAGGACTGTTGATTACGATGGTGAATGCAAGCGACCGTAAGTCGACGTGGGCTACAATTTGGATTGGAATGCTGATTGCCATGTGGGTAGCGCAGTTTGCTGGCTATGGCTGCACCGTTATAATGTCCCATTTTCAGCTTTCTCACATGCGATTGCTGCCTCCACATATCGTCATAGCATTGGACGTGGAAGCGTCTGTATGTGCAATTGCGGCTAGTAGCATCGTACTTATTTTTGGTGGAGCTGTATTGAATGTGCCCGGTGGTGTGCTTCCCAAGGTGTTATTCTCAACTGGCATTGTGCTGATGGCACGCATTGGATGGCTGGTTATTTCGCTGTTAAAGGAAGCAGCGGGTGTACGTTGGAGTGGCCGTATCATGCCAGGCTTTGGTGGAGCTTTGGATGGAGCACATGTCTTGCTTTTTACGTCAATCGTGTTCGTCAAGTATTATATGTTCATCATTGTACAACAGACTAGCGAGATGGACAACCAAAGCGGCAATGGTGACTCCGCACCATGGACTGGTGTCACGTTTAGTACCGACTTGAGTAGGTAAAGGCGAGAGCTAGTCGTCGCAACAATTACGTTGCAGCCAGGATGATATCGAATGCTATGACAAGCAGACGAAGCGCTTTCAGATCTAAGAGCTCGTGTGTTGAATGAATCTCGTGGAGCTTTTTGGCTGTGTTTTGATTACAGATAGCAACTAGTTCCTGTAACTTGACAATTCACGAAAACTTGCCATGGTCTTTTATCGTCAGTCTTTGTTTCGACTGTATCCCATGAAAGCCACGTCGCTAAAGCTGCATTGTTTACTTGATCGGCATCGACTTGCGACGTTCTGGTGTTTCTGAATCGTCGTAGTTGCTTTGGATTTTTGCATACAGCATCGCCGGTCCTGAATACGACGCGCGACGAGCGTAGTACGAAGCCTGTTGAAATATCCCTTCGACGGACGCGTCTTCTGCGGAAAGAGGAGCCAACAGCGGCAACAACAAATACTCCTCGTCTTGTGGTACCTTTGGCAATGAACGTTTGGCGACCGTGTAGATTCCCAACAGGATCAACACGAGACTCAACGAATACAGCACATAATGCCAAGTCGGTAGATGTGCCATGTCCCGGAAGAGACAAAGCCCTGAGATCGCACCGGCCATTATATAACTCGCTTCGTAGAGGTAAATGACCACGACCGCGTCTTCAACTGCAAGTGCCTCATTCAAAAGATACAAGCCAAACAAAGCGGTACTGACCGCTCCGACGATGCAGATATAGGTCAATGAATACGACCAAATGTGACTTGCTCCATTATCATGAGCAATCCTCATGACTGCAGCAAGGAAGAAAAGTTGTCCACTCATGACTCCTGCAAAGATACTCAATGATACACGCGAGATCATGGGAAGTTCATCAGGACTCGAAACAGGCGAACTCTTGACACCAGCTCGACGACTCGTTGTTGTAAAGTGTAGAGCATGTTTTGCATGATGGATCAAGAAACTCAACAACACCAATAGTCCAACACAATATACAATGAACGACAAGGACTGAAATTGTGCTCTTAGTACTTCCACCGGCAGTGGTGGACTTTTATGTGTACCCGAGACACCAACAAGCACGCAGCCCGTAAAAATCAGCACAGCTCCGACAAAATCATTAGTTGTAAGACGTTCATGGGGTAGCAACATGGGACCAAAGAGCGTATTCCACCCAATCGTAAGACCTGCCATAGGAGCCAAGAGTGATTGTGTTGCAAAACAATAGGCTAAAGCTCCAAGAGATGGGTTCACAACGAGCATTGAAAAGAGACCACAATAGAAATACGTGCAGCCTCGAGTGGTCTTGACAGTAAAGACGACTGGTTCTTCTCTCTCTGCTACTGCTGCTGCTGCTATTTTTTCTTCTTTGTCTCGTTCATTATGTGCCAATTTAAGCAGTAGCTTTCCCGTAATCCCAAAGATACTAGAAATGGCTGATAATAAGAGACCTAATGGCCAACCTATGAACCCCATGATGATCGAAAGAAAAGAGTGAAGGTCGGTCGAACAGTCGATTTATCGAATAGGAAGACAGACCTGATGGTTGCTATAGCGTAAAAAAAGGTACAGATAACCAAAAGGTGATAGAGTGTAGCCATATCGTAGACAAAAAGAGTCGAAAAAATGGGTTCTTAGTTCGGTTAGTCGTCGTAGGATGGAATTTGGTCATAGTGATAACCTTTCCAACCTTTCCATGCACCGTAGAGCTGGTAGCTTGCATAGCTGCCCGGAATAAAGGCTGTTTAACCAATGCAAATCACACATGTCAGTAAGATATTCAATACGATGCAGCTATCGTTTACTGCTTCTTACCCATAAGGCCGAGGATCAAGAAGGACAGACCGCGGTTCTCTTCGTCGAGACCAATGAGCATGCTTATGTAGATTAAGGCGGAGCCCAGTATAAAGAGACTTGCGGCCGCTAACCCCGTACGGATCGGAAAACCTTTTCGTCGGAAGTCCAAGTTCTAGCCATCCAGTAGACAAATATTGTGCATAAATGTAGCCATATAGTTGTTAGTCTACAGTATTGATCGTAACACACACTAGCAGAGGATTTTTTTTGACACACCAAAGCAGTCGACCGAAGCGCGTTCTCCTTAAGTAATGACGACAACTCGGAGTCTTCAATGGGCTTGACTTCTCGCATAGCATTGGTCTTTGCAACACGACGCACGTCCTTCACCATACTTTCTATCCACCTTATGCAAAAATGGCTCCATCAAATGACCCATTTTTAAGGCAACATTATGCATCATTACTCAAACAACATTTCCTTTGTGCAACATCTTGTGCTTTCGTCAAAAATGACAACTTCGGTGTCAAAAATACCACCTCGTACTAATCTCGTGTGTGTAGAGTGTGGGGCTTCTGTGTCCGAGCTAGTTCATGACTATGGGAAAGGAAACTTACGTCTTGCTATATGCAACGCATGTAATGCAGTTGCTGATAAATATGTCGAGTATGAGACGATCCTGCTCTTTCTCGAAGTTCTACTACTCAAGCCTCAAGTCTATCGCCATGTTCTGTATAATTTGCCAGTCCCTGTCTCTTCCAGGACAACGCTCAAGCTATTTGTGATCGTAGTAATGCTGGATATGAATGTCAAGGCCTATTTAGTAGACCGGGATGCCGGAGTGACCTTCCGTTCCGAGTCCATGTACAGAGCTCCCGATGCCCTTCACGCTGCGACTTCTGGACTGAGAATTGGACAGTTCTCATTGCATTTAGTGTGTCTTGCACTAGTGGAGAATGTCGTCTATCTTATGAGTGTATTTGCTACTATTTGGCTTGACCCATTTCGTCGTGGATGGAGAGAAAAATTACTGTCAAAAAGAGACAAGAAAAATGTCAAAAATGGCATTGACGCACCGTGGACAAAATATGGCAGTGCCATGTGCATTGCAAGCTTTGGTAAGCTATTTGCACTGCTAACGGTGATTTGGGAGTTCCATTGGAGCTTTATTCACGTTATCGGAGCTCTTGTAGTAGTGTCAAATGTGCTGGCACTGCAATTGCTGTTGGGAGAAGGAGACCCAGCACGAGTCAAATCGCCGCATGTCATAGCAGTTGTAGTAGTTGGATTGTTTGCTAGAGGTATTGCACAACTCGTACTCTATGCATTGGGCAATTCGGTGCTCTTTCACGTGCTCGTTTAGCGTGATGGAGAATTGCAGTAATTTGGTTGTGGAACGACAATTTCAGGTTTATTGCAGAGAAAAATTGAAGCTACCACTTGTGGGGAGAGCATTTGAGCGTGAAGTAGAACAGTGAGAAGCATCGCATGAGGGCACCAATGTATGTGAATTGTGAACAACAAGCTCTTGTTCGTATCGTTTACAAACTGACGGGATGTTTTGGGATGAGCTTGGTTGAGTTATCATTAGTACCCATTGCGCGGTTATGGTGTACCTCGAAGCATTCTACAAGCTCAAATTTACGGAGATAAGAACTCTTGAGCGTGCGGAGTCAACGCAGGTAGTATCAGGAAGTGGACATGGAGGACAGTAAGGATTCATATGTGATGCAAGGTTTTTAAAATTGACGAAAGAAGCCTCAAGATATTTGGAAGGGTAGACTGTGAAACGAGGTTCAACACTTTATAAAACGTAAGAAGTAATTCTCTATGACCCCCTGAGGTACGTAGCAGCTCAGCTGCTGTGTTACGCATGAAAGACCTCATGGGCTTTACGCAGCCTCTCTGGCCCAACACGGGGTTCTATATCGATAAGAAAAGCTCGAGGAATATCGTGCTCGTCATCTGTCTGGTAAAAGAATACGTCCTTGCGGTCATGACCTGGAGTGACAAAGTCTTGTACGATGCCGTCCGCAGCGATACAGTGCTATTTGGAAGCACACAACTGCTTCCAGAATTCCATGCCAGGACCGAATGGCACGTTGCCTGCCTGCTTGCAGAGCTAACTTCTTCAAAGCCGACGAAACTAGCAACCACCAAGCTACCAAGATAAGAGTTGCGCAGAGCTCGCTGTCTTTTAGCAAAGCAACGCAACATCGTACCAGAGCATTTCAAGTAGTCTCACTAGCTTTACAAACTCAAACAAACTAACAACTTAACGCAGAACAAAACAACAAAGTAGAAATTCCAGCTACAATCTCCTCTCGTCCTCTCACACCTCAGGTGGATTTGTGGCGTAAACTTTAGCAAGATGGCTCACCTGCTCGAGTTGAATTGCAGCACGTTGCATCTGCTGGGCATCTGCAGTTGCCTGTCGTCGTTTCTCTTCCACAATCCGTTGCAGCTCCTTGTTCTTTGTCTCCAAAGTCTCTACTAGTCTCTCTAGTTCCTTTTTCTCTTCTTGCTTGGCACGCAGCCGTTCCGCTCGAATTAAAGCTTCAGGTGTTATCTTGTCCTGTTTCGGCTCTTTCTCCTGATTCGTCTCCAGCTCATTCTTCTCCTCTTCTTCTATCTGTTTTGTCTCCACTTGACGCAGTCGTCGCTCTTCCGCCTGTCGGATAACATCTTCCAGCTCCAACAGCTCCGCATCCACGTCGTGTGTCTCACAAAGCCACTGAAACAGCGTCTCGACCTTCTGTCTCAAGCTCATCACTGCCTGCGCTGCCACTTCCTCTGTATTGTCCTGTTCTGAGCTCTCTGGCGTTGGAGGTGGGAAGAAGGCGGCGAGGAGCTCTTCGTCCCCACGACATTCGTTCTCCAGACACGCACGTAGATCCACAAGAGATGCCGCGTGCACAGATACTTCAAGTGCCTTTTGAAGAATCAACTGCATACGCTTCATGCGCATAGATTGGCGTGGTGTGGCTGTAAGAGACGGCGCCGGCGACGGCGGCACCTGCGGCATTTTCGCTTGATGAAATCTGTATTATAGGGAACAATGTCACATTATCTACCACTTAAAACGCTCAGAAAATATGATTGGTTAATATTATTATAGAAGACAACTTTTACCCAATCAATGCTAATTTAATGTTTGTACTATACGCATAGTCCATATATCTTGCAACGTCCTAAGGACCTGTAGCAACGGCATCATGTGGTTCTCAGCTCTACGACAGAGGCTACAGCTTCTCATTATTGTCTTCTTTATTTTCGTGGCATTTGCGGCCTCTGACGCCGCGTGGATGCTTTGGGTTTGTGCTATAAAGTAGGAGGGTTTTTCATCCCGAAAATCCGGATAATTTACGATTATTTTTGTAGACGACATTGGTAATTTTCCTGACAATGCTGCTCATGACGGACTTATTGTTTCTAAACGAAGGCGATTTTAAGTACGACCCGGATTATAAGGTGAGTTTGAAATAGGGTACACAGTTGACTCATTTTCTGATACATTTTATCTGTCGATTATCACAGAATTGGGCACGTGCAGTGGACCCCAAATATTAGAAAAAGGGGACAATTTGCTAGTGAGGTGAAGATGGTGTGGCACAATATGGTCAGTTGATACCTTTATAGGCCCAAAACAAAATGCATTCTTTACGAAAATGAGACGAGCCACATCTTCCTATCAAGTCGTCTCAGTAAACTATTGCATAGTAGCGTGAGAACACGAGCGTTGCAAACATCAAAGCATCAATGCGATCTAGTACTCCACCGTGACCAGGAATAAGCGTGCCAGAATCTTTTACCCCTGCGGCACGTTTCAATAAACTCTCGAAGAGGTCTCCAAGACGTCCAATAATGATGGCGACCACAGCAAAAGCTACGTTTGTGCTAACCGAACCAGGGAGATCTAGCACGTCCGATGTTACGATCATGGCAACAATTCCAAATCCAATTGCACCAACGGTTCCTTCATAATCTTTGTTCTTGGATAAATGCGCTGCAAGCGGATTGTAATAAGGATAGTTGACGAGCGTCAACAGCTTGCCAGTAATGTAAGCACCCGTGTCAGAAGCCCATACGACGTACAGCAGAGCAATGAGCAGTTTTCGATAAAGTGTTCGGCGTTCGTCGTCTACGAACGCAACGAGTACTGAGAGTGTACCAATGATGTAGACTAGACCCAGTGTGTCTAGCATATATGTCAAAAGTGCATCAGCATTGCTTCGACATGTAGCAAGTCGGAACACGAGGAATACCACAATACCAGTCAGAAAAATCTGTGAAGGTTTAATCGCCATGTGACAGGAAAGTTGGTTGATGGGGCATGCCGTGGAATGCATGGTCAGTATCGTAAAGATAACGTTCTGGAGAAAGATAATGACCGCGTACTGCCAGTCCGGGGAGATACATGCACATATTGCGGCAACATAACCTGTCGAGACGGTGTAAAACACCCGTGACTCGTAAAAGTCTGTGGATGCCAGTACTGGAAATCTTTCGATCACGACAAGAAAAATACACGACGAGACGATGCACAATAGAGTTGAAACGCACAGCGTTGCGAGCCACTTGCGTCCTCCAAAGACATAGGCGGCCACATCTGTAACTGCATACCGCCGTAAGCTTGGAACTTGTTTTGCCAACTCAGTATTCACTCGAGCAAGTTCCCTTGCTTCCTGTTCCACTTCAAAAGCTCGAGTTGTCGGCGTCCTTGGTGCATACCTATACCCATTGTTCGACAGTCTCTGATGCAAGTGGCCGTCTGCTGTGCTGTCGAGCATGCTGGCAGCCACATCAGAGTCGACGGATCGGCTACCGACAAAGCTGTTGCTTCTCTCACGGTTGTTTCGTGCTTCTTGGTGTGATACGTTACTAGCATCAACTTCAGGTCTAGTTGAATTGAGACTCGAGTTCTCCATAAATTCCAGTCTGGTCAATATTCGCAGCCGAATGCGATTCGAAAGACACGCGTATTCGTACGAACACGTGCTGGTCATAAAGCTACAGACAGTAGACGTTGCAATTGCCGGTGATAGCCATAGGAACACAGTGACTAGTGGTGCTAATATAGCGGCGGATAATATCCGCTGTACCACATTGTAGCGCCAGAAGGTAAGCCACCAACTTGTGTCTTCGTTGGCGTGTGGAACCGATGGAGATTGGTGGGTCGTGTTGTCGTAGGAGGTCTCTAGTGGAGAAATCTGCCCATCTGTCGACGTCTGCGGCATGATGAGGCAAATCTCGTTGTGATTGATAATGCTATATAATCTATGGAGTAGAAAGCGGCGGCATTATCGTCACCATACAATTGAGACGCGTGCACACAAACTATAAGATGCATGGATAATCACTTCTAGATGACGTGACAATTTACTGAGTCGGACGCTCTGCTGTACTACACCAAGGTTCCAGCGTTGCAGTAAACAACTTCTTTTGTCCATTCAAGGCGTCCGTCTCAACTTAACATGAAGTCAATCTCTGGGACTAGTATGTCGGACAACTGAAGTTGAAGCAAACAACCACGCGACATGTAGTTCAAGACTTTGGCTGGAACCTTTTACACCTGCATGTCTCTTTAATAGACTGCGAAGGCACCGGGAACAGGTCACTCATTCGTCGCAAATCAGCAGCTAGAGCACCTTCCCGTAATATATAGACTGGGTAGAGGTTGGATGCCAATCAATGCATGTATAAAACACGTAACGCCATCGATATTTCCATATAAAAAGCACTGTTGACTCAAAGTCTGACACCACTGAATTGAAAGAAGTAATGCCGTAGCGATCACAACAATACACTGGAATCATAAACTCATCCTGCTGTACCCACACATGTCCTACAACCAGTCCAACACACTAGATAGCAATGTATTTGACCCTCTTCGTCACGTAGTTCGTCGTCCAAAGCAAGAGCAATCTCTCAGCTCCTTCGCTCTTCCAGTTTTGGTTATCCGATGCTAGCAAAATCTCTCGGTTCTTATCTAGTAGACAAATTGGGTCTCATAATTGCTGAACATGACGCCTGACGAACGCCGTTCGTGGCCTCAAACAAGCGATCGACACTGCTGTTTTTTTTTGTTGACGTCGTGTGACCAAACTTGCATTCATGAGCCCATCCATCTAGTAGCCTCCATTTGCGTCAAAATTCGTTGTCGAATGCTGTTGCACGATCCACAAACTCGTACAAGCTGACTAATCATACACCATCACTACTGTAACCAGTATCGCCGCAAATAACGCGCTGGACATGCTCTAATGGTGCTCAGCAGAAACCGAGTAAGTGTGAATTTATGTCGTTTGCTTTTGATGGCACAACCTTTTCAAAATCTCTTCCATGAATATTTTAGCATTTCTTCTGGTGAACAAGACATGAAGGTGCTATTTGTGTTAGCAACAAAGCTGTTGCACATACCATACCGATCCTCTTTTTCCTCTTTGGACGACAGCCAACCAAGTTCGATTCCTGAGACAAGAAGCCCTGAGTCATTTACAATTTGTTCTCCTTGACATCAACAAACTTTACATGGTATCTAGATACCATTTGCCTTACGTAAAGAGGACATAGTAACGAGCAAACACGACCGTGGCGAACATTAGTGCATCGACACGGTCTAACGCGCCGCCAAGTTTTGGAATCAATGTGCCGAAATCCTTCACTCCCGCGGCATGTTTCAGCAAACTCTCAAACAAGTCTCCCACTTAACCAGCGACCACTGCAATTACCATGTATGTCACTTGTGTGCCGAAGATCCTATTAGGTCCAAGATAACCGATGCCACAACCATCGCTGCGATCCCGAATACAATGGGATAGCAAACATCCATCGGTAGCTGCAAAACTCGGCTTTATGCATGTCTAGAATCTGTTGTATCAATATAAGGAGTACACAACTTGTAATCGCACATATGAAGAAGACAACTGAAATTCCAGCTACCCACTCATGACCGTCAAAGTATTTCGACGCCAATGGTAGCAATTCAGTTGGGCTTTCTGATCGTTCAATTCACAGCTTACAGCTACATTTTCTGTCTTCTCTTTCTTAGCGTGTAAGTCCCAAAGAGAATCCTGAGATTCCCTCCAAGATAATTTCGCGACGAAACATTTGTCGTCCATAGACTTGATCGTCGACTCAACAAAATCTCTTCCTTGTCACTGATTACACTACGTTCATGATGACGAAAGTGTACACGATGATGATGTTCGTGACAGTGTGTGGTACTAGTCAGCGAGGCAGCGTAATATCTGAACGGTGCTACGTTGAAATATTATGCGTTGTACTACTGCGTCTGTGTTCATTTTGGTTGATACGCGTATTCGTATGAGCTCGCACTCGCTATTAACTTGCAAAGTTGCGTACCGTTGAAATCGCCAAAGCAAGTGACAACCTTTTTCATGAAGGCAGTCATGAAAAAAGCTATTACGATTGCCGAGAGGACACGAATTGAGACAGATATCCATGCCATCTTGTCCTGTAATTGCAAATCGATCAAACACGTCATCCATGCGGAAGATACCAACAGCACCGTTTTCTTGTAAACTTGAGGCATGATGCAACGACGATAACGTCGGATTTCTTGATATGCCATTTACTGGTGCCAATGATATTACGCTGTCGTTCCAAAGCTTCGCATGTTAAGCAACAAATTTGACGTCGAGGTCTTGTACCAATTTGCTTCAAAGCAGGAAACTTGTATTGGTGTGGTGACTAAAACGTGAATGCAGAATGGTGGCAAAAGTGCCTTCGTAACTGACCCTACAGGTCTCGGTCACCACGGTTGGTTGCCACTAACCACGGCAGCTAGATATTGGTACACCATTTGGTACTGTTCCTACAAGACAGCAAAACCTTCCGTTAGGTTAACAAGTATCTGTCCATTAGCACTAGCTACATGGAGAACGTACCGGGGTTTGTACCATGCCAGGTCGTTGCGACCGCAGACGGTGTACTACACGCGGAATGTCCACCGCGAGCTGCATCGCTCGCGTCTTTTCCTCCACACTGTCACTTTTTTCCGTAAGTACCCGGTGCAGTTGTTTCAAGAGAATATCAATGGCAATGAACGTGCCAGAACGTCCAATGCCAGCACTGCAATGCACCACCACTCTCGCCTTCACTTTATGTGTCCGTGACGCCTCACGTGTGTATCTGTTCACAGCATCCAGCAACGGTGCAACAACTTTAAAGTCACGTAGTACGCCATGATCCGGCCACGTAATTAGTTGAAGATGTCGAATGACTCGACTCTCACCTTCTTGTCCCCTTTCATCTACTCTCCAAACCTTGAACCTTCTCACAATAAATCCTTGACGTAAAGAATGCTGCTCCTCATCCATCAATTGTACAAATATCCCACCAAAGTCGACCACATTAGTTGAACAAGTGTCCCAATAAAGGTCAGCTTTCAACCTCTTTCGCTCGACAAAATTTGTGAGCATAAGCACAACGTAAACATCACATTGCCACACCATGTGCCAAAAGTCTGGAATTGCACCCGGTACTGGTGCACAGCATGCAATGTATCCATCTTCAATATAATTGGCATTAATGTAATTGTCCGACGTATTCTGTAGCTTTACTCGCGATTTTTCAATGGGTAGGACATCCATGTACCGATTTTTTACTTTAGTAGCTTTAGTCTGTAACGTTATCGATGCTTCATAGCCTGGAGCCTTGTCAATACTCCAACAAAGCTCCTTATACTCGCGTTCCATGTCGGTCATGTTTGAGCGATCGTCACGACGTTGAAGACGCTTCGTTTTGGCTAAAAATGCATCAAGAACTGCATTGATAGCTGGTGAAAGGCTTTGTCTATGGTTTAAGATATTGCGGAGTGATGTCATGTCGTAGACAGATGAGCAAGACGAGGGTGATGCCATGAGACGGACGACGATGAGGGGGGGTCGTCAATAAAGTCAGGAATTGATTACGGATAAGTGATTAATTGGCTACATTTTTCTGATTCGTTAAAATTTGTTGGGTAGCTTGGATGATGTGCTACTTAACATTTTCGACGTAATCCTTAGAATATTGAAGTAGCACTTGTGGGAAAACCGTTACAATTGGCAGGAACAGACGCTGGCTAAAGTATCAGACAAGTTGAAAACGTATCATTGACACAATTCAATGTCGACGAGCAAACCTTTTGACCACGCGAGTCATGCACAGCACCGTTGGCGACGCTTTTTAACCCATGACTCGAAAGGATACGCCAGTTTTTCAATCATGGCAATTGGTTTTCGGTTCGTCAAGGTCGTGGCTTTGAACAAGAGAACCAAAAAAGGGATCGCCTATCTCACTAAAAGGATGGTCAAGAAGCTTCCGAAGCTGATGGTGTATCCTTTGGTACTTGGTGCCACTGGCGCTGAGCTTCTGACATGGGGGGCGTCGTATTTGAACCACGACAAGGACGAAAAGACCAGCAAAGTCACGCGTAATGCCAAATTGGCCCCGGCGGCATTCGCCGTGTATGGTACCACGCTGAACTCGGTCTACCCGTTAGTCGGACGTTTGCGTCGTGTTCGCGGATGGCTACGTCCCATTAAATGGGGATTCGTTGGTCTGGTCGTGGACAATGTCGTCACAAAGTTTTCGACAACTCGATCCAAGGTAAACAATGCTTTAAGTTCAAAAAAAGTAGAAGACACGGAATGAATGGAACAAACACACACTTTCTGACGGAGCACTTTAATACAACATGGGAGTGGTGTCATATCACCTGCGATGCTCTCGAGTTTATCTAGTTGTTTCAAAATGGTTTAGTCAGCCGTGCGATCCTGGTCTAGGTCAACAAATTCGGGAGCAACTGTACAGTTGTAAGTGAGTACAAGATCTTGGCGCTTATAATTCCGACCCGATTACGCTGTACGACGAACAAATTGAGACCATATGTTACGACTGCCACGCTCAATTTGTCATCTCAGACTAGTACCGTCAGGAGAAGGGTCGAGCACCGAGTTCTCGCAATAATTTATTTTTTGATCAACCGTAAGCGATGTTTGCCCACGAATCTCTCGACCAGGACCGAAGACGCCTTAGATGGGCTCAAGTGCTAGAAAAAGCCATTTTCACGTTTTATAGTTGCTCATATACTTTTTGTTCTGCGCCAATGCTGACCTACGAGGACGAAAGTGTAACGGGGTGAGCCCGTTACATAATACTGACACTTATATAAGTAACAATAAGAATATTATTATAACTCATGATATTTGACAATATTATATTTTCCTATAATATTGTCCCTAGATCTCCTTGAAGTTGGAGATGCCCTCTAATTGGTTAATATGGGTCACCATATCAACCAACGCGCTGACCAATGACCGATGGACGCGCGCAATGAGTGGAGGACAAGTTGTCAATATACATAGTTGTAGTTTAATATAGTTAACATATGTTATAACAGATTAGTTGTATTAGATAGTTAACTATATTAAATACAGTTCTCTTTTCCTCTACTTCTAAGCGTGTCGTTAGAAGTAAAGCTTCCTCTGCCTCTTGTGTAAGATAGGTTTTGAGGCACCTGCTTTCACTGTCATCAGTGAAGGTAGACTATACTGTTATCAGTATAGTCGGAGGGTGCCCCATTACAGAGTTTGTATATTTACATTCACAATTACATCTGCAGATTACCATATCAGAGTGTCCATATGTCGTGCTTCTTTCTATGATATTAATATACGATACGATGGCACACATTAATGTTCGTATTCATCATTACATATTGCAATATTAAACTCAGCTTTCTTAGAATAGTAGATGAGACACATGATTTCGATTCGTTAGTCAAAACATGGACTCCGTGCTCAAATAATACACTACAAAGTGGCAAAAGCAAGCGTAGTGATCAGGTTCACGTGGATGCAGTTACAATAAGCGAATCGCGTCATAGTATTGCATCTTACTTATTCATTTACCTGAGTCAACCGGATATTCTACATAACGAAACGACGGGTTTACATTCATCTTTATACCCATCCCTTTACCTTAGTCAACCTGATATATAGAAGTAATATGATGAGTACGACGATCAAAAGACAAAATTCGCTTACCGTGTCCGCCAGAACGACGGGTACACACACAAGAAAATCGCTGCGTCTTTAAGATGCCTATACATATTACTTCGCACCGTCGGAACGGCGGGTGAACACCTTAATTTGCTGCAAAACTCCTTTTATTTTATACTAATAAAGCAAACTGATTCTCGTAACAGATCTCAGCATGGAAAAACTGTTTGACCAACATTCAGTTTTTTAAAACAATTAAATATATATTTATGGTCTGCGGTCACCTTTCCGTAGAAACTTCGGATGAACACCCTAGCAAATCGCTGCGTTTTAAAGATGCCTACAGTATATATATTACTTTTCGCACCGTCGGAACGACGAAATAATACCCTAGATAAGTATATTATTTCATGTTTGCGTGTTACAAGATACCCTGTAACATGAAATGTCAATCAATAGCACGCTGACCATCCAAAATGAGCTTCCATCGGGCTGAATTCCTTAGAATAAATTCGGCCCGTAACATGAAGAAGCCCAAACCAATGCCCACCACTTTAATGTATGCCTCCTTGAGCGACCATAATCGGTAGAATCGGGAATATTGACTATCTTTTTGTCCTCCATATCGTGAATGTAATCCCACTCCTTCGATTTAAAGTGATCAGCAAAAGCTCGAAAAACTCCTCGCTGACTTCTTATAAAGAGGTCGGTGTAATGGGGCACCCTCCGACTATACTGATAACAGTATAGTCTACCTTCACTGATGACAGTGAAAGCAGGTGCCTCAAAACCTATCTTACACAAGAGGCAGAGGAAGTTTTACTTCTAAACGACAATAGAGGATAAGAGAACTGTATTTAATATAGTTAACTGTCTAATACAACTAATCTGTTATAACCTATGTTAACTATATTAAACTACAACTATGTATATTGACAACTTGTCCTCCACTCATTGCGCGCGTCCATCGGTCATTGGTCAGCGCGTTGGTTGATATGGTGACCCATATTAACCAATTAGAGGGCATCTCCAACTTCAAGGAGATCTAGGGACAATATTATGATTATAACTCATAATATTGTCAAATATCATTTGTTATAATAATATTCTTGAGTGCTCACTGCTGTGTACGGGATGTCCTGTTCACGCATTAGGATCTGATAGAAACCATCCATCAGATCCATGGACGAAAAGATGGTACTCTTAGACATACCATCTATGATTACGTCCTTTTCTCGGTATCGGCGTTTGCGCCGGTATCGTTGCAGCGTTCAACTTATTGAACGCGTGTACCCTCCTGTGGCCTTGCGCACACAGAAGGTCGGAGAGATGTGAGGTGAAGTTGACTCCCTCACATGGCTCGCAGCGAGACGGTCGGTAACGAACTTGTCGATCACCTCGACCTGTTCCCGAGGCAGTGGCCACTGCTTCATGACACAATATTTTGTGCCAGGAACAAGGTCGATCTCGTGTCGAGTACCTTTATCCTTAGGTAACTCGCACCGTACGGATATAGGGGATACATCCTTGAATTCGACCAAATCCTTATACAAAGGATTTGACTTCAGCGACTCCCATGATTGCGATGTATATCGCTCAATCCGAGTCTTCTCATCAAGGACACTTTCGCCCATTGATGAGCTGCTGAGAACCCGTTCGTTCTTATCAAAAATTGTTGCTGACCGAATGTCAGTCATAACTCGTCCTCTGCGACGAGCACACAGATCTGCTTGACTTTGCCACTACGCAGATCACGCAAGAACCTTTTAGGTTCTAGCGTAGGCAACTGAGTTGTCTCCGAATCTAACTTTGAAGGCGCGATCAGATCACGCGTATAAGCGTCTAAGTTTGATTCGTCATTAACCAAGACGTTCACGGTATCGGTTACTTCCTGGGGACTTATTCCCTCAGGCTCGATAAAACAAATCTCATCGACTTCCTCTAGCTGTGGTGGCGCAACCACAGCGAGATCCTCTACGATCAACTCTCCAGTTGATCTAGGACTACCGTGTTGCCGCTTCTGGGCAACCGGTTTACTCTTCGGTGAATGCTGCCCTCTAGGCGAGCATTCATGTCCCGGTCCACTCGACTTATTCGAGTGCTGGATTTTCGGCGCTGCCTGTGCTTGTGCACAGCCGCGGCAGCTTGCTCCACATCGTGACTGATTGTCACGCTGAGTTCTTGTGCAGTCGTACTAACGACCGAACCACAAGTGAGGCCATCGCACTCACTCGTGGTACATTCACACGCTTGTCAACGATCCAAGACGTTCATCAGATGGCCATCTGAGGAACAAGCGGCAGGCATCGTCACAGTTCGATGCTGCCAGCTGACCCATGGCTCGTACCTTCTGAGCCATGGTAATCCTAGGATGACATCAAATTTGTCATCCAGGTCAAGTACGATGAAATCATCATCGTACTTTTTGCCTTCAAGCGTGTAGTGAATTTCCACTACACGTTTCTTTACTGTTACGGATGCGCCAGTCGCAAGGCGCACCGTCATCCTCGTTGGAGGGGTCTCGCGCTCAACATATTTGAGCCTACGATCATCTAGCTATTGGCGTCGAACGAAGTTGTTCGAAGCCCTAAAATCAACTAGGACGCGAAGTGAGATGTTCTTTGTCACTTCGATCTTCAAGATGATGAGGTATACCTCATCACTGGGAGCGGCAACACACAGTGATTGTGTGTTGGGAGCAACCTTCGTCAAGAGTCCCGCGAACTCTCTTGGCGTTGCTGGATCAGTAGGGCGATCCGCCCCTACTTGACCCCGACCGTTTTTTTATAGTACACCACGTTGTTGCGATTTCGCAGCAACGTGGGACCCACGTCTCTGGCCCTTCGTGGCAGACGGTCGATCGTCACTCCCAGTGTTACGAGACACTGGGCGTGGGGCACTACACTCATAAGCGTAATGGCCCAACTTCTGACAGCGATTGCACTTTTGAAATCGCTTGTACCCTGGAGAGCGAGGTTGCTCGCTCTCTACATAGGAGAGGTCCATTGGTTCTGGACCTCCGCCCTCCTGTCGTCTCGGTGGACGATACGACCCCGAGTGGACGTGAGCCTGTTGTAGGCTAAAGTCCTCCTGTTCCGCTGCAGAGATCGCTTGATCCAGCGATTATAGTTCCAAGCGGAACAGGTGGGTCTAAAAAGGACCATCTGTCAGACCCTTGATGAACACAGTAACCTGCGTGTGTTCATCGATTGGATTCAGTACGATATAGCTAGCTAACGAGGTATCGTACGTGCTGGGCGTAAGCGTGTATATCACGCTTACCCTGTTTCAAATCCAGGAGCTCAGCCGATCCCTGAATTCGGCGCGAGGCGGTTCAAACGTATGTTTTAGCCGCGCCTTGGAGACGTCATACGTTGGGAAAACGTATGGGTCATGCGGTTTGAGCCCTAGGCCCAATCTTTGGCACGTCCTGCCAAGTTCGACATGGCGAACTTGACCTTCATCGCATCTTCATCGATGCAACGAGCCTCAATGGCATCGTCGAGTTCGACGAACCATCTTAACAAGGAGTCGCTTTCGACTGCCTTTTACTTGGAGACATCAATCTTCAAGGACTCGGATCGACGTGTATACGTCGACCGGGCAGCAACAGCACTAGCCTGCTGTTGTCTTAACAGTTCAGACTGTTGAGCACCCTGCTGCATCAACAAGTCAGCTTGTTGAGCACCTTGTTCTCTTAACAGGTCAACCTGTTGAGAACCTTACTCCTGTAGCAAGGTGAGTTTCTTTACAACTTCATCAAGCTCATGTTGTATGAACTTGGCGATGGTTGCATGTCGGTCGTCTCCGCTAAGAGAGAGCAACATGGCACCAACGGCAGGGTTGCCGATGGTTTCAGTCATACGCTGAACCACATTCCATTCGAGATCACTTAAATGGCGGAAATCATCACGCGTTGCGTAATGACGTTCATCACCCGCTGATTCCATAGCGGATGGTGCGGTGGTCGCTGAACGGACCACGAAGTGCTACCAGGTGTAATGGGGCACCCTCCGACTATACTGATTACAGGATAGTCTGCTTTCACTGATGACAGTGAAAGCAGGTGCCTCAAAACCTATCTTACACAAGAGGCAGAGGAAGTTTTACTTCTAAACGACAATAGAGGATAAGAGAACTGTATTTAATATAGTTAACTGTCTAATACAACTAATCTGTTATAACCTATGTTAACTATATTAAACTACAACTATGTATATTGACAACTTTCCCTCCACTCATTGCGCGCGTCCATCGGTCATTGGTCAGCGCGTTGGTTGATATGGTGACCCATATTAACCAATTAGAGGGCATCTCCAACTTCAAGGAGATCTAGGGACAATATTATAGGAAAATATAATATTGTCAAATATTATGAGTTATAACAATATTCTTATTGTCACTTATATGAAGCGTCAATATTATGTAACGGGCTCACCCCGTTACAGTCGGTCTGTTAGTCGGACAACATTCTACGCCAACTAAGGGGTACGAGAATCACTGACAAGTGCCACGATGGTTTCATAATGAAAACGTTGTATTTTTAATGAAAAGGAGCAAGACTTCGAGTGGGTCGCCTTCAGTATGGTTTATTCTGCAACAAGTAACTGTAGGCAAGATGCGTGTTGCGAGAAGGAAGCGGTAGGTGAACAATAAGATTCTGTATTTATTCTTACTAGCAACTCGTTCTCCTAAAAGACTGTGCTCCAACCGTCTAAACGTCAGTTGGTGCTGGCCAACTTGTCTTTTTCCATCTTGCACTGACTATCTCTGACCAGATTGACAGCTGCCGCTAATCGAACTCATAATCTTCAACATCAACTTCCAACAGTAACGACAAAACTTATTATGTGTTTTTCTACCACTAATGATAAGCAACATTATTCATCGACCGCACCTCAGGAGAACGTTGTATCTCGATGATCTTGTAGTTTACATGGATGGGTTCATGGATGAGCTGCTGCTACAGCAAACGGCTCGCGAGTGTCAACTTTTCATCCTTTGCAAACACAAAACGTGTCACCTGCTTTTACCATTCGCCGAGAGCTGGAGCATAAGACGTTGTCAATGCAAAAGATGTTGGATTTCATTTGGAGACGTCGACGAAGCGAAGACAGTATAATGGTGACATGGGAAAAAGGAAAATGGAAGTGGACGACGATAAGTGAAGTGGCTTTGTCAAAAAAGTGTTTCATTGAACACTTAAAACAACCAAAATATAGAGACGTTCAGAAGTGAAAAAGTCCTACCGTTTGCACACTTGAGTAATCCAACTAAGTCTCTCAAACAATCAAGCCCGTAGTGGCGTCATGTGAATTACGAGGTGGTTGGCTGTGAGAGAAGGATAAATGTCTTTATTGCGTTACTATTTCTCACGCTCAGCTGACATTTACACGAAGGCGCAAGTTGGAAACAGCTGGTTCAAGTCAAACACGTTGACAATCATTTGCTTGTCCACGTGTCTTTACGGTGTGACATCTACAGTGGGCTGTCACTTGCAGTCCAGCCGAAGATAACGACGCTGGCGTGCTTCCATAGCAGGTACTATACAGCGGTGGTAGTGGATCGAGTGCATGTCGCAAATTGGTGTAGTTTGTCGCTGAGACCCGGTAAGTAGAGGAAGCGGTTTCATCTTTGTTCGATACTACGTGTGCCAATCAACTGAGGAAGGTCAAATTTAACAGTGCATCCTACTCGTCTTTTACTTGTTTGTTGCTGTTACTGCTGCTATAACTGTGGTGCTACTGTTTTTCGATCGCTGTAATGTCGATACAAGCGGCATTTCGTCTATAGTGAGTCGAGGAGCTAAAAATTTGTAAATAGACGTGGTATTGAAAAAAGCAAGCCAGCTTTCATAAAAAATGCCATAGCACATCGAAGGGATTGACTACAATGCTTGCAAGGGCTGGCTTTTTACGATTAAATCGTGCCGATGTGACTGTACGAAAAAAAGACCAGGCTGAGAGAAGTTGTAAATGCTGCGCCTTTCGAAGAAGGCCAGCGCTAGTTTACTGATGGCATTGATTTAAAATTCAGTTGCTAGGAATATGTGAAGAATGGAAAGGCAAAAAAGCTCTCATAAAAATGACACAGCACATCGAGAGATTAATCGTATACACTGGTTGGCCTCTGACATGTGGTCCAGAGTCATGACATTTTTACAGATGTAAACGGCCTTTACAAATGTGATAGTTGTCATGTATGACGGATAAGCCTTAGGTGAGAGGTAGTTTGACCTAAAGCTTGTCAGTCCTGACCTTTGTATCAAAATACTTAAGAAGAGGAATACTCTGATACTGTGAGTAATACTCCGCAGCTACATTCGGTTTGCACATCATCGAAACTCCGTCCGGTGCATTTTGTATAGTCAAAAGTTAAAAAAAAAGCTTTGCAATTCAATCAGAAGAAATACCGAAGAAACGGCCAACGCAGATTCATTCGCAATTTTCTCTCATAGCCCTCAAGCAGTCGATCAATCATGCGCACGTACCCTCTGCTTCTAGTGGCTGCTGTCACTCTCTCTGCCTATGTTGATGCGTCTTCAACAAGATCGAGCTCGACATTCGAGCGACCAGCACCGTCTCATCAGCACGCCCCCCGGCGGTTTCTGCGAGATGGGGCGAACACAACCGAAGAGGAGAGAGCACCTAATTTTATAAAGGCAACTTTTGGATCTTCAGCGGGAAAAAGCGATGAAGCACTTGTGGCCGCCCTTTCTCCAAAAGATTTTACCGCTGACGTGATCACCAATTTGTTGAATGCCATAAAATTTGAAGACAAAAACGTGCTTAAATCCAACCAATTTAAGACGTATCTATGGCTTATGGAGCAGAAACGGGCAATAGAAGGCCACAGTGAGGCTCAAATGTATGTGGATATTGCGAAAGATTTGGATCGTCGCTACAAAAACGATTTTCCTGGCCTTCTACGGATGCTGCAAAAATCCTATTGGTTTTCAAAAAAAAACGCAAGACTTGTCGAAAAAAATATATTTTGGGTTTGTAAGATTTACAAACCGGAAAGAAAGTCCCTATAAATATGTGTTTGATAGCCTTAAACTCAAAGAGCGTGGAGTAGAAGATCCTAACTTTATGTTGTGGGTCAAATATGTGACTATACAATGTGAATTTTTAAAGAACCCGGGAGGAGAATGGAAGGAGATGGTGAATGTCTTGGAGCAATCATACGAGTATAATGAACTTTTGACTATGCTGAGTAAGGCCTTTAAGAATAAAAAAACGAAGGAAATCGCGACGAAATTGATGGTGTTTACTTGACGAGATGAAAGGTACGAACTGGTGTCAATGAAGTTATTACAAGCATTGACAAGCGGATCCATGACTTTCAATACATTGGTAATAAAATTTGTTTGCTTTACTGCTTGATCTTGACGTACCGTTTTGAGTTGACCATTTAAACTTACTATATTCTCGTTATCCTGGTCGGGCTGGGGCAACGCCCTTCCGGAAGGTTTGAGCTAGCTCGATGCAAGCTTAGACCTTGGACGGATGCTTCCGCGGCATTCGTCAAATTTGAACGGGCCTCTCCCTCTACACACATCTCTCTTGCTGCTCTCACCCCCATCCACCAGCCAAGCCGCCACAATGTACGCCGCCAAGCATGGCGTCCATCACTCTGACCTTTCGAATTTGACCGACTAGATCCTGGTTGTGAAAAGGGCTAGAATTATAACCACTCTTAAGAGACCTGATGCAGTTAATTACCTGAACAAGACTACCAGCCTAGTGCGTTGCTTGTCGTGGCTGCGCTTCAACCACACGTCGCTGCGAGTAACGGTTTTTTTTAATCAAGATGTTGCCCGATGGCAGAGAAGACTCACATGATGAGCCCGTGTTACAATTAAAGGACGTGACGGCTCCCGATGCGTCTTCGGACAAGTCGCTTTCTACGCTAACGTCTGCTCCGGGTCCACAGGACACGCCCGACTTGCCGGATTACAAATGGTATTGGCACCATGACAAAGACTCCATGTTCGCCCAGGACAGTGATGTGTTTAAGAACTTCAAGCCAAACGATACGGACCAGACGTGCTCGTTTGATACGCATGCTACGCCTTGAAATAAACAAGTTCGTGGTGTAAATCTCGGTGGTTGGCCCGTATTAGAGCCATGGATTACGCCTTCACTTTTTTACCAGTTCTTGAACACGCAGCAACGATTTGGAGACAAAGCTCCTGAGAAAACAGCAATGGATACGTATACGTTCTGCACGGCACTTGGAAAGGAAGAAGCGAATCGACAGCTACGTATTCATTATGAAAATTGGGTCACGGAGAAAGATATTGGTGCACTTGCTGCAGCAGGTATCAATTCGCTTCGTATTCCTGTTGGTGACTGAATGTTTAATCCTTACGAACCTTTTTCTGGCTGCACAACGGGTGCCGTCGATGCGCTCGACCGTGTCGCTGACCTTGCACTTAAGTACGGCCTCGACATTCTATTGGATATGCATGGACTCATTAATTCCCAGAATGGATTCGATAACAGTGGCAGGTCTATGTCTGTCAAGTGGACGTCCATTGCTAGTACGCAACCTTTAAGAACGACTACTTTTCGAGCATTGGCCTATTCGTCAAGCCGAATGGGCTGGTACTTTTGATGTCGAAAACCACAATTATTCAAGCATTAACTACTCGAACCTAAACCATTCAATTGTGGTTGTCGAAGTAATTATTAATCGCTACAAGGGACACGAAGCTATAATGGGAATGAAGCCAGTGAATGAACCGTGGAAATTTACACCTATTAAAGTACTTAAAGAATACTATTGGAAGTCGTACAAGCGAGTAAAGGCTCTCGCACTTTTGTGGAAGTTCATTATTCACGACTCATTTCGTTTCGGACTGGCATTCTGGGCTGATTTCCTCCTAGGCTGCCCCAATATCGCGTTTGACATGCACATTTATCAAGCTTGGAATTCACCTGGAACGATTGAAGATTTTTTTCAAACGCTTGTCAGCAGAAGTATGTCATTACCAAGATGGAAGATGCCATGATGCCCGTTATTGTAGGCGAGTGGTCGATCGGCACGGACAATAGTGCAATGTGGCTGATAGGATTCAATGACAATTTGCCAGGCTTCCCCAAAGTCCAATGCCACATGGTAGACTGTCCTATAAACAGCACGTATCTTAGCGACGGTTTCCAGGTACTCCTTTGGACGAGACTAAGCCCATTCAAGGCCCATATAGCACTGGCATGTGTGGGCCGTCGTTCGGCAAGTGCCCTGTTACCAGTCAGAGCTTTTTTCACCAGCATGACGACGCTGCATTAACCAGGGCGTTGACTCTAAAAGAGTTAAATGGTGTTGCTGTTGGTCACGGGTGGTACTTTTGGAACTTTAAAACAGAAATTCACTACAAAGTGGAGTTTCTTGGACTTGGTTCGTCAGGGAGCATTCCCCAAGAACGTGTCAAAGTACCACAGCGATGACGGTATTGAGACGGCTTGCAGGAAGGAGGATAGTGGTGACTTTGTTTGCCATGCAAAGCGCGGTGTTTAAGAATTTGAGCTCAAGAGCGGTCTTGCATTTGCGTGCAATTACCCAGAGATCGACTGCTCGGACATCAAGAAGCGCTTCCACACCTTGGAAGAGCAATGCGACTGGGCATTTGACCAGTATTGGCATCTCAACCGCGAAAAGGGCGCGACGTGTGATTTCGGTGGAACTGGGCATCTGCTACACGTGACGATCTCTACTCCCTTCGCATACTCAAATGTCCAAGAAGGTGAAGCCAAACCATTTACTCGCGTCAGCGGCGAAGTGGAGTTTTGCAACCATCATGGATGTCGTTTCCCTTGCTCTGGTAGCAGTTGGCGCTGCGATCGTTAGCGTTGTGCGTTGGCGTCAGCTTCGTGTGCGCCGCCAATATTCACCTATTGGAGGTCATCTGTAACCACGATGGACAGCTCAGCGAATCATGAAAGCGAAAGTAATGTTTGGAGAGTGAGGAAGTTATATTCGTCAGCATCGGGCAGCGTGCCGTTCTCAGGACAGAGCTTCTCAGCTATAAAGCCCTGGTGAATAAGAAGCGTCATGTCGCCACCGTCACGATGTTGCTTGGGCCGTCACCCATGCCGTCATCTGAAGACCACGTAATGGCTTTCAAGTGCATTCCCAGTCCTTTTTAAGGGACCACCTGTCCAGGCAAAGACTGCGGCGGAGCCGTCAACGGAACGCTTTACTGCTCCCGGTCATTAACGTGAATGACTCAAACACCAAGCCTAAACTTGACATTCATATGGCTGACGCCAATAACTACTTGATGGCATCATGCGTGCCACAGACGTCATGCTGGCTGGCAAACGCATTGTGATTTGTGGCTTCGGTGACGTCGGCAAGGATAGCGCTCAGACGATGAAGGCCGCTGACGCGGCAGTCTACGTAACTGAGGTAGACCCTGTCTGCGCCCTTCAGGCGTGCATAAAGGCCTTTTAGGTGGTACGTCTTGAGACGGTTGTCTCTCAGGCGGACATCTTTATCACCATGACGGGCAACAAGGACATTATCATGGCTAAGGACATGCTCAAGATAAAATCAATACTATCGTCGGCAACATTGGTCATTTTGACAATGAGATTGACATGACTGGTTGAATGAGATCGCCAAGCGCCGTAACATTAAGCCACAAGTGAATCGTTTCATTTTGTAAACGGCCACGATGTCATTATCCTGGCCGGAGGCCGTCTGCTGAACATGGGCTGCGGTAATCTAGTTGTTTGGGAACAAACACTAAGATTCTTCTTGACTGTTTATATACAGCACGCTTGCAATTGCGTTATGATAATTGAAGTCGATCTTGTAGTCTCCATTGTTTCCATTCTGCGCCTCCTTCGCATTCTTCGATACCAGTAGTAAGCAAGACAAAATACGAGTCAACATCCGAGAACAAGGAGCTTCGGATGTTACTCGTATCCTGTCTTGCTAGTCGCGGGCATCCACATCGCCGAATAGGGCCCGTACGCAACACTCACGAGATGCATCGAATTAAACTGTGTACACTTGAAATGCCAGTCAATAAAACGCTGACCATCCAAAATGAGCTCTCGTCGGGCCGAATCCCTTCGAATAAATTCGGCTCGTAACATCAAGAAGCCCAGACCAATGCCCACCGCCTTAATGTATGCCTCCTGGAGCGACCATAATCGGTAGAATCGGGTATTTTGAGTATCTTCGTCCTCCATATCGTGAATGTAATCCCACTCCTTCGGATTAAAGTGATCAGCAAAAGCTCGAAAAAACTCCTCGCTGACTTCTTATAAAGAGGTCGGTCTGTTAGTCGGACAACATTCTACGCCAACTAAGGGGTACGAGAATCACTGACAAGTGCCATGATGGTTTCATGATGAAAGATGTTGTAATTCCACAACGAAGGAGCAAGACTTCAAGTTGGTCGCCTTCAGTATGATATATTCTGCAACAAGTAACGACACAACTTATTATGTGTTTACTACCACTAATGATACGCAACATTATTCATCGACCGCACCTCAGGAGAACGTTGTATTTCGATGATCTTGTAGTTACATGGAAACTACAAGATCATCGAGATACAACGGGGTATACTATATTCTCATTGATCAGTGTTTTTTTTCTCAGCACTGAAGAAACGCAGTGTACTAGCTGCAAATAGCATACTCGACGCAGTTGTAAACTATGAAACGACTTCTGTAGCACTGGCACTGATGTCAAATAACAAACCTCAATATTTAGACATATTCCATGGTGCCAGCGACAGTCCGTAAAATATACGACAATTATTATTAATGAGTTTTGAGGAGCTAATCAAAAGACTTAGTGTCAACTTTTAGCTCGACTTTTATGGTCAAAAGCCTGTTAGATTTATAAAAGTAACAGGCTTTAAACCTAAAAAGTCTACCTCTGGTCTAGAGCTGTGTAGCTCCGCTACACTTGTAGCACCTGTAGTCAATCCTACACCTGACTTTTTAAGACTGACCTTCTGTGAGGATGGAGGGTCAAAATCACCTCTCTGAGGCGCAACGACTCGCACTAGATAAATTATGTGCGTTCGTTGGGCTCGATCAAATCGAGGCTCTTTTGGCCCAAGGCCCGGAGGTCCTCAATGCTCGCCTATAGGCCTTCATGCGTTATGAGGCAACGCTACTCGGGCAGGTCCACGACCAGTCAGCGTCAGCTGCGGCTACGCAGTATATCCCGGTTCCTGTGCCCGATGCAGAGCCAAAGGCTCGCCCACTCGTTTAAAACATTAAACCTTTGAGGGGAAAGAGGGAGAAAATCTTCTCCTCTGTATCCAAAAAATTAAAATGGCAATGGATGCCCTAATGCTTGTGTCAGATAAGCAACGAGCTGGCTTGGACATTTCTATGCTCGGTGGAAGAGCTAGAGAGTGGGCTCTAACGAGCGATGTCTCTGTAAATGCCGCATTTCCCACGTGGGATATGCAATAAACGCAATTAACTTGCGTGTTTGCACCGTCTAATCAGGCTTATCGTGTGCGCTCACGCTTCTTATCTACCCGACAGGGTAAGGAAGAATTGTCGGACTATGTTTAATAGTTGGGAACTCTCATTGCTGCTATGCAGCAGGAACTCTGGCAGAGGAAGTCCGAGTAACCATTTTATGGAAGGACTTCGTACTGGGGTCGCCAGGATGATGGTTTTTCGTGTAGAACCTTCGACTTTCGAAGAGGCAGTGAGCATAGCGTTTAACGCTGAATTTAATTTCAAATTTGCTAGCTATCGTCTGCCATGACACAATATAAATGCTTTCAATAGGTCAGAACCCATGGACCTCAGCCATGCTGAAGAAGTTGAGCTTCAAGCTGCAGAGCATCAAAATAACATCCGTAAATGTTACATGTGCGGAAGCAATAGGCACCTGCGCCCTAGCTATCTGTTGCGAAAGAGATGTCAGAACCGACAGAGCCGTAACCCTGCTCCTAGCCAAAAGGAGAGAACGACAGGGGAAAACGTCAGCTCCCAGTAGGCGCGGGGCTCCCTATTGTGAAAGACTAAGTTCTGTTGAACCTCAAGGAGGTAGAGGTAAACAAGCCTTAGCCCTAGGTGGCTCCGTGGAAGCTTCCATGGAGCATGAATACAAGCCAGGCTTGTTGGTTGTGTCGACAACCGTTATAGGTTTTGAAAAGCCATGGTCATATTTATTCGACTCAGGAGCGTCGATAATTATGTCCGACATCGTTCCCTTGAAGAGAGTCATCTGTACGCTGAGGCGCTACAAGCGCAAGAGGGCGACAGTATAACCTTTCGTCTCGCAACAGGTTTACGTGTCACCGTTCCTAAAGCTTAGTGGAACTTAGGTGTAAAGTTATTATACTTCAATAGCGTTGAACGCTGTCTTTTCCTAGATTTGGACTCGAGATATAATCTTGTTCTCGGTATGTCCTGGCTAAAACGCCATGAACCATGGATCGATTGGAGATCCAAAATCTTAGTTGCCACGCGCAATGTTCCTAGAGAAGCTTTGTAGATTCATGAACCCACATTCCCTAAAAAAACAGAAGCGTTATTGGCGCGATACATTAATTGAGTCAGTTTGTGTGCTTGATATTGGAGTGTCGAGTTGATAGACTCCAACGTCAACAATAATAGTGCCGAGCATAGCTTAGTGACACCTAGTGGAAAGACACGTACTCCGTTGAATGATACTCATAGTATATTGATACACTGGATGTCGCTGATTACATCGGCTCTTGTAAAGAGCAAGCTAAGGTTGATGACCTTGTTAGTGAAGTCACCTGTGACAATGACGCACTGGATGTCGGTAATGACATCGGCTCTCGTATAGAGCAGGTTAAGGCCGAGGAATCTATCGACCTTGGGAATGATGACATCCCGAGTATTTTAAAAGGTACGGTTTCGTCAATGATACGGCAGCGTCGCCAGATGGCGGCTGCGAGACGCAAGGCGTATGTTTTATCACGTAGTGATGCCAGTGAACAGCTGTACACCCTGGTCAACGGAGTGAAAGGTGGTGTAGATGGTGAGTTCGACCTAATGGGAGGACGCCGTGGATGATTTCTTCCAGCCTTGAAGGTAGGTGATCTATCCAATATGGTGGTCATGACTGACCTCATCATCGCTTGTGGATGAGGCAGTCCTTGAAGATACAAAGGCGGCACTTAGTGTACGTGGTGGATCATCTATCTTGAAACAAAAAAACCGGATCACTAATATCCTTAAGCTAAGATATTTCAGAACGTGGTGTGCCCTGCAGGACCTCCCGATAAAGGTGTACGTCATGATTTTGACTTGTTTCCTGAAAAAAATGCTGCGTAACACGGCATTGGCCTTTACAAAAAGAACAGTGTGACGTCATTGACGAGTTCTTTCGTGCAAAGTACGAGGCTAGATTGGTACGCGAGAGTAAATCTCCGCACTCGGCACCTACCATCTGTGTCAAAAATACAATGATAAGTGGCGTATTGTTCCTGCTTATAAAGCTCAATGCAGCCACTATACCTGCACAGTGTAGTAGGGCTACACAGCCTTTAAGCCGGAGGAAAACGTTTTAGGCTAAAAGCCTGTTAGTTTTATATAACTAACTACAAGTGGACGGCGTACAGCCACTTGGTTCTTAGGAAGTAATAAAACGACAAAGAAGTCTACCCTGTTTTAAGGAATTAGGAGGGGCCTCTAGTCTACAAGCAATAGCTTCAGGTTCAAAGAACCATCGCACAGAGTGCAAGAGTTTAAGCTATGATTACGATTGAAGGAACCTACGCACGAAGTGTACAAGAGAAAAAGTCTTAGAGAGACTTACATATGTAACTCAAAATGAGAACTGATATTGTTTGTGCATTTGTAACTCAAAATGAGAACTGATATTGTTTGTGCATTAAGATTTTTTTGAATAATCCTATTCTAAGTACCCTACACTAGAAAAACTACTATTATAATAATCATAATATGCCACCGTCTGTATCTGGATATGGAATCATCCAATCATCGTTTATGTTGTATTTAGTACTACTGTATCCGTTATGAAACTGATACCGATAGTATAAGTTATTACTAATACATTTTAATATCACTCATGTAACAGGGCATCTAGTTACACGTAAACATTAAGTAATATACTTAATGTAAGGTCAAAAGTAATCATGGATACTTTTGACCTGTCGCTTGGGTGCGATACACAAATGTGATCCACCCTCGTAAATGTGATATCCATTGATGGATTCACATGGGAAGGGATGACGCTAGTTGAAGCTAGGCATCGCGACGTCTCAGAAGGACGTCATTCGCGAGCTTAATTCTAGATTGAAGTTCATGCGACAGGATACGCTCTAAAGAGTCGCGTATCCGATTTATATACATATATAGCCAATCAGTAGTTAAGTTTATATTTAATTATAATTCTTTAAATATAACTCAGTCTTGAATTTCCTTAGACGCAAAGCACGCACGAGACGCTGAAAAATCTTCTGCGTGACGTCGGTGACTTCTTGTCTTAGAAGTTCGTTGCACTCTCGCTTAAGCGAGAGGCAACTGGTGGTACGACTGCTTAAGCAGTCGACCAACCACATAACCACCCTCGCACGCGAAGGTAAGACGGTCTAACTGCTTCCTCGCTTGTGCTGAAGTGCAATAAGTAGTAAGAGGCAACTTTTTAGAAGTGCCCGTTTACGCTTGGTAGCACTAATAGTCCTTACCACGACCCGTCTCTCTGAACGTGCGTGTGGTTGAGATGGTCCTTAATATGGACTGTAGTGACTTCCCTCACCTCTCCCAACACCATAGGGAGTTGGTAGAGCATATGGCGTAGGGATTTGGTGAACAAGACCTGGCCAACCTCTTGCATTGTCCTCCTGAGCAACATGTTGCTCAGTTGGAGCAATTTGAGGTGTTTGTCCTCGGACAGCGCAAAAACGCGTCCAAGGTAAACAGCCAATCCACCGCTGAGTCCATCAATGATATCACGTCGGCTATACGAAGCTAATTGGAGCTATCTATCCAAGCGACGATTCGAAGCGATCTTAGCAGACAATACTCGCCAAAACCGCAAACGCTTGGAACACTTCTACAACCCCGGCGATCACATCATGCTCCGTGTTCCCAAAACCTTTCGCGCAAAATTACATGCAGTTTCGCAAGGACCATATTCGATCCGAACTGTTCATAACAATGGAACCGTCACAATCGACAAAGGTGCATCAACTGAACGAGTTAGCATTCGCCGCATC